GGTTCCCACACGGGGGGGTCGTCTACTCGTCTGTAGATGGCCCGAGGTATGTCGGGGCACCAGGGACTTCCTTTCTAGGGTATACCTGGTTCCCCGGTTATTAGTACCCGAGACGGCGTGCGGTTTTAGTCGGTTCGAGTCCGACATGCCACCGATAGGTGGTATCCGAGGGGATTTCCGCACGGAAAAAAAAGGGGTCCATGGGTGCAGGTAGACACTTACCATCAGTACTCGTCTGTTCATTTGTCCCTATATGATAAAAATAAATAGTACAGGATCTACCCAGTTTGGGAGAAGACAGCCGTGTGTGAGATTTGACAAGTTTTTATATTCATTACTATTAACTCGTATTCGTCATTATTTCCCTCTATACTTCTTAAACCGATACTTAAATATAACAATAACAAAATAACAACTAATAAACATTTATTAAACTTTTACAAAAAATAACATTTAAATAAATAACATTCTAATCCGCGTCGCAGGTACCAGGCGTCCAGTAATATTCAGCAGATCTTCACGCGTTGTATTAACACAATATTTCTTAACGTCTTCCAATACATACAGCGCAATATCAAGACATAATGTCAACACGCAATGTACTGCAAGATGCATTAAGAATCTTACGACAGCATCCAATGATATCGTACACTTGTAAAACAAACATACCTCATCAACAGCCTTTAACAGTCCACTGCTGGACATAGGCCTCTCCTTAGAAAAGAGAGTTTGGCCTACTATACCACGCTGGCCAAACGGGTTGGTATAGGGTTTGTGTCAAGTTTTCCATCTTTTTGCAGTGCTGTTGTCCTGCATAGTTTGTTCCCTTAGTCGTCTCTTACAACACCCACGGGATGAATATTGGTGGTGAAATTCCATATTCTTAATCCGTCACCAAACGGACACCAAACACCTACCTTTAGGTATATAATATACCTATCTGCCTGTTTTCTATCATCATAAAAATCTTATACAAAACAACTTGAATTCGAAATATGCTACGTTTAAAGCAAATACAGAAAAATATTGATTTTAAATTACAATAGATTACACCTACGTGAATACATTAATAACAGTAGCACTGAACTTCGAATATAAACAGTAATTCACTTATATGTTTAACACAATTGAATTGTGAAAATGTTTCTAAGTAAAAATAATAAAAACAAAAAAATAAACAAGCAAATGACGTCATCAGCTTGGATTCGTATCTTTTAAGTATTCATCACTAAATAAAAAAAAACATAGTTGTTACAGTCAAATGATGTACTTATACAGTATGTATCACAGTTTACATATAAAATATTTTATGTAAATACAATTTTAATGTAGTATTAATTAAATGTAAGTCGTTAAATAAACTTAGAAATAGACGACTCGATTTAAACCCTCACAAAACAGAACTAAATGTTGCAAAAAAACATTCAAATATTCATCAAATTTTCCGTTGTTGTATTCAACATAAATATATTCTGCACGGAAAATTTTCCAAGCGATTCGTACGCTCACAGTTACCGGGGAGTATTGAAAATCAATGAGTATAATGGAAAGTAGGTCACGCGGCCCAAAGTAGTACGCTATATCTGCATTACGCCACGAACTAGGGCGGATGTTTCAAAATCCAGCCGAGAATTTACCCAAATACATATTTTTAGATAACACGGTATACATTAAAAACGCATACACACTTAAAAAAGAACAAAGAAATAAAAACATTTCTAAGAACAAAGGAATATTACAAATAAAGAATATTTTTCAAAAATGAACAAAGGAAAACGACAGGTTAACAAAAAAATATGTCACAGTTTAAAAATCGAACAGCAACAAAACTATTCTTCTTCCCCTGTCTTCACTGATGAAAATACACAGAGCTAACCCACCATTCGACAAGACTGATGCGACATTCGGCGCCAGTCGAGAGGAATGGTGGACCAGACCTGTGCGTATTATCTTCTATTCTTGATTATTCTTTCTTCACGTTTCACTTAATGCTAATACACAAATACATACATATAAACCTTGTTCTGTGACACACTATCTATCTAGCGCCCAAAAATCAGTTACCATTTATAATTAAGAAAACAATTTATATTTTTCTACGATAAATTCTCACAATAAATTTCCTTTATATTCTAAATTCACTAAATTTATTTTCCTCGAACACGATCCACTAGAATACTAAGATGAATTCAAACTATTTCATTATAATTTATTTATTTGTTTGTAGCACGGAACGCGCGCGAGAGGTCGTATCGCGTGTAGGGTTAGGAGCGCAATAGTTGCAAGCGGGCCGATCGCTCGACTCACGGATTTTTATGTTTCCAGGTCATGACCTACTTCGGGCTCGCACCCCGGGAACTGCAACCCTGCGATGGCTTCGCTTCTATATAGTGCTTTAACACGAATTTATTGGAACGTTGTATAGTACATTTTAATACAAAGACGAGTATTTACTTACGTTGTAGACTGTTTTTTTTTGTTCTCAATTAATGTTAGATAGTTTTATTGTATAACTAAATTGTTGAATTTTCTAATTATATGTTGTAAGTGATGTATCGTAAAGATGGGTCAGATATAGAAAATTTTAGAAAACTAACCAACACTGACCATTTTAAACTTTTTTTTTATTTTGTTTCTGTTGCACAAAAACTTTGTTAATACCAGTGCTTAAAACAATCTTTTTTTTTTATTTGGTTAACTCACAGCATATATATATATAAACTAACTTAGAGATGTACAGATATTTTTTTTATGTAAACTCCGCACAACAAGCAAGATTTGTTTGCTTTGTTGATTGTAAGCTTTTTATGAACATAGACAAGTTCATAATATTATTCTAATCTTTATGTTCGCTGTTGAATGTGATTAAAGAGAACTTAGAAGCCATGCATTTTAATATGGCCTTTGCAATTAATTAGAATGCCAAGGAGTTTTCCAATTGGGTCGCTTGAACTTTGTGTCGCGGCCTTCTTGGTGAAACTACAGCCATCAATTTGACAGCCTAATTTTTTAAATCTTGACATTTAAAAATAGAACGCTACAGAAACCGACAACCAGCGACAAAATTATTCTTTTTTTTTTTATCAGAATACTACAACTGTCACTTTTACAGCCATATTATTTCATATTTACACTTAAAAATACAACGCCACGCAATGCGACAACGGATTGTTTAACCGACTCTAAACTCTTAAAAGGAGGAGATTCTCATTTCGGTTGTTTTTTTTTATGTTTGTTATCTCACAACTATTAGGAAGCCGATTAGGAAAACTTTTTTTATTTGGAAATAAACCAATATAAACTGATATTGATTTTTTATGTTATTTGAAAGGGTTTTTGAATTGTTCAAAATGAGTGCTCTGGTCACCTGTCAGAAGCTGCGTAATATCTATTCTAGGTGTCGATCTGTATCCCACACATTCAAACGAACGAACGAAAATGTAACAAATTTCGACATGTCAACCTTCAATTTAATTGAAAGAGAAGTTTTGAAGGCCGCGTTGTGGCTACTAGAACACGGCCCTTCTTTCGTAACTACTAGACACAGACTTGTAAGTAACTAATTTTAAAAAAAATCTCTAGGACGTAACTCACTCAATATTTTTTTAGTAGGGTTCTGTAAAATCTATTTGTACATCAACTAGAATTTTTTAAATAAAATGCCTTTATAAAAACAAGACCGTCAATTTTTCTTACTAAAAAACGACAGTCATTCGACCAAAATTATATTTATAAAACTTATTTTTACATTTCTAAGCAAGTATATAGAATCGATAGTTAATAAAACTAACTTACAATTCAATTGCATGTGTCAAAGTTAAGTACGTTAGTACGAATACGTTTTAAAAAAAAATGTTCTAAATTCAGATAAAGTTTTTTACGTTTGTTTTCTTGAGTATATGATAATTTCTTTTTTTATTTGGTAGTTAATACTTTCCGGGTGATGCCAGTCGAATAGAATACAGACTATGGGTGACATTCTTCCATCTTTAGATGATTTTAGAGTAAATTAAGGAATAAAAAAGAGTTTATTACAATTTATCATGATGTAAGGGCATTGGAATATCTACTCAAGAAAATGACGTAATACTATGTTTGCGACTAAATGACTTTTATGAAATATTTAAGAATGTGGATATTACTTATAAATAAATAGAATGCTCAACACGCTCAATCTCACACGCGGACGCTTCATGTTATCCTAGGCAGAGCCTGTACACATATGTGATTATAACACTATGTATTTGGGATGGGAACCTAACCCAAGTGCCTATTACATGGTTATTTGACATTATGAATTGAACGATAATAGGGCTCATCACTTATTGGTTCTGTAGCGAGAACTTATTATATTTGTTAGAATTATAATATATAGTTTATATACCTAAAATTGCACTTTAATTATCAAAAGTAATTAAAAAAATCGTCACTTCAAATGACAAACAAAAAAAAACCGTTTCCCGATATTGTATGTACCTTTTTTTCTAATGTTTTTTTTTCAACTTGCCAGCAGCGTGATAACCTCGGATAAGTTTTTATCATCATCAAAAACGAATTCAAGAATATAATTAAATAAAAATTTACTTTCCACATAAACATTTAACAAACAACGGAAGTTGAAAACGCAAATCCTTTACGTCTATTGGTAGATCATCATCACCTCACCTGGACTCGTGCTGCAGTCATCAGTATATCGGAATTGAACCGACTATTACCACCCGTAATATGTGAATTCCTCGGAGGGCCCCGGCAGACCTTGGCAATAAATAGTCAGTCGCCGCCTTTAAGTGCCCTTCCTCCCTCTAAAATAGAAGGAATTGGACTTCTAGTAACTTCATTCCCTTGGTGAAATGCTATTGTATCATTTCAATCGATCCCCCTATACGACACGAGCCAAATTCCCATTGCCACAGATCCATCAGCCTTCTCGTAGAAGACCTAAATGGATAATGCTATCAGGACAACTTCATGGATGCTGTTACAAACAAAAACCCACATACCTGACTAGTGTTGGTGTCAAACACTGCATCGTAAGCATACACCCTCGGCGGCTCGGGGGGGACCACGTTGTTTCTCGTAACAGCCACAGTGTTGTTCACAGGATCTATGGAGACGCAGTTGTAGGCGTTGTCAAGCTTCTCACGCTGGTCCATGGGCCTGACGCGGACCACGACGCGGACATTTTCCACGGTGGGGGCCAAGAGCTCGGCGTCCTGGTGGAGGAATAATATTTTGACTGTTTCTATAGTTAAGCTAACAAGAACTGCTTAGAAGATATGAGAAGTTAGAGTCTTATATAGAATCTAAACAGTCATTAATTCTTTGATGTCCAACCCATAAATAGTTCTTTTTTTATGTTATATGGGGCAAAAGAGTAGACGGGGTGATGGTAACTGACTGCCGACACTCGTAGATACCTGCCAATCAACTTTTAAGTGCCCGTGACCAGAGTTTAGGGTGGAGTAGGGATTGGTATTCTGTTACTTCCTTACTCGGTTATAAGCAACCAAACAATAGTTTAACACGACGATACTTGCGACCCGCCCCGGCTTCGCTCGAGTGTGAGTATATATGGCCTTACATATGGCGGGTTAAATTATTTTTTGGGCGTCCTTGTTGCAAAAAATCTTTTTTTTACACAAACTAACTAAGGTTTTATCATGTTTAGATTGTGATAACCACATCAAAACCAGTTGTTAAGTTTAGTAAGAGTTAGAGGCAATAAAAGCAAACGCATACATGAAACAAGGGCATTTACGATTATTCTTTTAACCCAGGATTCTCATACTCATTGTTATAATTAGAAAATAAATTTCAACTTTTTTCTAATAAAAGCTGCCATGTTCTTGGTTTTTAAGCCTGCAATATTAAAAAGCTTAAACTATCTTCTTTTGCAGAAAAAAGTAACATATGTCCTAAAAGGTACCCTCAATTGCAAAATTCATCATAAATAGTTCAGCAGTTGTCATGACAATGTAACAAAATACCAAAAATTAAAACAGAATTTGTGAAGATGAACAAATTTTATTTTTGTCTGATATTGTATTTGTTCATGCTTTAGGCATGGTCTAATCACTAGACTGTTTTGTGTGATATCTCTGCCGGAATATTTAAAATAACAAAATTTTAAATTACAGATTATTTCTTTTACTAGTTCTTCCCAAGAGTTTTACCTACATAGATGTTAACTGCCTTGCTCCTGAGGGCTGTAGTGTAATGGTTATAATAATTATCTATATTAATCTTCAGTAAATACTCTAATAAATCTTATAGACAAAACAATGGCAAAAAAAGATTGATAATTATAACCTGTCTACCCGTTAAGACTATTTTTTATATAAAGATAACATGTAAGATGTACACAATACAGACTAAGAAAGAAGATACAATGTGATATAAATTAAAACGAAGAATGAAGCATTGGAGAAGATGTTTCTGAATGTGTTACATGTTTTCTCTCTCTTTTCCGCAACCTGCAGGAGTTATATCACAACAAGGGATGTAAATATGAACCAGGAAGTCTCAAAAATGTGCAATTGGTTTGACCAATAGACACGTTGTTAAAGTTGACCTTTGGAAGCTAGTTGAGATCTGGTATGTGCCACATTATATGCAATTAACAATAAAAACTTTATTGTAAAACAAGCACAAGTAAAACTCAGTATAATGTGAGTGTAATTATTTGGCAGCCATCTTTTATAGGCAACCAACCAATTACTGTAGAGTTTGCTTTCTTTTAGTAGTGTTAAAACTAAGTATTCACTCTTTAGTAATAAAAAAAACTACTTTAATAGATATAAACCCAAAAGGTAATGAAAACATGAAACAGTTGCCACTGTTTGAAAGTACAATTATGTTAGATACTGAATGCATTGCCCTAATTAGAAATTTTAGTCAGAGTATCTCATAAACAGCATGCATGTTTAAGAGCTGGATGCGAGAAGCCCAAAATCGATATAAGTGGAGTAGAATGGGAGAGGCCCATGCCCAGCAGTGGACTGCGATAGGCTGATGATGATGTTTAAGATGCCTAATTTGGTCACATGACCAGTTAAAGTGTTAGCTAAATGATTATATATGCATGTATATACACATTTATGTGTTTTAGTAGTTAAGGTGACCACGAAAAATCTATTGCTTTGGAGTTAAGTTTGAGTGAACGACATCATTTTCTTTTATATTCACGCACCTAAAAGAAAAGAAATTGATATAATAATTTCTTTATTAAAAACAGACAATTAAAAATTACTAAAATCAATGTTATCACAATGCAAAAGAAAACCGCATTTGGTTTAAAATCTACTCGGCGTTTTTATCAAGCAGATGGCTAAATAGTACGAGGTTTGGTAATGCGTAGTTGGTAAGTACCTACATATACGTAAGCACTAGAACGGCGGCAGTTCAAATGACCCTGACACGAATTACAGCATGACTCATCATCGAAAAAGATTATTACATGAAACTTTGAAATATAGAACAATAGAATCTGATCTAGAAAATTTACATATGAAAAGTGAAATGAGAATGTAATCTACATGAAATCTAATTAGAATTTATAAGAATCCATTACCGAATTGTTAGAAATCACATGTCAGATTTGCTACTTACAGGCATTTTTTCCGGTGTGCGTCGCCGATGTCAGGATGAAGTAGACTCGTTAGCGTTACACCAAGCAGAATGAGGTCCTTTGTTCGCCGAATATTGTAAAAATCAATACCGACGACCTACTTTGCCGTTTCAATCTCTTTGGTGAACGAAATGGAAATGACATTACGTTTTCATGTAATGTTACCAGGGTTTAGTAGAAAAATCGACTAGTGAATAGCCATTAATTGGCACTTCCGGTACGGACGGCGTTGGAAATTATGGGCTGTATAAAAATGTTAATTTCGCATGTTGATCCCCGAAGTAATTATTTACACATAAAGTAGCCAAATATTTCATAAAAATAAAACATGCAGAGTAGTAGAGCAAACAAGATAAGTGATTTAAGTTTTACTTTATTCTATACATGTTAATCTAAAAATCATAAACTAGAATTCTGACAGCTTAAATGAATTTAAACATAAAAGACTTCATATGCGATATTATTAACCGTACTGAGATTGTGATTGCAACGAAATATTTTAATGATTACTAAAATTTCAGTGTAATTGTAACTAAACATAACCAATAAAAAATTAAAATTCTTAAATCTTCCTTCACTATATCATTTATAACAAAACGAATTGTATTCTGAGAAATCTTAAATGTACGATATATAAATAGATAACTTTTTATTGTACAATAAAAACATAGTAAAAATACAGTTTGTTTAAGCTACTACTATTAAAGAAAATAATTATTTGTGATGTAAACATTCGGAGACAGACCATAAATAAAATGGTGGTAATTTAACTCTGTTCTCAAAAAAGTAAAACTAAATATAGTTTGATGTCTTTATTCTAATTTTTTATGAATATCAAGAGATATAAAAGCTAGATAAGATAATTTAAAATGTGTTACATTATAGAGGCAAAAAATTTGGAATAAAGCTGACCTGCAGCATGGTGCAAGACTTACCATTGATGTGAAAAGTCGAAAGATCACGCCTCGAGGTAACTTGAGTTACTCAATTCAAGTTTCCATGTCTGATCTCTTATATTCTGTTAGGATAATTACTTTGTATAAAAAAGAGCAGGTCACATCACACGTCAACAGCCTTTAATAGTCCACTTCTGGACATAGGCCTCTCCTTAGAAATGAGGTTTTAAAAAGCAGGTGAAATGGAATTGTTTATAATACTAAGAAACTTTTAGATAGAATTTTTGTTTAAAAAAATTTAACTAAATGAAAACAAAGGAGTTCTGCTGTTTTTAGTAAACAATTTGGTTATAAATGTCTAAAACATTATAAGCAACTATAAAAAATAACATTTAACATACGCATATTTTTCATTTGATCTTACCATTTGTTACCATTTTTTCATTAGTATTTTTAATTAAGTGATTGTTATATACTCTATGAATGAAAGTAACTATTCCTAAATCAGTATAAAAATCCCCTAAAGAACAAACGTAAGATTTGATATACATCTTAATCCTTGAAGGTACGTTGAGGCCGAACTCGAGTTTTGTAAAACTCAATTTGAGATGGAGCGAGTTAGTATGTTAAGTTGAAATCACCTACAACAACTGTCAACTGTCAACAACTACATTCAGGAATGTCAAACACCGCTGATGTTTATTTTTCTAAAAAAATATAAATAATTTAGTTCCTACATGGCTCTTATGTTAATTGATTCAAAAACAAATCTAATAGATTTTAAATAATCAGTGCAAATGTTAAAATGTCGACGGCTTCCGAAGGAGATGGTCCCCATATTGGGTGTGTTGACGTCAATGAAAAAGTGAAAGAAAGCGAATCAATATATGAAACTCTTTGTGATTCGGGGCTGGAAACTTTAGATTCATGTTGCACCACGTTCCCGCCTTCGGACTCGGAGGGTTCACCTTTAAAAATTTATTTAAACGATGGAGGCAATGACGCATCGACAGAGAGCCTTTCAAACGAAAGTAGTTTGTCATGTCCTGTGTCCAACGATAACGCAATCGAAAATTATGTAAAAAGTTCTGTAGGCAACCCTAATGACACAGAAATATCCAGTAGCAATGATATAAATGTTGAATCCCCTAAAAATTCTAGCAAAAATGTAAGAAATGAAACAGATCTTGATAATGTTAAAAGAGGTTTAACAACTTCGACTGTGAGCCTTGATGATGAGAAGGCTGTAGGCCACACCGTTATAAACAAATCTACATTTAGTAAAAGTGCTGAAAACATTTCGAACATATCATTTCATGAGAATCCTGAAAGTTCAAACTTAAATTCCAGTGAGAAAGAGTTAAATGCAGAGAAAATTCTTTCACAATTCTCAGCTCATAAAACGAAGATCACCGCTGTCCAGAAAGTACCTGAAACCCCTTCAAACTTAGATCCCAAATACACAAGAATACCCAAAGAATTATTATCCCAAGACATAGGTAATATAGTCAAAAATGTACATGGCATTTTTTCATCTGTAAGCGGCAGTCTAAAAAGCGCATACACACACCGAGCTGCGTATGCTTATAGCCAAAAGCCTAATAAAACCGTAAAAAGTCTACCAAACGGTAAATTAATGAATGATATATTTGAAGATGAAAATATTGAGCCCAAAACGATTGAAAAGAAGGAAATAAAAATTGTAGATCAGACTTTAAATACAGATATTTCAAGACCAGATAGTCCAGGGGAGTCTGGTAATGCAAAGAGTGATGTACTTAAACTACAAGTGGAATCACTGGAGAGATTGCTGGCGGAACAGAGGAAAGAAAACACTGCATTAAGGGAACAAGTAAAACAACAATGTGACGAACTGCAGCAGAAAGACATGACTTTCAAAGAGTTAGAAGTGAAATTAGATTTGGTGAGTATTTTTTTTTGAATTTCAACTTCTCTGTGGTGCAATCACAATAATTCAATCAGCTGTGGAAGGGCCATGCTTCTGCAAAAGTGGGCTTGCTCTACCAGAGTCCGGAATAATGGAGTCTGGGAAGGTCCTCCTTATTCTGTGGGAACAACAAACTTAAAGAGTGACTACACACTTAAGTTGTAGATGTCAATGAACGGCGGTAGTTGTTAACCATCAGGTGACCCGTCTGTTTATTTAAAAAAATTAAGAAAACGTAACAATTCTGGAAAGAAGATTATTCACCAAACATTTTCCTTTATTTTTTCTTTTCGTGAACAAATTATATTTATTCATTTATATTTTGTCTATTGGTTAGTGTCCTGAAGGCCAATTCTCGTAATAAAAGTTCGATCACAATTCAGTTCCAATCAATGTTCAAGCTAACAACTGTCATAAAAGGTATTCTCATAGTAAAGTATTAAACGTCCAACGTTTACCGTAATGTGATTATATTGTATTGTAACCGGAAATTGAATCGCCCATTTCTTAGTATCTAATACTTTATTATTTTACTACGAAATATCTTTTATGACAGTTGCGAGACCGAGAGCTGATTGAAACTGAATTTTGACTGAACTTTTACGACGAAACTTTGTACTCAGACTTGACAGCTAAGCTAGAGGTTGATGGTTCAAATCCCACCCAGGACAAATAGTTGTGTGATCATAATCATTTGTTCTGCGTTTGGGTGTAATGTACTTACATATTATAATGTAAGTATTTAAAAATATATATAAACTAATTGGTTACCATAGTACAGGCTCTGTAGTTTGTGTGCGACATGTGATATGTTTTTATTTCTTTAGATGTCCAAACGCGTTGAACATGCTGAGCGGGAAAAGGATGCCGCCGTGATGCGGTACGCTAGCGTAGAATGCGCGGCCATCGAGGCACGCCGCGCTGCCGACAATGCTGCGAAAGCAGAGAAAAACGCTCACGCTGAAGTGGAACTCTTAAATGGGAAACTGAAGTCAGCTCATGGTGAAAAGCAAAGGATATGTCAGCTATATGATAATAAGGTAAGGCTATGAACCAGCTATTAAATGTCAATTGTCAATGTCCGTTCTCGCGGTATGTCTTTCCTCAAGAATCAGAGTATCACCATACCAAATTTTATGTAAATCATCTCAGGGGCGGTTATTGATTCCCCATACAAACATCCACCCCCCTTTTCACCCCCTGAAACGATGATATCTGGGATAAAAACGTATGTAATTACCCAGGACTCGGAATATCTCAAAAAAAAAAAACTTCATAAAAAGGTAACGGACACACAGACAAGCCGATAGGAGATTCGAATGGATTTTCCACCCCATCGAAAAGGCTTAGGATTGAGTGGAGTATAGGTATTTTATATTTCTATAACATTAAACCCACCCAAAACATTTTCATGTAAAATTATGCCAAGACGAGACTATATGGCCGACACAGTCAAACGGTTATCCGAACCCATGTAGAGCCAATCTTTTAACTCTACACGCCTTAACTCTACAAGCCCAAATTTCACAAACTTAGTCTTACTACACCTTAGTCAAAACATGTGGCTTAGACGTCTCGTTACTACATAACTTTTTGTATGAGTAACAGAAAAGTAATACACCGTGATTTTTTTCACCTTACGCCCATGGGATGGTAGCGAAACCGCTCTATCTATACTCATTCAATAAAACCTTTAGTAGTATAGTATTACTATTAACATCATATCCCCAAAATTTTGTTTATCTGGTATAATCCAAACCCAAGTAAAAAAAAGCGACGAAACACTTCGAGAAAAGGTAGGTGGTGCCCTTGTGCTCACTTAGCTCTTCTTGGCGGATGCACTACCGTGCTCCCAGATTAACAAATTCGTACGATCTTTTTATGCCATAGACATTATAGATATATTTGACCATATTATGTCATTATTGAACAATCTCATTGAATGTATTTATCCATCAATGCAAATGAAGGTCTACTGAATAGTGTTAAGGCACTTAATAGACTGTACCTAGTAAATGTTGGTTTTTGTCATAGTGCGTTGTTTCAAAATTCTCGAAGGTTGACTTTGTTTTACTTAATACTGTTATTTACTCTTTCCTTAGTAGTAATAGGCCATATACGCATACATATTCTTATAATTATCTAGATACGTAATAATTCAAAAAATTAAAAAACCCAACTGCAAAAAGACAATTTAACAATATTTTTTAGTACTTAATGCACGTTTTTTTTTCGATACTACCTACCGGGGAGGTTGTTATGTCGGACTCGAACTGACCAAAAACCTTACGTCGCCACGCCGCTTCCTACTGCACCGAGTGTTGTGGGTCCGATCCCCACATGGGACGACACTTTAGGTGATCCACAAATTGTTGTTCTGAGTCTGGGTGTTCTTTGTGTCCGTTTCATGTATTTTTTTTATTATTATTTACTACTAAACTGCGATTTTGATTTAAAAAAAACTGTGTGTTCAAGTGGATTTGAGAATAGATTCACTACAAAAAGTTTTTTTTTTTGTTTTAAGACGTGTTTAAACGTCGACGCCGACGTTTTAAGACGGGTCCGCTGATTGAAATTTAAAACTTTTTGATAGATACTCTAAAAGATTTTGATACTCTACTCGATGAATTTGGTTTTTTTTTTCAACCTATTACTATCCGCCAATTTATTTTATTCTTTCAAAAAGTCATCTAAGGATACTTGAGTTTTTGAGACGGATAAAACTGTCGAAATCCATCCAGCCGTTTGGAAATTACGAGACAATAAAGAAATTTAAAAACAAAAATACAAGATACGTGCGAAATATATAACCCTTCCTTTTGGCAGTCGGGTAAAAAATGCATTGAATTGAATTTTTCTGCCAGAAAAACCATTGTAAAGGTTCCTAATGGTCTAGTCTTCTTAGTCTTTTAAGGAATAGGTACCTAGATAATGTACCATAATCTTTCAAAAACACATCATTAGAATGCCGTCTACTTTTTTAACCAAATCACAGATGAGATTATCTTAAATCCCAAAGTCAAGGTTTTTTATGCTATGGGAGATCATAGTAACTGTTATATAATGTGTATAAGAGCTTTTTATAAAGTGCCTAAGTCAATTTGCGAATTGCCACTGTCTAAGATGAAGGCTGAATCAAAAAAATGGCTGATACAACAAACTTTTTATTGCATAAACGAATTTTTCGATCTTAAAGTCCGAAATCTTAAGTAAATTACATTATAATTTTAAATGTTGGACCATTTGACATTATTTATACTATTCTATTTTTATTTCCATGTGCTTAATGTTTGCATATATATAATAATGATTATTTTAATTTAGTTAAGCGTCTTAATTTTTTAATTTAAAGTGCAATTGTCATGTAATTTGATTTGTAATGTGATGTGCTCTAAATTTAAATTTGCATGCCAATATTGGCGAAATGTGTGATTCAGTACTCCATGTAACATCCATAAATGTAACACATTTTTTTTGCAAATAAATTATTCTTATTTAAATGGGAGACTTTACTAACTTTACTGCTCTTGCTCTGCTCTTGTCACTGATTGGCTATTTTAAATGCAGCAGCCAATCAGTGCAGAGAGCAAAGAGAGATGAAAGACCGAAACAGTTTTCTTTCTCTGTCCACCGGTCGTCCGCTACCACTTATAGAGGAATATACATTTCGCTTCCTCTACTTATGTTATCTTTATATTTAAGAGGCCCTTCCTAATTCTGGAAGGGAAGGGGGAGGGTGTATTCAATGTGGCGACGTACTTGTGTCTCTTAAGTTCTAAGTGTCCCAGATAGTAACTTATAATTAGTTGACCCATCCGGTTGTTTGCCACCTATACCATAAAAAATATTCAAACCACATAACACACTCAATATTACTGAGAAACAGCCTACGTCACATATATAAATTTAGATATTTTTCCTTTCTTATCTAAAAGAAGTTAAACGGAACCAGATTACAGCTATCAGAAGCAGAATAAAATACCTTACATGTCAATTTAATGGGCAAAACATGTAACTACAGTATATCATCAGAAATATTTTGGATAAGGAAGTTACTTATGACGCTTGACGACGTGTATCAAGCAAGGCGGTAGAGGGCTGATCCCGGGCGGAAATTAGGAGCTGCGGAATAGGCTAGCGATCTGATCGCATCAAGGCGCGATGGTGTCACAACCTTGTTATTAGACCGATTGGTGGGAGCTTATGGCTTCCACGAGTTAGGTTAGGTTAGGTTGTAATTTTCCCTCCGCCCGAAGACGTGCGCGAGTGGCGCGAAGCCGCTCGCCGAGCCACCATGGTCAGATGGTCGTTCCGGCTGGAGACTCCACGCGCTGGCTTCACCGCCGTGGAGGCTCTCCAGCCGGTCATCGCCGAGTGGGCGGGGCGGCAGCACGGGACCCTTTCCTTCTGGCTGACGCAGGTGCTTTCCGGGCACGGTTGCTTTGGAAGGTACCTGTACTCGGTCGCTAGGAGGGAATCGAGTCCCGCCTGCCACCACTGCGACTGCAGTGAGGATTCGGCCCAGCACACGCTGGCGGTTTGCCCCGCATGGGCGACGCAGCGCCGGGCCCTCACTGCAGTCATCGGAGCAGATCTCTCGCTACCGGCCGTAATTCGCTCCATGGCCGGTAGCGACAGTTGTTTTACCGCGGTCGCAACCTTCTGCGAGGAGGTAATCTCGCAGAAGGAGGCGGCGGAGAAGGCCCGGGAGGACGACCTCCACTCGGACCTTATCCGCCGCCGGCGAACCGGGCGGCGGAGGCGCGCTTACCTGCGCCTCATGCCGCCCTGAGTGTGGCCGCGGGTGGACGGGATGGGTTCTCCCCTCCACCCGCATTAGTTGGCCAGCCGCGAGGGGGCGGCGTCCGCGTGTGCCGGACGTCGCCTAAAGAGAGGAAACATTTTGAGACGGAGCCCGCAACAGGAGCGGGCCGGCGCTGGGAGGGGTCCAGAAGGCGATAACTACCTGGACCCCTCCTAAACTGGAAGCGCAAAGAGGGCACACCGTGTGGTTTTAGTCGGTTCGAGTCCGACACACCGCCCCGCCGAACGAGAGCCCCGGCGGGGTGACGGTCCGTGGGGATTTCAAAAAAAAAAGAAAGGTTAGGTTGTAATTTAATTGTAGTCGTGAAATCTCGTGAATGTATGAATTAAGTAATACGCATACGTCACACTGTTCAAAACTTAAATTACCTATACCTACTCTATAATTAAACTTCTTATTAACAAATACTATATAGATACCAATTCTATGAACAACTTTAAAACAATCCTAAATAAGTGCATTTCTTTTAAAATAGACAATAAAATCCTTTGCACTCTCCGAAATAGCATTAATCGCGAAAAAACATCTGTAATGCATCATTTCATGACACTTCTGTTAATCATTCCCATAAATTGAGGCCTCGCTCGCTTGATTATCTCTTATTTCGTGTTTCTAACTTTGAAAATGACGAACATCTATACAACCGTACGTCCCTTATTTTACTCCCTAAGGGTTGAAACTTTTGTGATGGGTATCATGGATGGCTTACAACATAGAAAGCATCAGCTGCCAAAATTTCAGGTTTGTAGTCCCAGCAGTTTAGGGTCTGCGTTTATGAGTCAGTCAGTTAGGGCAAGTAATTCTATATGTATAGATTCCAAATACAAGGTGCTTTGAAATTTGCCATAGTGTATAGTATTCTACTAGTCAAGCGCTTTCATTTGATACCAATATTGAGGGAGTTGTGAAAAAACATACAATCCGCCATACACACGTACCGATTTTCATCAAACATAGCTAAGAACACACCCGACTAATTCACCTTTTAAACAAAAAAAAAAAAACTCAAAATCAGTTCATCCGTTCGGAAGCTACGATGCCACAGACAGACACACACATACACAGCCACGTCAAACTTATAACACCCCGTCGTTTTTGCGTCAGGGGTTAAAAAGGGGGCCTGATTGCGGCTATCGTGCGAAGCGAGAGTGCGTGGACCTCTGCCGTCAGAGGTTTAGGACTCTCCCGGCCCGCCAGGCCCGGAAACGGGCCAGGTACCGCAGGCGACTCAGGCGCCGGAGGTCGCAGAACGACCTCCGTCCTCCATAAGCGCAGGTCTGGGGGTGACAGGTGAGGCCATCTGTCACCCTAGCAGAAGCAGGCCGGGGTGGCGACGAGCGCGTTGCGAAGCGCGCTCGCTTCCAGGGAGCACAGGGAACATGGGGTTCCCACATGGGGGGGGGGGGGGCGTGGGTCGTCTACTCGTCTGTAGATGACCCGAGGTATGTCGGGACACCAGGGACTTCCTTCCTAGGGTATACCTGGTTCCCCGGCTATTAGTACCCGAGACGGCGTGCGGTTTTAGTCGATTCGAGTCCGACATGCCACCGACACGTGGTATCCCAGGGGATGTCCGCACGGAAAAAAAAGGGGTTAAAAAGGGATATAAAGAATTTTCTTCTCGTATTAATATATACACTATCACACTAAATTACTGACAAAATGACGGAATATTAAGAACCTTGCACTTACAATCTGAAGTGACCTTTTTTATAGCAAAGTAATAAAATTAGCACCATGTCCTCAGTGTCATGAACTGATGAACAGCGAGCGCGAAATGGCGAAGCTCCGCGAAGACCTTCGGGAGCTGGACGGCCGGCTGAAGTGGACACAGAGCAAACTACGGATGGAGATGGATGCTTACAAGGTAATGAATATTCTGGATATAAACCATCAAGCCGATATCATGCATGGTAGGTAGGCAGAGGCTTGTTAAACACATCTTTTGTGACTGTAATATGAATCAACTGACGTAACAGGGGGCAGACGGAGACATCACACTTCACATCAACAGCCTTTAAAAGTCAACAGGAGAGGTCCTTAGAAAGGAGGTCTTGGCCTACTACACAACGCTGTTCAGACGAGTTGGTATAGGGTTTGTGTCAAGTTTTCCTTCTCGAATATGTTGGGGGCGATCACGTTGCCTTTAACTAGAAAATATGGCAAAAACGCAGGATCGTCACCTACATCGAGTAATTAAAACTATCGCTGATAGTATATAATATATGAAGACTGCCTCGGTGGTACAGTGGTGGTGGCGCCAGACTAGCGAAAGGTCTAAATCTGAAAAATAAAAAAAGCCGTACCTAATCTTTGATAATAAAAAAAATTGATTGATTGTGATTGCATTATCTTTGTCCAACGAATTGGCAGTCACAGGTGAAATCTCTGTGACTAAAATTAATCATATGATTTTGAATTAAAAGTAGCAATAATTGTCTATGTCTAGTAACTATTAAGTATTTTTTTTTTTTTTAATAAGCAAAACTATTTTTTCCAGGAGACATCAGAGCGGGCCGACAAATTGTCTCAGCAGGTTACTGAACTGGAGGCTATGAAAGAAGCGGCCGCAGCCAACGCCACTGATTCTATAAAAGCTAAACAGTTTGGTAAGTAATAATAATAATTTCACACATGTCACACACGGCAGTCTAATCCTAAACTAGGCAGGGCCTGTACTATGGCACTGTTTCCTTATGGTCATACCAGTCATACTCTAACTCCATATCATTAGTAAAATGGTTTTTTTTCTGTATAATTTGTATATAAATCTTTTATCTATATATATACTAGCTGACCCGGCGAACTCTGTTCCGCCTTAAAGTTGTTGATTTGTTGTTGATGACACGACATTTTTTGTTTTCTTATCAGGCGCAAAAACAAACAACGCAGATGGTCTTCCGACCAATACTCAACGTTGCAATGTATCTTGAACGTTTTAGAAATAAGTGGCGAATATGGAACAATCCAACTGTTGTCGACAACGAAATCCATTCTTTTCACTTTTGTTGTGACAGTTCCACCGTTGTCATCTGGTGATCGACGCCGATACAAAAAAAAATACGGAATAAATAGTATCCTATGTCCGTCTCCTGGCTCTAAGCTACCCCCTCACCAATTTTCAGCCATATCGGTAAAGCCGTTCTTGAGTTATTAGTTAATAGTGTAACTAACACGACTTTCTTTTATATATATAGATATAAGAGATTTCCACGTATATAGTCAGTCACTCATCACGATATCTCTGGAACCATTAGAGCTAAAGACTTGACATTTTTTAGGAATATTCTTTTCACCGAGTAGAGGTCAGCTAAGAACTGATTTTAAGAAATTCAAAAAAATAATAATAATTAAATAATGTAAATAGCAAAACAACGTTTGCAGGGTCAGCTAGTCCCATATTAATATTATTATCACTTTACAAAATGCCTATTAAAAAAGGGCAAAAGAACTTAAAGGAGACTGCCCACTTTTGCCCACGTTACATACAGTTACGAAAACAAACATGTAGTAGAAAAATATTATTATCTTATTGCAATACAAAACACAAGGAGTTATTTTAATTTGCTAAATAAAAATGTAATCTTGTATTTCTTTCAAATTCATACATTTTACGTTAAAAAGACTAACTGTCAGTCTTTAAACAAACGAGTCAAAGTATACTGTCCATGACATACTAAACCATGCTAATATTATAAATGCGAAACTGTGTCTATCTGTCTGTCTGTCTGTTAACTCTTCACGCTTGAACCGCTGAACCGATGATAGATAAAAATTTGGTATAGAGATAGTTTGAGTCCCGGGAAACGACATTAGTTTTTACCCCAGAAAACATCCTTTAGGGGGTGAAAAGAGTGGTGGAAATTTGTATGGGGATTCAATAACCGCTGAACCGATTCAGATGAAATTTAGTATGAAGATAGTTTGATTCTTTAGAAAAGACAAAGGCTACTTTTCATAGCGACAACCGACATACAAGCGGGCGGAGCCACGGGCAAAAACCAGTACAGCAAATGCCGCCAAAATACGAATGTGCAAGTGACTTTATTTTCTGGTTTTCTATTTCTGTGTTTCATTTATGGCCTTCTGTCCTGAGACTTGGCAATTAATAAAGTTCCTGAAATATACGGACACGATCTGGTTTATTTCACATCCTAGGAGGCAGTGTCCTCTATATGGTAAACGTCACAGGACTAAAATGTGGTAGAAACTTGGCACTCCCAACTTAATAAAGCAATAAATTATACCCAGACACAAAAAATATGATCGTGCTCATCAGACAATCATTTGTGCTGGGTGGGAATCGAACTCACGACCTCCGGCTTAGCAGTCAGGGTCACTAACCGCTAAACCAACAGTATATTTATCAGCAGTCTAGTTACCGTAGTACAGGCTCTGCCAAGTTTGGGATTAGACTGCCGTGTGTGAGATGTGTAAAGTATCTTCTTCTATAGAAGTTGCACCGCCGCTGTCCAACCGTGTGGCGACGGATTAAGAATACAGAGTGTCACCACCCCTATTCATCCCGTGGGTGTCGTAAGAGCCGACTAAGGAGCAAACTACGCATGACAACAGCACTGCAAAGAGATGGAAAACTTGACACAAACCCTATACCAACCCGTCTGGCCAGCGTGGTATAGTATAGGCCAAAACCTCCTTTCTGAGGAGAGGCCTATGTCCAGCAGTGGACTATTAAAGGCTGTTGATGATGATTGAAGTTCCAACTGACTGAAAAGAAATCTTCTTCCGAGTCTATTTCCCAAACTAGGTTGGGGTCGGATTTAAGTCTACAACGATACGGCTGAACTTCAATTTTTCACGTGGAGCGACTGTAGACCTCCACAACCCAAGTACTAGGCGATATCGAACCTCTGTAGATAGACTTTAGGGATAGATTTTGGGACTCCAACTATCCGTAACGATTGCTGGCTAGAATGACCTGGCTAGGATTGCTTAACTTTGCGATGTGTTCACCTACCCGGTCAGCACTTAGCACCTAGCACTAGCACCTCCTTTTTAACCGATTTCAAAAAAAGAGGATGTTCTATGTTCCACTGTATGTGTTTATTTTTACAGTATAATATTGTTTATTGACAGAAGCGAAGTTGAAGGAGAGTCAGGCCGCTCTGATTTTGTGTCGTCACGAGCGCGACGAGCTGGAACGCAAGTTGACTAGCACCACGCAACAGCTTAACGATAGTACGAAAGAAAGGGACGCTGCTATCGAATCTCTCACTCGCACCACGGTTGAGGTAAGAGTAGCGTTGGAAAAAAAAAAACATTAGCATAAATTAATACAATTATAATTTAGTGAAGGTAAAAAAAAACAGATTTAATGATGAACCGAAATCAAATGATTTACTTTGAGGAAATCCCCTCGGATACCGCCTATCGGTGGCATGTCGGACTCGAACCGACTAAAACTGCACGCCGTCTCGGGTACTAATATCCCGGATTAGACCAAAAGTATGATCTGCAAATATTTTAATTCTTTATGCACAAGGATGAGTTGTACAATATGTCGTACAATATGTATGTATTTACAAAAAAAGTACATAAGTATTCTATCAGTCAATCTAGCTTTCATAGTACGAGCTCTGCTTAGTTTCATACTAGATGGCGTTGTGTGTCAGATGGCGGAAATATTCAGTTATTTATTTGGACAAAAAATATTGGACAATGTCACAGTTGATGCAAGTGTGTTTTGTTGAGATGCAAGAAAAAAGAAAAAAAAGAATCAGGGTGGCTTTGAATAATAATAATAATCCCTAAATGTCGCTTTTCGTTTAAGTATGTATTTTAATGCCTTAATAAAACATTTAAATACACAGACACACACCCTTTCTTTCATCTCTTGGTATACCCGCTTAGGAGTGAAAATTTATAAAAAAAAAACTTAGTTGGTGCTCATACGAGTAACATAAAAAGCAACAGCTGCTAAAATGTCAACCCGGTACTAATACCGGGACAGTTACCCTAGAAAGGAAGTCCCTGGTGCAAGGTTCTTTGTACCTGTAACTAGAGCAGGCTATTGTCGGAAAATTATTTTGTCAATATTGTAGCAGTTATAATAAAATGGTATTTTCTCCACTTTTTTGTAAAGGTGGAACAATTAAAAATAAGCAACCTACGCTTGGAGGAGGAAGCGGCTGAGCTAGCCGCTTTACGAGCGCAGGCGGCGCTTGCCGATTCGCTGAGCGCTCAGTTGCAGCGCGAGCGGGAGCGCGCGGCGCGAGCGGAAGAAGCGCTGAGCGGCGAGCGCGCTGGCGCCGAGACCCGGGCGCGACGCGAAGCCGCCGCGCTGCAACACGCCGCAGCGCTCACCGCCGCGCATGTCGCCGCTCAAGCAGCTGCACAGCGCCACGAGGCTGAGGTAACTAATAAAAATGTTTACCCGCTCATCTTCTAGAAAAAATTGGAAGTTTAGAGAAGCGTTATGTCGTCCAGTCAAATTCACACGTCGTCAAAACACAATTTTGATTTCATGCTTTATGTACTCGTATATTGGAAAAAAACTTAGTTTATATCGTGGCTTTACTCGCGTCAACTTCGACTTTTTTAGTAAATATTTGCCGGGATAAAAGTAGTTCCAGGTAATAACCTATTGCCGTGCCAATTTCATTAATATGTATTCAACTATTCTGGCGTGATTGAGAAAAAAAAAAAGTCAAAATCTAAGAAATTTTTTATATCTTGTTAACGACATTAAAAAAATGCACATATGCACTACATATTATTTTTTTATTTTCAGGCGCGAGCTTTAAGCGTGGATAACACTTCCCTCCGCGAACGCTTATGCACTCTGGAAGCGGAGTGCCAGAAGTTACAGACGGCACTCAGCGAGGAGACTGAGCGGAGGAACAAGGAGAACAGGGTCCTCGCTAGGAAGGTACGTTCTCATTATAACTATACCGCTATGGGCGTGGCTTAAAAACTATCAAAATGTTGTTTTTGAACTTTAATTAAATTATTGATTTGACTAATGAGCGCGTTATTAGAATTGTTCGTTAGATGGTAGGTGAGATGACTGTGTTACTGTAATGGTCGATTGTTTTTTTTTATTGCGCTTAGGGTTGCCTAGCTGAAGTCTATATGGAGAAAGATGAGGTTTTATATAGGGCTACTGACGAGACGATGTTGTTCCTGTGTAAGTAAAGCGGTAACCTTCAGATGTTCTATGGTTTCTTTTTTATAAGTTTAACATTTAAATCTGTTTAAAAATAAAAATTTAAATTGTCTGCGGTGTCATAAATCTTAATCGGATGGAATGATTTTGATTTAGTTTGATTTTTTCAAAGCTGACTGACTGAAAAATTGTTTTTCTTAAAGAACATTCTCGATTAGAGAATGTTCTTTAAGAAAAACAATTTTTTTTTATTACATTTGTTTAAGGTGGCAGAGTTAACAGAAGAGGTTGCGGAAGCGAACAAAAAGTTAGAGTGGGAGAAGGGGGAAAATGGTGTTCTCAAGAAGAAACATTCTAGTGCCATAAAGGTGGGTTCGAACGGATATTTACCGGCGCTAAATGTGGGCGCCGGTAGTCACTTTCCATCATACCCTATACCATAAAAAAACCTTATAACCCACAGGAATTAAACCGTGAACTTCAACGTGCCATGAAACGCTGCGAGCAGCTGGAAGCCAAGCTCCCCCCTCCCGATGCAAATTCCACCAGGACAGGCAAGTTCCACTACATACTAATAACGGGCCTAATGGTCCAGTGGTTAGTGACCCTGATTGCTAAGCCGGTGGTCGTGGGTTCGATTCCCACCCAGGACAAATATTTGTGTAATGAGCACGATCATTCGTTCTGTGTCTGCGTGTAATTTATCTATAACATTTATGTATTTAGAAATAAATATGTTTTTTTTTATGGTGTAAGGGGGCAAACGAGCCGACGGGTCACCTGATGGTAAGCAACTATCTTCGCCCATGGACACCTGCAACTCAAAAGTCACAAGTGCTTTGCCGCCCTTGGAGTCCCTCCCGCTCGAGTCAAGGGGAGGGGGATTTGGGCTCCGGTAACCTCACTCACTCAGTGAAAGGCAACGAAAGAATTGCTTAACATCGATTTTCTGTGAGGCCGTGGTATCACTCCGGTCGAGCCGGCCCATTCGTGCCGAAGCATGGCCTCCCACGGTGTAAATTGTATTGTATCTTTACCATAGTACAGGCAATTAATATATCACTTCCGACATTCACATTAGTTCGTGTACTAACCCAGATAAGCCAACTGTCCCATATGTCTGCAATGCACTTTCAGATATACTTTTCAATGAAATATTTATAAAATGGATAATATATTATAACTGCACCTTTTTTAATTATTATTTTAATAGCACATTAGCTTGTCACTACAAATCCATTGAATATATTCTGTTAATATGTGCGTAAGTTGAATTTTTTATTTCTACCGTCCTACATATGGGACTATGGGACTGTAGGCTTATCTGGGTTAATTGTGTTGTGTCGCAGGTTCGATTTCATCATTAAGCAGCGGGGAAAGTGCACCGCAGGAGGAACGATTACAAAACGGACACACAGACACACTACCTGATATACAGGTATGACTATATATATATGTTAACATACCCACACATAAATAATTTTGATTTTTTTAAAGTTACTAATTGTAACACTGCATTTCAAGGAGAGAAAATTGCACTATATAGCTGCGCGCGCGCAGCGTAGAAACTGCCTCTCAACGCTTTGTTTTCTATCGAGATATTCCAAGAAGCCTTAAATCATCTGATCTCTCCTTAACGTTATTATTATTAAACATATTTTCCTTTCGTAATCGTCTTTGAATAGGCTTGTGATCTGTGTGGTGCCGGATTTAGAATACTGAGTGTCACCACCCCTATTCATCCCGTGGGTGTCGTAAGAGCCGACTTAAGGAGCAAACTACGCAGGACAACAGCACAGCAAAGAGACGTAAAATTTGATAAACCCTGTACCAACCCGTCTAGCCAGCGTGGTATAGTAGGCCAAAACCTCCTTTCTAAGGAGAGGCCTATGTCTCGCAGTGGACTATTAAAGGCTGTTGATGATGTTTATCAATGTCAAAATTTGATCTCAATCGGTGCAGATTTTTTTTAGTTATTGAAGCGTACACAAATTAACTTAACATTTTTATAAATACATTTTAATAAATGGATATTATTATTATTTTTTCACGCGCAAAGGAACAGTCAACTGTGGTAAGAAGATTATTAATGTTCCTTCACGTTTTCAGATAACATTCCCAAGTATATTTGGTACATTTTTCTCTAAGGTTAGACTGTTAAAAACTTTGCTTATCAACTTATAAGTATTATTAATGTAGAAAATTGTTTTTGAACTTGTACGAGTTGTGACTCAGTCGTGGTAATATTCGTTTGATTGTGACCACGATTGGCCTAATATGGCTGAAACGTCGGATAAACAAAACATGTTTCGTAACGATTTGTCCTTTATGCGTCGAGGACTGGTTAGCTAGGTGAGCCAACCAAGCTCCTTCCAGAAGCGTAGAAGCCACCTGGGGTTCACAGGCTTCTAGGAGCGATGTTGTATTGGGAATGATACTTGCCCGTTGTGTGGCCACTCCCTCGCATTCACCCCCTGCACAGAGAGCTGTCCGTCGCATTTTTGATGAATAGTTGTTGGTTCAGGGTTAGGTGTCCTGTTATAGTTCCGACAACTATTCGGATTTCCAGTCTGCTGAGACTGATCAATCTGCAGATGAGTCGTGGTGTGCCACTTTGGACTGTCTGCAGCCGGGTGAGTTTTTCCACCGCCGGTTATGTGCTTCACAAGTCCGATGCCTGGCTCAGAATCGTATTTGGTTAAACAGTATTGGCAGGAGTATGGTTGGGCCGGTAGCTGGGGTTGCCGAGCCCCTACTTGCAAACTCATCTGCGGCATCGTTACCGTGTGAGTTGCTGTGCCATTTAATCCATTGGAGGAGTACCACATTTAATGTGGCAAGCGGCTGCAATGTTTGATGGCATTCGAAGACAATACCAGAGGTCATTCTATTTCTCTCTAGTGCCTTTAGCCATGCTGTCGGATAGTATTCGGATGTTATAGTCCTTGATACCCCTTGACATGGCCGTTGTGGCGGCTTAAGTTATTGCCACACTTTCGCACTGGAATAAGGAACTGTGTTGGCCTACGGTAGTGATATGTTCATATTTAGGTCTTGCGAGAAAACTCCGGCTCCAGTTCCTGATCTAGTCTTGGAACCGTCCGTGTAAATTCGGACTTCGTTAATGCCGGATTGATCTCGGTCATTTTCTTGTATCTGGATATGGTATCTTTTTGTGAAGATGTGGTGTTTTGGAATTCTATCGCATGGAGCTGCTATTGGATATTTGGAGTGCGATCCCTCACTTTTATGCCATAGGCCCAGGTGTCTGAGTCTAATAATCGCTATGGCGGCCTTCTGCTGTATGAATAAATCGAGTAGGGGCAGATCCAGAGCCACCTCTACAGCCAGTTACCGCAGAGCATGGGAGTCGCTGGAATTGCTGCAATTTGTTTATGACGGTGCTTAACTCTGTTTTTTTTTTGGGACTAATCCCGCCCACACGCCCACCACTGTAACTCCTGTACACCAGGATCCACATCAGTGACCCACGAACACACCGAGTTATGACACTCGGGAAGTCCCAGGAAGAAATTAAACTGTCTTGGAACCCGCAACGAAATTAATCAGAAGAAAATTGGAGGAGTTGGAAATACAGTAAATCCACTTCCCTCCTTAGCAAAGCGGGAGACAAAATGAAGTAAAATAGGCATACACCCTTTTAAACAGGGAAGCACCACGGCCACAAAATATTACGGGTCCTACATGAGCTATATTTGATTTCTATAATATGTATGGCAGAATCGCCTAAACGCACGGAAATTTATTTATTTATTTTTTAACTTTTTGCACAAGTACATGCATCGGCGGACTTAATGCCTAAGGCATTCTCTGCCAGTCGACCGATTGGGCGGTGCTGAGAAAGAATGAGGTAGGTGCATTTATGATAGGGTATAAACGATAGTGGTTTTGTTAAATACCAACTATCTTGGAATTTGGTGTATACGTCGTAATACCACACACATACACATACATATACATACTCACGAATATATACATACATACATACATTTATTTATTTATTTTATTTAAGTAACATTACAAGCTCACAGTCTCACAACCAAAACGCTTATATGCTATACTACATTGGATCAGATATACAGACCACAGATCATAATACAAAACAATACATTGAATTATTTATATAAATTACAAATAATTAATAACTCATACAATCACACAGAAATAATAAAATGTTATGAAATAAAGAATTAAAGCAATAAGATGTCACAAAAATTTACAAGATGTCAATAAATATTAATAGCCATACAGAGTACATTATAGGAAACAGTTATTTATTAGTATTTAAAAAGATCATTACATTTTGCATTAATTTGGGTAAGCTGTCAAAAAATATGTCTGCATCTACATTATTTTGCAAAAAAACATTAATTAGTTGGATAGCTTTTCCCGTGGGGCTACTAACAGCTTGTGGGAGACGCCACGTTGTAGGATAAGTCAGGAGTCGGTGATGGCGACGACAACCGCGCAAGTAATTATTTGGTACATACAAATTAATGCATTCACGCACCGATGGATTGTCTACCCTATCGTGAATTAGCAACAAATAGTGCACAATATGGTTAAAGTTTCGCCTAAGCTCAAGTGTATCAAGGCCCACCATGCCTGATACAAACATAGAAGGAAACAAGAAAGGGTAATAACCATACTCCCGCTTGTACAGGTATCGGGCAAATTTACGCTGTATTCTTTCAATGGAAAGGGTATATATTTTTTCTTGCGGGCTCCACACTATTGAATTATATTCCAGTCTACTACGTACGTAGGCATTATACTCGTAGAGCAATTTAATAGGCTGTGTGTTGGTAAATTGAGAACAAGTCCTAATAATGAACCCCAGAGCTTTATTAGCGTCTTTACATATTTGCCTTATATGGTCGCGGAAGTTTAGCTTTTGATCAAGAGTCAACCCTAAGTCTCGTATTAAGCTGACACGCTCGAGAGGTGTGCCAGCTAGCGCATACGTCACCGATACTGGGGTGCGAGAACGAGTGAAAGTTATCGTTTTACATTTTGATGTATTAAAGGACAATTTATTTCTTACACTCCATTCTTAGACAGCGTCTATGTCAGATTGTAGTTCAACACAATCTGCAGTATCGGCGCCATACACATACACATATACATATACATATACATATGAGAAAAACGAAAAAAAAATAAAAAAATTAGCCGATGAACTAGGAGCTCGTTGAATCTGCCATTTCGCTCAGCAATAGCTCTTTCACTTTCGTCTTAAAAGAGTACCGATTTGTAGCCATCCTGACTTCGTGAGGAAGCGCATTCCATAAGAGGACAGCCTGTACAAAGAACGAAGAGCCGACAAACCCAGTGGTGTGAGAAGGACAGAGTAGAAGAAGATTGTTGGCCGAACGAAGGTTTCTGTTGTGGTTGTTGCATAACAATTGAAATTGTGTTGTTAAATAAGTAGGAGGGGAAGGGGAATTGAGGATAGTGTACATAGTTGTGAGAGCGTTGACGAATAGGTAACCATCTTAGTGGGAACGAAAATCGGAGATATGGTCATACTTACGAAGATTAAAGATGAATCGAATGCAGTTATTGATGAGGCGATCTAGCTTGTTGAGAAGATCTGCATTCAGGTCATAATAGCACACGTCACCGTAGTCGATTAAAGGGAAGATAAGAGATTGCACGAGCGCTGTCTTAGTTTTCACGGGAAGAAAATTTTTCAGGCGATATAATGTTCTAAGAATGCCGGTAACCCTCTGGCATACGTATGTGACTTGATCGCGCCAGTTCAGGGTGCAGTCGAGTTGTAAGCCTAGGTCTTTCACCGATCGACAAACAGGTATAGTGATACCATTAAAAATTATTTTAGGGAGCGTCTCAAAATTGACTCTGTTCATCGAACGCTGACTGCCAATTATTATTGCCTGACACTTTGTCGGGTTGACCGATAACCCAAACCTTTCAGACCAGTTTTTGATGATTTTGAGATCTATGTTGATCTCGTCAATAGCTATTGGTATGTCATCAACATTAGCTTGAGCATACAGTTGCAGGTCGTCAGCATACAGATGATACGCGTTACGAAGTTCAAGAGGTAAGAGATTAATAAACACAGAGAACAATAAAGGAGAAATTATACCGCCTTGAGGAACACCAGAGCCGACATCACACCAGCTCGAGGAGAGATCGTCGACACGAACGGATTGCTGGCGTCCCTGAAGATAAGATGAGAACCATTCCAGCGCTTCAGGCGAGATCTTAAGATAGGAGAGGATGGATAAGAGGATATCGTGGCTGACCGTGTTAAAGGCGTTTGAAAAGTCGACCAGAATTAAGACTGTCACTTTTGTATCTTCCAAAGCCACCCTGATATCACCAGTCACTTTGACCCTAGTTGACACAAGATCCCCATAGTATACCGCCCCAGATGTCACCTGCAAGCTATTCAGCATTATATTACGTTCATTATACCAAAGACTACATTCCCAGAGGATATGATGAGCAGACTGTTCATAATGAGAGTTAGGTGTTGAGCATTGACACAATGGTGACTCGACTAATTTAAATGAATACAACTTGCTCTTAAAGTTACCATGACCCGTAAGAAATTGAGCGACACAGTGATCCACCTCAAGCCATATCCTCGACAACCGTTCGCGAACAGATGAAAAGAATTGGTAAAGATGGCGCCCCTTGGATGATTCGTCCCAGCGTTGCTGCCATTCGTCTATGAGGTCATTATAGACATCGGACTGCTGTTGAAGCAATCTTGTAATTTTACCGCGATCCCGCGCGCCCTAGAAATCGCATTCCATGTTTTGTCTTGAATAGTACATGGCTGCACGTCTCTGCACCTCGAGATCGACCGGAAGCACACCCGCCAACACCGGCAAAGCCTCAGTGCTAACCGTCCTATATGCCTTGCACAAAAATATCAGTGCAAGTCGTTGGCCTTGTAACAGTTTGCGACGGACAGCGCCTACGGTCGCCCTATCGGCCCATACAGGTGCACCATAGCACATAGAACCTAAATGAGTAGCTCCGTATATGATCTTTAATATATTAAATGATAGACCCCATGTCGCAGTTGATATCCTTGTCAATGCACAGAAACTCTTTTTAGACTTTTCATTAACTATTTTAATATGTTCGATAAATGAAAAGTTTCTTTCTAAAACTAATCCTAGATAACACACTCTGGTTTTATTTTTTACAGTAACATTGTCAAATCTAATGCTCGGCGGTGATTTGAGGTTACCTTTTAAAAGTAACTGGAAGGTTTTGTTGGGTGCAAAAGTTAAGCGATTACGTTCACCCCATTGAGATATCAAGTTCAAACATCTATTGGCTAATCTCTCAAGCCCCGCCCTAGTATCAGATTCCACCAGTAATAAGCCGTCATCAGCATACGCGTTCAGAGTACATCCGGATGGTATTGGTATAGCAAGAAAATCGTCGAAGCCGATATTCCACAAGTATGGACCTAGCACCGATCCCTGAAGACATCCCATTGTAAGCGCCTTCGACACAGAATGATGACCAAGTCTTACCTTGTGAAAAGTACGAAGAGATAAGGGAATAAATATTTTTGAAACACCCCCGTGATTTTAATTTCAGCAACAGCATGGGCCACCATGCGTTGTCGAAGGCGCCAGATATATCTAAGAAAATAGCCAGCACGTATTGAAATTTTGACCCTGTGACAAACTTTCTAACCGATATAACAGCGTCAGTTGTCGATTTACCCAACGTAAATCCAAATTGTCTATCATGAAATTTGACTCCACCTGGCAGAAGCCGGGGCACTACAAGACGTTCTAAAAGCTTTCCTAACGATGGTAACAATGTGATTGGTCGGTAGGATTTAGGATCATCCGGTGGCTTGTCGCCACTTTTTGGTATTATACGAATATTACCGCACCGCCATATACGAGGAAATATTCCTTCAGCAATGCAACGTTTAAAGACAGTGAAAATCGTGTCACCCGAAAGTTTACAAGCTTCTTTTATCATTTTGTTGGATATTTTATCATCGCCCGAAGCCTTGTTTAGCGGCAAGGATCTAATGATACCGAGAAATTCGTCTGAAGATGGTAAATCAGACATTGGAGACAGTGGTGGTTCGATGGCCCACTGCCTGATCTGTCGGTGATGATCAGTGTCGTTTTCCGGTCGATCGTCAGGTACGAGCGAGTCTAAAAGATATTCTGCTGTTTGTTCTACTCCTGTGGTATATCTGTTATTAATTTTGATGTTCTGTATGTATGCAAGGTCGATTGATCTATTTGCCTTAAATTCGTGATACAAAGGTGACCACGGGCCCTCTCTATCGAGTTTATCAACAAGTTTCTGAATTAAGTTTCCCTTGGATTTTTCCACAGCAGCTCTGTAGTGAGACCTGGCAACTCTAAGAGCAATGAGAGCATTGTTGTACAAATCTCCTGTTACGTTATGTTTTTTAATAGTGTTTAATTTTCTACGAGCTTTCCGGTAGCTTCTACGTAGTTCGGCTAATCTATCATTCCACCAATCACATCTACGAGTGCTAGTGATGGATCCGCGACCAATAGTTACATCAGCGCAGTATGTAAAAGTTTCTGATAGTATTTCTGCGCTTTCCTCAGCTGATAAACTACTGCGACTGAAGTCTTTGGTATGAGTTGCAAAGAGTGAACCAAACAAAGCCCAGTTCGCACCTTTAGTTTTATATCTAAAATTATAGGGAGCCCTTTGTGGATCCTGTGCAACCCTTGGTGTGAATTCGTACACGATCAAGCGGTGATCACTACAGGATGCGTCCGGAAGGACACGCCATCCGGATATCGAGACGTCGCCGCGCGTAAGCGTCACGTCAATAGAAGACTCACCCATTGGGTTGCAAAAAGTTGGTGGTGCATCGGGGGTATTGTGAATAATAACATTCATTTCCGCAATGAAATCTTCAACCGCACAACGTCGAACCGTGTCGGTTGAACGCAACTTGCCATGCCATAATGAAGATGACGCATTGACATCAGCGCCAATGATAATTTTATGCCCTTCGAGGAACTGCAAGACGTAACGTAAGTGATGTAAGTGAGGATCAATAGGATGTGAATATTAAAAATAGCAGCTCACTACGTAAACCTTACAGGTAGAGGATGAGATCTCAGCAACGGCGCAGTTTGACGTCATAAGATTACGCAAAGATGTTACCGTAAAATTAGAACTTGCAACATATATCCCAGCCTGCGAACGGCAGTCAAGCTGTACTACATTACGACGCAAGTGAGCGCTCTGATATTGTTCTTGTAAAAGGACAATGTCTAACTTTTGTTCTAAAATTAAACGGTCTAATTCTGATGTAGCTATTTTATCATTATGAAGATTTAACTGGCCTATCGAAATATTATTCATTACTTAGTAAGTTACTCTTTAAACTTTTTTTTTTTTAAACTAAGTTAAACTATTCAGTAATTGGTATTTAATATTAGCTGTTCTAACTCTGTTCTCTGCCACCAGACAACAGCGCCGTAAGTGATTATTGGTCTTATGACTGTTCTGTAGAGCCATAGAGTAATCTTGGGTGATAGTCCCCAGCTTTTGCCGAGTAGCCGTTTGCATTGACAGAAGGTAATGCATGCTTTGTTCAATTTTTCATCGAGGTGCTTATTCCACAGGAGTTTACTGTCCAGTATTACTCCTAGGTATTTGACCTCTTGGGTAAGAGCAAGTTGCGTTCCATATAGCTTGGGAAGCCTGAGATTTCCTACACTGCGTTTGTTTGTGAACATGACCATCTCTGTTTTGCGATGGGTTTACTGTCAGGTTGTGTGTTACACACCACAGTTCAACGATCTTCAGTGCAAGTGTCATTTGATCGCATGTAACGCTCTTAAATGGACCGCTGATGAGGATAGTCAGATCGTCTGCATAGCTATTGTGAGGAATCTTCGGTCATTGAGTTGTGCGATGAGTTCATCCACAACAATGTTTCATAGAAGGGGGAGAGTACACTGCCCTGGGGGCATCCTCTAGCCACCACACCTTTAGTAACTTCGCTCACGATAAATTGAATAGCTCTAAATCTTAGCATGCTGTCGATCCACCCTGAGATTGTGGAATCAACACTATGTCTAGACAGAGCTTGGCTAATGCTGGTGAAATTGGTTTTGACAAAGGCTCCCCCGATATCGATAAAGGTGGCCAGTGTTGACCTTTTGTGATTTAGATTGTCTTCTATATGTGATTCTTCAACTCGATGTAGGGCAGATTCTGTTGATTTTCCCATCGAGTATGCGTGTTGGTTTTGGTGTAAGGGGTGACTGACTAACGCAGTTTCCCTAATTTACCTATCTGTTAGTCTCTCGAGAACCTTTAATAAGAAGCACGTGAGACTGATCGGTGTGATTTGGGTTGTGTATAGTCACCTTTACCAGGTTTAGGAATGAAGACTAATTTAACTTCTCTCCATTTTAAGGGGGTTTAATGATGCGCCAGGCAGCCTTTGAAATTTTTTACAAATTGGTCCAGTAGTATCACATCACACCATCTCAGTAGGCCTGGGAATATACCATCTAGTCCTGGCGTCTTGAATGGCAGGAAGCTGTTAATTGCCCATCTTAGTTTGTCACGGTTGACAACTTTGCGGGCTGTATCCCAGTCTGGTGCTTTTTCCCATTTGCCTTTCCATGTTTCTATCACATCTGATATGCGACATCGAGAGCAGTGAATTTTCAATAGCAGCTGTGAGGCTTCCGAGTCTGTTTTGGTATACTCACCATCGGGCTTCTTCAGTGAGTTAAGATTATGTTCGCCTCTACTGCACAATATGTTTTTGACTCTGTTGGCCTGGTTGTCGTTCTCTATGTTAGTACAGAAGTTTCTCCAGGACTCAGTTTTCCTGGTTATGATTATCTTCTTATTTTGTTGTCGGGCCTGCGTGTAGCCATCCCAATGTTGGTCTATTCGGGGTTTTTGTTTTATTGAATAGCTTTTTCACTTTACGACGTAGTCTTTCCAGTGCCGTTTCGTAACGATGCGTGTTATTGCGATTAGAGTCAAATTTAAATTGCCAAATCTAATGTTGTAGAAAATGTAGAATTCTTAAGGTGTGAACAAATTACACTTCATTTGTGGGTAGTTGTGTAGAAGAGTTTAGTATCAATGTTTATTTAGAATGTTTTTTTGTTAGAATATTCTTGTATAAATTAGTTGGTTATCGCGGTAGTCCGTTTTTCCTTATCTGCGTATCTGCATGTGACGTATCTCGTGGCGCAGGTCCGGTCGGCGGACCGGCAGGCGCTGATCGAGCGCATCGTGTCGCTGCAGCGCGCGGCGGCGCGGCGCGCGGAGCGCTGCGAGTTCCTGGAGGAGCACGCGGCGCAGCTCACGCGCGAGCTGCGCGGCAAGGCGCGCCTGCTGCGCCACGCGCTGGCCGCGCTGCCGCAGGCCGCGCTCGCCTCCGAGCGCCGGGACGACCACAAGGTAGCTCCACACTCGCACTGTTCGTATATACTGGAGGAGCTCGCGGCGAGGCGCGCCTGCTGCGCCACGCGCTGGCCGCGCTGCCGCAGGCCGCGCTCGCCTCCGAGCGCCGGGACGACCACAAGGTAGCTCCACACTCGCACTGTTCGTATATACTGGAGGAGCTCGCGGCGAGGCGCGCCTGCTGCGCCACGCGCTGGCCGCGCTGCCGCAGGCCGCGCTCGCCTCCGAGCGCCGGGACGACCACAAGGTAGCTCCACACTCGCACTGTTCGTATATACTGGAGGAGCTCGCGGCGAGGCGCGCCTGCTGCGCCACGCGCTGGCCGCGCTGCCGCAGGCCGCGCTCGCCTCCGAGCGCCGGGACGACCACAAGGTAGCTCCACACTCGCACTGTTCGTATATACTGGAGGAGCTCGCGGCGAGGCGCGCCTGCTGCGCCACGCGCTGGCCGCGCTGCCGCAGGCCGCGCTCGCCTCCGAGCGCCGGGACGACCACAAGGTAGCTCCACACTCGCACTGTTCGTATATACTGGAGGAGCTCGCGGCGAGGCGCGCCTGCTGCGCCACGCGCTGGCCGCGCTGCCGCAGGCCGCGCTCGCCTCCGAGCGCCGGGACGACCACAAGGTAGCTCCACACTCGCACTGTTCGTATATACTGGAGGAGCTCGCGGCGAGGCGCGCCTGCTGCGCCACGCGCTGGCCGCGCTGCCGCAGGCCGCGCTCGCCTCCGAGCGCCGGGACGACCACAAGGTAGCTCCACACTCGCACTGTTCGTATATACTGGAGGAGCTCGCGGCGAGGCGCGCCTGCTGCGCCACGCGCTGGCCGCGCTGCCGCAGGCCGCGCTCGCCTCCGAGCGCCGGGACGACCACAAGGTAGCTCCACACTCGCACTGTTCGTATATACTGGAGGAGCTCGCGGCGAGGCGCGCCTGCTGCGCCACGCGCTGGCCGCGCTGCCGCAGGCCGCGCTCGCCTCCGAGCGCCGGGACGACCACAAGGTAGCTCCACACTCGCACTGTTCGTATATACTGGAGGAGCTCGCGGCGAGGCGCGCCTGCTGCGCCACGCGCTGGCCGCGCTGCCGCAGGCCGCGCTCGCCTCCGAGCGCCGGGACGACCACAAGGTAGCTCCACACTCGCACTGTTCGTATATACTGGAGGAGCTCGCGGCGAGGCGCGCCTGCTGCGCCACGCGCTGGCCGCGCTGCCGCAGGCCGCGCTCGCCTCCGAGCGCCGGGACGACCACAAGGTAGCTCCACACTCGCACTGTTCGTATATACTGGAGGAGCTCGCGGCGAGGCGCGCCTGCTGCGCCACGCGCTGGCCGCGCTGCCGCAGGCCGCGCTCGCCTCCGAGCGCCGGGACGACCACAAGGTAGCTCCACACTCGCACTGTTCGTATATACTGGAGGAGCTCGCGGCGAGGCGCGCCTGCTGCGCCACGCGCTGGCCGCGCTGCCGCAGGCCGCGCTCGCCTCCGAGCGCCGGGACGACCACAAGGTAGCTCCACACTCGCACTGTTCGTATATACTGGAGGAGCTCGCGGCGAGGCGCGCCTGCTGCGCCACGCGCTGGCCGCGCTGCCGCAGGCCGCGCTCGCCTCCGAGCGCCGGGACGACCACAAGGTAGCTCCACACTCGCACTGTTCGTATATACTGGAGGAGCTCGCGGCGAGGCGCGCCTGCTGCGCCACGCGCTGGCCGCGCTGCCGCAGGCCGCGCTCGCCTCCGAGCGCCGGGACGACCACAAGGTAGCTCCACACTCGCACTGTTCGTATATACTGGAGGAGCTCGCGGCGAGGCGCGCCTGCTGCGCCACGCGCTGGCCGCGCTGCCGCAGGCCGCGCTCGCCTCCGAGCGCCGGGACGACCACAAGGTAGCTCCACACTCGCACTGTTCGTATATACTGGAGGAGCTCGCGGCGAGGCGCGCCTGCTGGTGTAGGTCCTGAGTGAGCTATATTTGATTTCTATACTATGTATAGCAAAATTGCCCAACGCTCAAAATTGCCCAAGTAATTTACCCCTTACATGAAGACTGAACACATTTGACAACACCTTAACATTGATGAACTCGCACCCCACTATACAAAAGTTTAAACCTTAGCTAATTTCTTAATTCTCCATTGTTAAGTTATGTATGTATTGTAAATATACCCGATATATTCACATATAAAATTCTGTTATTGCTAGCCCAAAAGGAAACTGACTAAGGTAAGGTTCCAGTTAAAATTAACTTTTTTGAAATGTATTCTTTTAAATATTTGGTATTCGCATATAATATAAAACATCGACATCTTACCAACCATCTGAAGATCAATTCTCATAATAGAAAAATCCTTTGAAATTCAGTTCCAATGTACTCTAGATCTCATAAATATCATTCAAGGTATTCTCGTAATAAAGTATTAAACATCCAACTTTAACTGTATTATGCAAAGCTGTAATGTGTAACATGAAATTACTAAAATACTCGACGCACAATTTTCAACAACTAATTTAAGCTAACAATCACCCATAAATGGAGGACCCTATAATTAATTAATGTAATAGTATCCAAACTCGTTATCCAGACATTGACATCTCTAGCCAATCGTTTAATGTGTTTAAAACTAAAATAACAAATGTTTTGTGTCCATTAACCTCAACCCGAAACAAATGTTAGTTAATTAGATAGAAAATAGTATTAATTCAAATAGTTTCAAAATAAGTAATTTTTTTTAGTTTTTTTTTTGTTTTGATTGTTAAAATTTACTGTAATATAATATTACAGAAAGAAATAGCCCGTCTCGGTGGTGGTGCTATGGCGGCAGTCTGGGGCGGGGACCCTGACGGCATGACGGCAGAACTCTCTCTAGAGATGAACAAGCGGCTGCAGGCTGTCTTAGAAGATACCTTACTGAAGAATATAACCCTCAAGGTACTACCATCAGTTGTGATACGCCCTTTAAACTGAAAATCGCTAAAAAACCAACAAGTACGGTTTGAAGGCAATAGTCGCGGTCTTTGCTGTATCAGACTGCGTCACTAACCAGCCAAGGTCACGGGTGGACCAAAGCGGTATCCTGGAAGTCTCAGAATCAGGCTTTTAACCAGAGAAGGGTAGACATGTCCGGGCAACTGTACTATGCAATAATACCCTAAAATCTTAGTAATTCGATTAGATTATTAAAAATGATAGATTTCGTCGAGGTTTGCTGTTTTTTTTTAAATTAATGAAAAAATAATCATATGAAAATTTTATACATGTATATAATATGTTGGCACATCTCAACTCTCAACAAAAATTAATATTTATTTTCAGGAAAATATGGACACCCTCGGTGCTGAAATCTCCAGGCTAAAAGAGCAACTGAAAACACAAAATGAGACCAAATAACTGAAATACAATCTTATAAATAATTATTTAATGTAAAATAAGAAAATTCCAGTGTTACATATAATTGGATTCACACATTCCAAAAAAGCCAATGATTATATTGTGGGGACATTCACATACATCAACATGCTACAGAGACACGAGGGAACATACATATACACATAAACTCACGCCGTATCCCCGTATGGGGTAGGCAGAGACGATCGATATTTGCCAGGATGCCAGAAGGGTCACCATTTTGGAATACTACCTTGCAGACTAAGGTCCAGCGGTAAAAGTTGGGTATTAACACTAATTACCCCGAAAAATCTCATTGCGCGATGCAGAATCAGTCGTACTAGTTCTAGTGTTCTCCGCTAGATGGAACTGTAATACATTTTTTTATGCGAATGTCGCCACAAAATTGTTGAGAAGCTTTTTCGTCTTCTATTTAAATCTAAAATTATTTATGAATGCGGCATTTAAATACTGACTTATTATAATTCCAAATATATGAAATATTAAAATTGTGGACTTGCATCTTGTCAGCTGCGGCTAACGGTCATCGGATAACCTCTTATGGAATAGAATGGTGAAGAGACAGTACATAAATTACTTACCATCGAAGATCTATTCTTCTTTGTTGCTTTTACCGGGATGAGTGAAGTTCCCGGAGCCCAACCCACCCCCTCCCTCTGACTTAGGGGGAGGGCAGGCAGACGGGCAGCTTGTGACTTGCGTTGCAGGTGTCACTTACGGTGGTCACTTACTATCAGGTGACCTGTCTGCTCGTTTGACCATATGGTTACTGTGAGGCCTCAGTATCACTCGGTACAGTTTCTCCGAAACTAATACTCAATAAAAGAGGGCTATGTACTAGGCATGGGACCAAATCCATGTGAACTGTGAAAGACCGGTGATTTATCATTCGATTTTTTTTTGTACGTAGGTGTTAGGGTTACTACTCACTCACGCGTTCTTGCCAATAAGCTGTTTTCAGACGATGTATAAAGACCCTATTTCGCTTATTTAACAGTAAATCTAGTAATTATTTTATTATATATAGCTGCCATTCCCTACATAATGATTAAAAAATGCTAGATTTGCTGTTAAATATCGTCTAACCTACCTACCTATAGTTGAACCGCCGTAAGCTTGGTCCTGCTGATGGTTTGCGGGACGCGGGGCGGGTGATGCGCTCGGCTATACATGACACGATGTACTTGTATTGTTGTCTTCACTATTTTTAAAACAATAGGTAGGTCTTCTTCAGTTTATTGTTTAGTTTATTTTACATTTATTGTAAGTATTATATTATAAATCTAAGTATTCATGCTACGTGTTGCTTCTTGGGTTGATGCGACAAGAGAGAGAGTTGACATAAAGCACAATTGACATTTGTCAATCATAGACAAGGTAACGTTCCGTTACTACATCATCCCCTTTTACAAATATTAAAAAAAATGAAACATTCAAACATTCTGCCCCTTAAACAAATTATTAAAATTAAACTGCTTTTAACAAAGAATAAGAACAAACTTCTGTTATTACAATAACTCCATCATCCCCTTTTACAAAATAACAATCTTAAATACTAAAGTACTATAGTATTAGGATATTACATCAGTCTTAATTACTACAATATTAAGTTACACTGCAATCACACACTCATTATTCTTAATATCTACAGTGCTAACTAGTCATAAGTCATGCACACTATTCTGACAAGGTTCATTAATATTATGAACTTTTTTATTTTCATTTGTAAGATAGCAACCTACACTGAAATGATTCATTTTATTACATTTAGTGCACTTTTTCCCATATGCAGGACATTGTCTCTGACCATGTTCAGTATTACATTTTTACACTTATAAAAATATTTATTGAAACTGACTTTGCCTTCATTATTTTTAAAATTACTGTTAAATGTTCTATTCTTATCAATTTTAAATTTGTTATCTTTATAATTATTATTGAAATACTTAGCTCTATTTTCAAATGATGTGTGTTGCCGAGATGACTTTGATTCCTGCACCGCATGAACTTCCGACTTAGCCAGTGTCTTCAAATGTTCCTTAGACAGCTCCGCAGATCTACATATGTCTACTGCCTTGTTCATCGTCAAGTCTTTTACTTCGAGAAGTTTTTGTTGCATCCGTTGCTCCTTGACACCGATGACTATCCTGTCCCGTATCATGCGCTCATTCTGGTCTCCAAAGTTGCAGTTTTCTGCCATCTTCCTGATTGCTGTATAGAATGCATCAAAGGATTCACCCTCTTCTTGTGTTCTCTTGTTAAAGTTATATGTATTAATTACATCATTCTGCTTTGGCTTAAAGTAATTTTCAAAGACATCTAGTACATCTTCTAATTTTGGCTTTTCGTCGATTTTTAGCACATTGAAGTAAAGCTCCTGAGCCTGTTGCCCGATGCAATTTAGCAATATTGCCGCTTTCCGAGTTTCAGAAAATTTTTCTACACCGGCTGCCATGATGAACGTCCTGAAACTCTGTTTGAATCTCTGCCATTGTGTATAATAGTTGTCGATGTTGTCCAGATTTAAACCTTTCGGCATTTTATATTCCACCGCACACGTCATAACGCCTTTTTCATCCTCTGACATTATGTGTTAAGTATAGTAATGCAGGCTCGTGTTTTATACTAACCTGTGACCGGCACGTTTTCAATCTTTGAAAATCCTACCGACTGCGCCATGTATTGTTTTCTTCACTATTTTTAAAACAATAGGTAGGTCTTCTTCAGTTTATTGTTTAGTTTATTTTACATTTATTGTAAGTATTAATATTATATTATAAATCTAAGGATTCATGCTACGTGTTGCTTCTTGGGTTGATGCGACAAGAGAGAGAGTTGACATAAAGCACAATTGACATTTGTCAATCATAGACAAGGTAACGTTCCGTTACTACAGTACTAACTCGATATCTTCAGAGTTATTTGTTTGAGATTTAATCTACACACGATGTAATAATAATTTTAATAAAATCACCTTATCTTCATCATGTAAATTATATTCAGATACAATTTAAAAATTAAGTAAAATAATAAATATTCTTTATTATAACTTTAACAGTAGAACCTCTGTAAGCCGAACTTCAAGTTTTTAAATCTTTTTATGACGCAGAGTCGGCAGATTATCTATGTTGCAAAATAATATCGTGTGTAGCAGTCTTAAGAAAAATGCCATGCTTTCACGTCAGTCACTGCCGGCGGACAGCGACGCACTAGCTAATTGGTTGAATGCACCCCCGCCCCGCGTCCCCCAAACCATCAGGAGGGCCAAGCTTACGGCGGTTTAACTATAGCAACCCTAACGTACGTACGCAAAAATCGAAAGATAAATCAAAGTTCATTGTGATTTTGTCCTAAGTCTACTATGTAAATACATATACATATATATTTAGTTTAATTCCATATTTTTCTCTCAAAAATCGCATTTTTGTCGCAACTGATACGATGCATATATGTTGTAAGTGTGTATAAAGTAAAGGATATTTTCCTGTGCAAATCTTCTATTTAATAATAATAATTATAATTTATTTTCAACTATATCACATAACATGTTAAATTTACTGTGACAACCACACTAGGCAGAGCCTGTGTCGTGGCTATCGAACAATACGATTGTCTTAAAAAAAAACAATAAGGAAAGTAATATAATTATTTTTATTATAATTCCCACACATTCTTCAATGTTAAAAATTCAAGTATTAGTTTTTTATGTTTTAACTAATTATGTGAAGTATAAATTGTTGATTTGTCACGGTGCGGAGAGTCTAAATCTTACAGTCAGAACTCGACTTTTGACAGCTGCGTCCATAGAGACACAAGCATAGGGTTTCAAGAATGGCACAGTGGTTTAAGCAGTCACCACGCCGCTGCCTACTATGACGACACTGTGTGAGTCACGATGGCTTTGGGTTAACGCCATCTATTGAAGTTAACGCGAACTAAGTTATTTATTAAATTGCTTTAATTAACCTTATATTCGAAACTAATCAATTATTTAGATACTTGAAATACTTATAATAAAATCGACAGAACAAATTAGAATTTACATAAAATTCTCTCTAAATATCCAAGAACGAGATTCGTAGACAGAGATTATACAACTCAATTACGTATCTTTCTATTTATCTATTCTATCCGTGGCTACATTCTTACAGAACGATTCACAAACAATACGTGCGCGTTACTTGAAATAATCTTTAGCTCGAAATGTAGATATTTGACTTGTACAATCTTAATATTAGATTAGAAAATAATAAAAAATTTCAACTTCCTATACTCCTCGTAATTATAAATATATCTGAAACAAGCTAACAATTGAAATAAAAAAAAACGAAAACCCTTGAACTTAAAAAAAACTGCTTCAAAATGAAAATTTAAAATTTACAAACCGGCGATGAATGAATGTTCGTGTACCCAGTGTTACTTACAATTAAAACGAATCTAACGACACTTTATAACGCCGTAATTTAACAAGCCGTTTAAATGATAAATAAATATACATACATACACTCAAAGAATATATCCCCCCTTCTGGGCAGATGGGTAACAAATACTGCTACCATTGTATTTTTGACATTCACCTCATTCTATTTAATGCATTAAGACCCCTCCGTGCCTCTGAGAGCACGTTCAGCCGTCGGTTCCGGTTGCCAACCAACATCTGAGACAACCGTTACGGGTATTTGGAGCCCTAAAAAGTCCCACAACAGTCTTTCTACAGAACTTCGATATCCCGTGATGGCAGTCGCTCTGCCTAAAAAGTTCCAAGTTCAGGAAAAAGGCTCGGAGGAAAATTTTACTTCATTCTATCACCAAGCTTTACACATGACAAATCATAAAACAAATATTATTATTTAAATAAATTTATGTATTAAAAAATTTAAATAATTTAATCCAGTATTAATATACCTATGACTTCTTTTTTATTCAGACAAAAAATATTTTTTAACGAGAACGGTGAAGTGACAAATGAAAACGCAAACATCTGATGGTAAGTGTCTCTGCCGCCAGTGGAGTGGGTGGCGGCGGGAAGGGGACACAGGGTAGATGTAGGGTAGATGGCTCGAAGTACGGTTCACCGGCTAGTGGTACCTGGAGACAGCGTGCGGTTTTTGCTCGGTTCGAGTCCGACATAATCAAAACTGCACAGGAAAAAAAGGGGTGTTGATACGACGGAAACTCACAGGGTTAAATGCAACGAAAAAGTGCCTTAACATCAGTTGTCTGTGAGGCCGTGGTATCACACATTTTCGAAAAGTGCGTATTCAAACTTCAAAGCTCAATAACGCACTTGTCACTCCTGACTGGCTGGTGTACACCGGCAGTGTTTACTTACCGTCAAGCTACCTTCCTGTTCGTTTATCTATACCATCACTTCACCGGGGCTTAACAGTAAGAACACCGGACTCGATCTGGTTAAAAAAAACACGACTTGACTGGAGCCTTAGGTGTACCCGACAAGGGATACCCTAGGGATACATGCCTCTTCTAATTCAAAGAGTCCTGCCAGACGCAGAAGCCCATGAAGCTGTCATGGAGGCTAGAGATCGTTAGGTATTATGGTGCCTCTTGACTATATTTTAATCATAAATATATTAAATTAATTTGTGCGATTAAAGTAATAGTTATTAAAAATGACAATATTCTGTTTTGTTCATATAATTAAAATAATGTATCAATTATATTAATTTTTAACATAAATTATATTTATTTATCCTCTTTTCGACCGAATAGCACCTGTTTGAACATGACGCGCGTTGTTATCACAAAATCGTAGTTTAGTTAAAATATACATATTTTAATGTAAATAATACTTTGTCTCCCATTTTGTTTTAATTGTAAAAATATTAAATTTGTAAATAATTTTGTTTATATTAATAGACATTAAGGCTTGACCAGAAATATTGACATATAGCATATGTAGGAAATTCATAATTTACAAAAGGAAACTCCTACCAGCTACTTTTCGACCGAATTGTACTGATGATGGACCGAATTGAACTACCTATGAAATGAAATGAAATGAAACCTATATGAGATATTACAAGTATCTGGACACTATTGCCTTTGTCTTCAGGTTTATAACATGTATGTTAAAATGCAATTATTTGTGTTACATAATCTGTTGTCTGTTTCTGTACCTGTTTTATAAAATAAAATAAAATAAAAATAAAATAAAATAAGACTTAAGGTTATAAGACTATAGTCAAGTCTGGTCAGGTCTCATTTAGTTATGTTATACCTAAATGTATTAAATTATCAATTAATATTTTTTCTTTAAGTACTTATAATGTGTTAGACGCGACCAAATATGTTTTTTTTTAATTATTTATTTCTAACTTCTCAGTGCGAACAAATGTATTTGATACTGTTATTAATTTCAAATTTACTATTAAACATAGACACAATACAATCAGATTGTAACTACAATATTTACTATTTATTTTTATTCTCACTTTTTTGAGGGGGCAAACGAGAGGTCACCTGAGATCCTACGAGAGGGCCGCCACTATCAAGTCTGCCCTGGTTCGAAAAAATCGTAGATCCGGGGCTGGGGACGCACAAAGCATGGGAACGCATTTGTATCTCCTTAGTTGCAGGCGTTAATGGCGGTGGTCACTTGCCATCAAGTGTCTTTGCCTCCTTTACCGTGAACAGAAATGAGTGCATTTTTAAAATAGTCAGATATGGTTATAGGGCTTAATTTTATCATTTATTATAAATAAAATAATCAATATGAAATTGAACTTTATTCGTACAAACATAGAGTGCACAATGGTCTGTCATAACATTATCTATGTTTTATGATATTGAGTTCTGGTACTATTTTAGTTTTTTCTGGAACTTTTAAAAGTTTTAAGTTCAGTAACAGATTATACCGCCAATTCTGCTCCTGAAGGTTCCTCTAAGATGCTGATGTTTAAATATATAATATAAAAAATGTATTTATTATTTTAAGACGTCGTATGTATAGTGATAGTATTCATTTTGACTACATCACACTAGGCGCAATCCTCCGAAACGGCTCGACCGATTTGAATGAAACTTTTTGGTATATTTAGTATTTATGATAATAGGTCGTAAAGTATATTACATCCTCCTACCTCCACTTTTTAATCGCGATTTTAATATTTTTGTATGAACGTTATGACAGGACATAGTCTGCCGGGCAGTGTTTTTTTAATTGATGAAATTGGTGTTAGTTCAGAAAAGATTAGATTCACACTTACTTGTTTTTGCTTATTTTTCGTTTACGTTTTGCAATACCATCCCAATTTGTGAATTGATTCAAATATATATTTTTTTAAATTAAATCCCCTGTAGTTTAAGGTTGAATATCATGATACAGTAATGATTTTTAAAGGTGTTTTTCAGAAAACCGGTGTTAACATATTCTTTCGTTTTATCTCTTCCCCTATTCTTGGTGGGCGGGGTTGGTAACTCTTCAGTTTTAGTTGTTCATGGGCGGTGGTATTCACTTACCATCAGATCTGTCTGCTCGTTTGCCCTTCGATGTAAAACTGTCCTCAGTGTGATGTAGTTGGAATTGTGAACGGGTACCTCAGTCTGTGTTTAATAGACGCATGTTTTAGATGATATATCAAAGTATTTACATGTGTCATTCACTGTAAACACGCACCAATAATATATTTTGTGATTTATCATCAACAGCCACAGTCCACTGCTGGACATAGACCTCTCCCTAAAAAGAAGGTTGGTATAGGGTTTGTGTTTTCCATCTCTTTGTAGTGCTGTTATACTCCGTAGTTAGCTCCCTTAGTTGGCTCTTACGACACCCACGGGATGAATAGGGGTGGGGACACTCCGTATTCTTAATCCGTCACCACACGGACAATAATATGTTTAATAGTAATACCCAATACGAATATTAATAATTTTTAGTCCCGTGGCACTAAATTTTTTTAAAGCGTACTACCGTAAACCAAGCTCAAATGATTATCTGGGTAGCCTTGCGTTTTCTATTCTATAGTAATATATCACAAAGGTTGGTGCGTGTTGTCCAATGGGTCAGTTTTCGTAATAAAATTTCGATCAAAATAGTCTCGGTCTCACAAATGTCAGAACAGGTAATCTAAGTATTAAACATCCAACGTTGACTGTAATGTGATTATATCGTATTGTAACCGAAAGTTGAATCGGTATTCTGCTAGTCTTAGTACTACGAGAATACCTTTCAAGACGTTTGAGGTCGAAAGTAGATCGGAACTGGATTTTGATCGATTTTTGATTACGATAATAAATTGACCTTTTGAGTGTATTGTATATTAAGATATTGTATTATTGTTGTAAAATGGGAATTCTAAGCGACTCGCGACCGTTGTATTGTACGAAATATATTTTGAGCATTCATTTTGCGTTTTATTTCTAGATATCTGCAAGTATTGACAACGGCACCACTGAACCACACCACTGGGGTATGCTTACAATTGTAAAAAAAATTGTAAGCTAAAGATGTGACAATAGTTATGACGTCACGCCATAGTATTTCATACAAAGCGTACGACGATTTGACTTGACAATCATGTGCCCCTTTACTAGTTTTGGGGGTTTTTTGGGGGTAATCTCAAGCTAAATACTTGTCATTTGACCCATTGACGGCATGCCGCCTACTAACGCTGAGTTTGGACATATATGGTCCGGATGTCTTAATAACAGCAGTTCCCGGATCCCCCTATTACAGGAGCAGAGTGGCACACCGTGTGGTTTTAGTCGGTCTGATTCCGACGGCCCGAGGGGGTTTCCACACTGGACACAAATAAAACAAGCTCAAACGGATCAACACATATATTCCACTAGTCAAGCTCGAATTCGATGATGTCCCCCAGCTCCATGTCGCCGTCTCCGTCGCTGTCGCTGCTGTGCGCGTCTGCACCCTGGAACGTAACATTCACATCACTTTATACTAGAGATGGCATAAAATCACAATCACTAGATGCTAACTCTCTTTAAATAGAGAAAACGGACAAGGCGAGGGATCTTGGGAAAGGAATACCACAAATCTCGGTTGGGTTACATTACAGGACTAAGGCTGGAGTAGCTAGAGTCCTGGGATTTGAGGTCACTAGAACAGGGTCAGCAACTGGCTACAAAGATAGTACACACAGGACATGTCTGTCTCCCGCTTTGCTAAAGAGAAGTTACTTCTGAATAATTTAGTTGCGGGTTCAAATACAGTTTAACTTTTCCAGGGACTTCCCGAGTGTTCGAGGTCACTGCCGTTAATCCGGGTGCACAGGAGTTACAGTAAGGGGCGTATGGGAGGGAGTTGTCTCGTGTAAAAAGCGTTTTATTTTATGGTGGTGACTTGACTGCACGAATGGTGCAATAGACAAACACTTCCCCAGAGTCAGCAATATTTCGTGTTTCTTAAAATCCAAAATAATGAACTTCCATACAACAGTTCATCCCTTATTTTACCCCCTTAGGGGTGAAATTAATAATAAATCTCACTTAGTGGGTGATTACAACATAAAAAGCATCAGCTGCTAAAATGTCAAGTTTGGTTTAGAGGTTTAGGCTCCGCATTAATGAATCAGAGTTCTTTACTGGCCTATCAATCTATAATAGAATACCAGTTTATTGATTTCAGTATTACAGCACTTATGTACTGGTTATTGCCCCTTACTGCTAAGCCAGAGGTGGTAGGTTCGATTCCCACCCAGGACAAATTAATTGTGTGATGAGTATGATCATTTGTTCTGGGTGTAGCTTATATGTATGTATTTAGAAATATATAAGTATGATTATCAGCAGTCTGAGTTAATTTCACATCTGTCATCTGTAATGTCTCCGCGTTCAGAGTTGTGACTGTCCCAAAACTGAAATCTTCTAAAATGATGTGTAATTAACTCACAGTATACCCTCTGGTCACCATAGAATAGGCTCTGCCTAGTTCGTGACCAGACGGGCGTGTAAGATGTGTTATAACAGATATGGGGGTCAGACTCACCCGCCTCCGTCGCGCGTTGCGTCGCGGGCGCTGTTGGTTGTCGTCGTTGGACGAGTCGGCCGAGTCGCCGTCCGCCAGGGCCATCACTGCGTTACGCAATATAGACGATGCCACTGTATTACATTCCAGAGTTACACCTACACACTACTCTACACACACCACACGCTATCTTGCGACTGAACAGAGTCTCTTGCGTCTATCTGGGATGGTCTTAAAATTAGGGAACGGGAAATCTAACTACAAATTTTACCAGATATAATTTTTTTTACAGATTTAATTTTTTTTTCTGCTTGAGGGACGGGTCGCCTGAAAAAGGTGACAATTTAGTAGTCACAAGTTCGATGCCGGCCTTTGTGGTGGACGCTCTCTTCTTGAAGATTTGGAGGTCGTATCGGTGCGAGGTAAAATAACTGTTGTTGTATAGGGTACAATGGTGGGGTACCGATTATCCAAATATTACTTTATAAGTGATATATCATCACGTTAAGATTTAAGACTCACGAACTCAACTGTGAACATAACAGGAGAAACTATTGATTTAGGGGCATTCAAATCGTCATAGATCATGTTCCAAACTTCATCTTTGACGGGCCTGTCGGTCCAGTTGTTAGTGGCCTTGACTGATAAACCGGAGGTCGTGGGTTCGATTCCCACCCAGGACAAATAATGCTGTCATGAGCACGATCATTTTTTCTGTGTCTGGGTGTAATTTATCTATATATTTTTTTTTTTTGTAAAAAAGACAACGCCCGCATTAGGAATAAATCCTGTGTCGCGGGGGACTTTACAAACATACATGAAACGGACACAAAGAACATCCAGACTCAGAACAACAATTTGTGGATCACACAAAGTGTCGTCCCATGTGGGGTTTGAACCCACAACACTCGGCGTAGTAGGAAGCGGCGTGGCGACCGCTTAAACCACTACGCCATCCGTGCAGTCGATCGAGTCGATCGAGTATCTATGTATTTAGAAATATATAAATATGTTTATCAGCTGGCTGGTTACCATAGCACAGGCGTTGCCTAGTATGAGACCAGACGGCCATGTGTGAAATGATAATATTAAGTTTTTGAAACTTGAAGCTGTATGTATTAGCTGTGACAACAATTTTATAAATCGAGAGCCAGGAGGTACGTTTTAAAACACCTTTTACTTTTTAATTTTCTATCATAAAACATTTGACACAAGAAACTCTCTTCAAACAGTGAGTAAATAAGCCAGAGATGGTCCATTGACAAGTTATAAATATTAATTAAGTATTACAAAAATCTTAAAAATTAATATAAACCAAGTAATAGACTGTTGATCTAGTGGTTAGGCATCGGAATTGCTGAGCCAGAGATGGTGTGTTCGATTCCCATCCAGGAAAAATAATTGTGTATACAAGCAAATCCGTACATTTCGTTAGTTCTAGTTTTATGCCAACATCGACGCGCACCGAAATTCATTAACAATATAAAATTAATTGAACAACGGAAAAACATTTGTTGTCGCAACAACATTCCGGGTGTCGTGTCGACCACCACTCACCGCGAATCGTTATAGTAATTTCGTTGTATATCTAGAAGTTTTCTCAGTCTATTAAAGGCAGTTATTTTTTCCTATAAAGTTATTTTTCATTTATCATACCGTTCCTTTTTGGTCCTTCGAGCCGGATGTACGTACAGTGTATTAAGCATAATCATTTGTTCTGTCTGGGTATAATTTATCTATACTATATATGTATTTTGAAATATATATATAGTATGTTTATTAACAGTCAGGTAACCATAGCACCTAGTTGGAGGAAATTAAAAATAAAGTGAAAAGATATTACTATATTTTTTAAATTAACAGCAATTTTCATATTAACTAGGCAATGGTTCATCTCATCTCTAAATCTAATCTTATATATACACAAAGAAATAAAATTTACTTTAACTCTATTTATTTGTTTAAAAAAAACTTTATTCTCCTATATACACTTTCTAAACGAGCATTTATATAACTATGTTATTATATTGTTATATAAACACTTTATAGAGTAAATTTTAGCTCTCTGAACGGCCATCTCTATCACTCTCAACACATGCCAACATACGTCATAGTTATGACGTCACACTGTACTCACAATCATCATCGTCATTGTCCGACCCCGAGTCCGACCCATCGTTTTCTGTGCCTCCTGCTATGTCGTCTTCTTCATCCTCCTCCTGTAAATTAAATATTTATACATCTATTAATACATAAAATAAAAATGCGGTTTTTAAATGTCCATTGGTCATTATTGAAGGTTAAATTGTAAACATTTTCATCACTAAAGGCCTCTCCCTGTTATAAAATTTGGTATAGAGGTAGCTGACACCCTGGATTAACACATAGGTTTTTATCCCGAAAAAAAAATGTTCGGGATTAGCAAGTATCTGAAATATATTTGATGAACCGCGGGGCGTAGATAGTTTAAAAAAACATGGCATACTGACCGCATCATCGTCGTGGTCTCTCTTGCGTCCAACGTCGTACACCTTGACGCAAGACTCCTGCATCTGCTCGTAGTCTCCCATGTTCTCCACCAGAGATATCTGCGTGCCGTACCTCGACACACTCAGAGCGTATATATTTCTCTTAACGTCTATCGTGGCTGTCAAACAATTTAAACATATTTTTCATATTTCAATTCAAAAATCTTTCATAGGTTAAGACCTTATTTACTTCTCTAATTTCTGTATACCTATCACCAGTTCAAAATGAATCCATCCAAAGGTTGCCTGGAAGAAATTGCACTAAGCGATAAGGCCGCCCTTCGTACATTACATCTGTTGTTAATTACTTTATAATGTCTGTAAAACCCTGGTGTACAAATAAGTATTGGAACGAAGTTCCTTATCGCGCGTTGTGAAAGGGGGCCAGACGGAAAAAAATCTCACGAAAAGTTGTTACGACACTTTTTATGTTAGTCATTAAGCGCCATCTATCGAATAGATAGGAAATCATTACTTTTCATCTCAGTATTTATTTTGAATTGTCACGTGTCAGTCATTCAGCGCCATCTATCGAATAGATAGGAAATCATTTCTCAAGGAGATTTTACTAATGTATAAATTGTTTTAATTAGAAACCAACTGAAAAATATGTAGGTAATAACCGCTTTCATAGATGGCGTTGTAATTAAAATCGTGTCGAATCAGTTTTACTCGATCGTCACAACTTCGTTCCTATCGGGTGTCCCACGACACCACACTTTCTTTTTTTTTATCTATCTATCTATCTATTTTTTTCAATAAATATGGAATACTAGCAGTACCATAAAAAGCTCTGCTGTGCCACATTGTGGTTAAATTCAAGAGAAATGGGCAATGAAACTGACGCAAAAAATTGATTGAAACAATATATGATGATTGGTGTATACGGCGTCAAAATTTGATCTCAATAGGTGCAGAAATTTTTGAGTTATTAAAGCGTACACAAACCAACTTAACATCTAATATATATAACTCTCGTGTCACGGTGTGCGTGGTTGAACTCCTCCGAAACGGCTCGACCGATTTTGGTCAAATTTTGTGTGCATATCAGAATCGGCCAACATCTATTTTTCATACCCCTAATATTTTTTTCTTGACAAACAAAAATTGAAATAATGTATACTGCAAAACAACGTTTGCCGGGTCAGCTAGTTTTTATAAATATAACGAAGCGTGGTTGATTTCTAAATCGATTGAAGTGGCGTGCAATAGGAGAGATCTATGTGCAGCAGTGGACTGTGATAGGCTGATCATGATGATGTGGTTGAATTTGGCAGCGTATGTATTTAATAAATATCGAAGCGGGTAACACCAGATAGAGTTGTTATGTGTCATATATGTTGTTGTTGTTGTATGGGGGGGGGGGGAACTTAGCTGTAGAGGAAACCGGTCTTGTCAAGGAGCCGCTCAAAGTCCTTACATAAAGAAACAATCAATGCCTATAAACAGATAATCCAATGATAACAGACCTCGTCTGATAATGATCTCGGTTGAAAGACATCAGCTCGTTAGGACATGCAAATCTCCTGATCCTGATGTTCTGATCCTTAATTCTATTCAAATTAGATTATTCACTTTGTATTTCTGGATTGTACCTATTGTAGTCTTAATTATAATAATAATATTTCGGACATCTAACACACAACGCCATCTAGTTTCAAACTAAGCAGAGCTTGTACTATGAAAGCTAGATTGACTGATAGAATACTTATATACTTTACATATTGTACATAGAAACCACTGAAACTCCGAAACAAACATTTGCAGATCATACAAACATGTGGTTCGAACCGGGAATCGAACCCGACACCTCACAGCAGTCGCATACACTACCACTGCACCACCGAGACATCCGAAAAATCACAGTTCACTGTGATTTTATCCCATACAATGATATTAACATATAATTATTTGATTAAAATTATTAATTTTATTTTTTAGTATTCTAGTTTAATTACAGACAATCTCTTACCTATACTAGAATAATCGTAAGGGTCTAATGTCTTAAAGCTGGTGTCGAACTGACTCCTCTCCTCGGAGTCCTGGTCGGAGCACACCGCATATATCGCTGAACACGTCGGGCTAAATATAACCTGTAAATACAAACACTAGGTCACACACAGAACAACAGTATAACTGCACATACAGTTGGAGAAGACTTGAAAGGGACTCCTTGTATGTCTTCAGTAGTCTTAGTCAGGTGTTTTATTAACATTAAAAATAAGTATACAGCGAAAAAAATCTATACTAATATTATAAATTCGAAAGTGTGTCTGTCTGTCTGTTACCTCTTCACGCTTAAACCGCTGAATCGATTTAGATGAAATTTGGTATAGATATAGTCAGTGCATACCAGTCAGGCATGGTGACACACACATACACACATTTTTACTCTTCTTTCTCCTTTAATATAACATAAGTACTTTGTTCACTCATTATAAATGGATATTCTTTTCTAAAGTTTTCTGCTTAGTTTAAGCAAGGGAGTCTAATGTTTTTAAAGACAGCTCTCGCAGTAATAATATACTCAGCCTCGCAGAGGACTTCACAAACATTTATGAAACGGACACAAAGAACACCCAGACTCAGAACAACAATTCGTGGATCATACAAAGTATTGTGCCATGTGGGGATCGAACCCACAACACTCAACGCAGTAGCGACCGCTTAAACAACTACGCCATCCGTTCAATCAATTTCTTTATAACAATAAACTATATAAGTCAACTCTGTATGGTATGCCATGTACAAAAATACTTACTTATTGTTAAAAAAATAAATAAAAAATCACTGAAAATAAACATAAAACAAACCTCTGATTCATCTAACGTTGGAACTGTTCTCAATAAATGGAAAGTTCTTAAATCCCACACTTCTGTGTTTGATATTACCTGAAATTAAAAAAAAACATTATAATATACCCCTCAGCTGCGCCTGCGTCGATATAGTGACCAGGGAGTCTTTTTCATGATATATGATATGACAGGGTCTCAATTCTGCTATTTTATGTTAACGTACAAGCCTTTGCTCTAAAAATGAAATAGCACTGGGCTGGCCATGTAGCAAGAATGTCTGACGGAAGGTGGACTACACGAGTTACACAGTGGAAAGGACCACCAGGCAAGAGGGGGAAGGGGAGACCCTTAGCCCGCTGGGAAGACGATCTGAAAAGAGTAGCTGGCATAAACTGGCGCTCCATAGCACAAGACCGACAAAAATGGACATCTTTGGAGAAGGCCTTTACCCAAACCGGGATTCCTGTTAATTTATAAATATTTTAAACACATACTTCTATTACTAACCTAATTTAAGCTAACTTACTACTAAAACCAAATTTGTGTTTACTGTAATATTATATTTACCAACTATTGTAAAACAAGAATTAATAAAAGTTTATTATTATTATTACAAGCCACTGTCATTCCATTGACACGTTATTGAGATGACATTGACATCGGTCAAAGTATCGGTATTCTACTAACATAAACTCACAGTGTCAATATACTGTCAATGTAGTGACAATGGCTCATCAACGGTGATATCAGCAACATTGAGATATCTGTACAACTAAATATTTAATTTCCTTACAGATCTAAAATGTACGGTTTACTAAGACATCGACAGTGGCAGTTCAGTGATAAGTCGTCGGGAGGTCATTGGTCTCACATAGTTAGTAGAATACGAAAAGTGCAAAACTATTCCGACGACATCCTATCGACTCGATCGTCTATTAATACAATAATAAAATGGTAGAATTGAGGCCCAGACGGGTCGCAACAGTGGTCTTCAAAGATCTGGGGTCACATATAGGTAATTTTTTTTACATAAAAGATTTTAACTTACTTCTAAACCGTTTGGATGAAAAACTCCGCTGTGTGTTTGATTAAGTTTATCGAACTTGTGAATTTCTTTGCCTGTGTTCACGTCCCATAGTACACCGTCTAAAAGGAAAAGGGAAAATAAATATTTTGTTCTTCTCTTAAGAGGTACCACTTTATTTATTTTTTTGGTCTAAGGGGCAAACGAGCAGACGGGTCACCTGAAGGTAAGCAACTACCGCCGTCCATGGACACCTGCAACTCAAAAGTTACAAGTGCGTTGCTGCCCTTGGAGTCCCTCTCGAGTCAGCGGAAGGGGGGATTTGGGCTCCGGTAATCTCACTCGATCAGTGAAAGGCAACGAAAGAATTGCTTAACACCGGTTTTCTGTGAGGCCGTGGTATCACTCCGGCCAAGCCGGCCCATTCGTGCCGAAGCATGGCTCTCCCACGGTAACGGTTAGTTGCGAGTTAACTTAAATCAACTCCTTTTTTAACATGAAAATGGTTCTTCCTGTATTTTTATTTTATGGTATAGCGTGACAAACGAGCAGAAGGGTCACCTGAGACCCAAGTGCGAGTTTATTTTACATCTGCCCGATCGTCACGGTGACTGCGTTAGGCGCTGCGATTGGTCCTCACTGAAATGTTCACCAATCGCAACGTTGAACGCGCTCGCTGTCGATAGCGAGTTGATGTCAAATAAACTTGCAGTAGGCCCTCTGATGATAAGTGATTACAGCCCATGGACAGAGTCCCCCCCCTCCTCCCCTCCAGTGACAAAGGAAGAAGGGATTGCGCTCTGGTAACTAGTTAAGTTACACACGGTGGAAAGTAACGAAAAAATTGCTTAACAGCGGTTTTCTGTATAGTCGTGTGATGTCACTCCGGTGGTGCCTACTCATTTGTGCCGAGGCATGGCTCGGAACCGTTAACAGTACTGACTAACGTATATATCACTGAAGTTAAAATAGCAACTTGTGACGTCACAGGTTAGCTACAGTGACGTCACAGGTTAGCTACAGTGACGTTACAGGTTAGATACAGTGACGTCGCAGGTTAGCTACAGTGACGTCGCAGGTTAGCTACAGTGACGTCGCAGGTTAGCTACAGTGACGTCGCAGGTTAGCTACAGTGACGTCGCAGGTTAGCTACAGTGACGTCGCAGGTTAGCTACAGTGACGTCGCAGGTTAGCTACAGTGACGTCGCAGGTTAGCTACAGTGACGTCGCAGGTTAGCTACAGTGACGTCGCAGGTTAGCTACAGTGACGTCGCAGGTTAGCTACAGTGACGTCGCAGGTTAGCTACAGTGACGTCGCAGGTTAGCTACAGTGACGTCGCAGGTTAGCTACAGTGACGTCGCAGGTTAGCTACAGTGACGTTAAATCGGTACGTGCGAACGTATGATCAGTTAAATATATAAATTTACTAATTCTCCGCACTGCATAAGCTCCATTAAAAACTTACCTGACAGCACCAATTCGTCTGTGGGGTTGAAAACAGCTCTGTTCTTCGCGTATTGGTTGCTGATGGAGGGGGTGAGGGTCATGAGTTCTCTTCCAGTGCGTGTGTCGAATATCGTCGCCGTTTCGCCTTTGGTGCCGATGATTCTCTCGTCTGTCATTTTGGAGAATTCCACGTATTCTTCGTTGTCTAGTTGAAATCTAAAAAAAGCAACTAGTAAGTTTTTGATACTTCAGCCATTTTGTTGTAAAAATTAATGATAGTAGATAAAACTTACGATAGTTCAAACTCCTTCATATTCCACAAGGCCGACAGAGGCCGCCACGGTGTCGTCGCGGACGCCAGTAGAAGCATTCCGTCTCTGCTCGCCTGCGGGAAGTTTAACAGTTTTTTAATTATTTATTTATACAAAAAATATTATTTGTACACCATTTTTATAGAAGTCACATCATATTCACAATTTTCATATACTTAGTACGCCTTATCGCTAGGTGTTATTTCTTCCAGGTAACCTTAGAAGAATATAGAGTGTCACCACCCTTATTCATCCCGTGGGTGTCGTAAGAGCCGACTAAGGGAGCAAACTACGCAGGATAACAGCACTGCAAAAAGAAGGAAAACTTGATACAAACCCTATACCAACCCGTCTGGCCAGCGTGGTATATTAGCCCAAAACCTCCTGTCTAAAGAGAGGCCTATGTCCAGAAGTAGACTGTTATAGGCTGGTTATGTGAATCTTAGGAAGGATCAAAATGTTTCAGAGAGAAACTCCAGATGTAAGAATATTTCAGATTTGAGAATTTTACACCAATAGTGTTTTTTGATAATTAATATAGAGATAAAAAAATACATATACACACGTTAAATATAGTCAAACACATACATACCTACAGTTTATATAGCACGAACAAATGATTTTAAAAAAAACGAGGATATATCGAGGCATCTTAAAATCTATGATAAAATGTATAACATTAAAAAAGTCTGGACAAGTGTTAAAGAAAATAAGAGGTGGAAGTAGAAACAGAGATAAGGTAAATAAAGAGATTAAGAGAGAGAGAGAGGTGGAAGAATATGAGAAGAAAGATGACATTATAGTTGCGAGAGAGCGGAGGGCGACGAAAATATCGCAGGAAGTGAGGAGATGGGTTTAATTGAGAGAGATTTAATGAATAACTGATAAGTTCTTATGGCAGTAAGATGTTTTTACCTGCATATGATAAATATATGATTCGTGCACTTGATACGAGTTCTCTTCAGTGCCGCTAAACAGGTTGAATATTTTTATATCGCCGGTAGATGTCGCTGCCAGGAGTTGCTGCTGCGTCGGCTGAGGATAATTAAGATTTTTTGTGATATTTTTCTGTTGGATAACTTACGTTATTTACATTTAATGTAGATATAATTTTAAAAGGTTATTTTTTCTGTACGCTACTATTAAAAATTTAAATACTTAAATAAAAATTTGTCAGTACAATTAATATTAAATATTATTTTAATATTTTATCGGTGTCATTAATACGAATGACACAACGTCACGAAACTTCCAGAGAATTGAGTTCACTAATCGTGTAATACCTTTAATCGTAATAATAACGCAGGTCCACATTGGATTATGAATTTTATTACTATACGTGTAAAATCGGAAATAAATTATTGTTTGAAGTCACAAAACGGTCTTCGAGTTCTTTTGAGCATTTATTAGATAAATGAAGTTTTTAAGGTAAGCGAGTAGTGTAAATATAATAATAATAATTTATATTGTACCACATTCACACAACGCCATCTAGTCCCAAACTAAGCAGAGCTTGTACTATGGGTACTAGACAACTGATATAAATACATATATATTTTTTTGTAAATACATACTTATTTTACATAGAAATATCCAGACCAAATCAAACATTAAATGTTCATGCACACAAATGTTTGACTTGAGCGGGAATAGAATCCGCGACCTTTGGAATCGCAGTTCGTTACACAAACCACTACGCCATTCGGTCGTTAATATGGAGCATATTTCCACCGGTGAGACAGTTCAGTCTGAGTTACAGCTGTTATATGGAGGCGAGCAGAAGATTAATCTATTGACTTAAGTATTGATAGGATCGCCGATTACGTGTGGAATTTAAAAAGCGCTGCTTTTGTGGTGTGTTCGATTCCAGGAGCGCATAAATGTTTTTGAGTTTTTCTGGGAGAAAAATAGTTTAAAATATTTTTTACATAGACGTTTAGAAGAATACTCGGAACAAACAGATAGACCAAAAGAAATATTTAAAGTGGTTTTTAGGTATAGGTATAGTTCAAATAACCGTATGAGCATGAAAAAACTTATTATTTTTTGACATTACAAACATACACTTCAATTTTATTTATTTGTATAGATAGCGAACCGTAACGCGTGATAATATTGAACACAAAGAGTAAAAGAGTTAGTGAGGAGCGGGAACGGGTGGGTAGTCGTACTCACGTGGAAGATGGTGTGCGTGAAGTATGCGTCGTCGTCCTGCAGGCGGAGCGTGCGCGCGGGCGCGAAGTGCGCGTGCGCGAGGCGCGCGTGGTGGCGCGCGGCGGCGGGCGCGCCCAGCTCGCGCCGCACCACGCGCGCGCACACGTTGGCGTCGGCGCGCGCGCTCAGCACGCCCCCGCCGCCGCGCGGCTCGGGGCACTTGTGCGGCCTGCGCAGGGACAACGTACACACACTCTTGTTAAAGGGGACTTAAAAGAGTAACTTACTAAGTAATGAATAATATTTCGATAGGCCAGTTAAATCTTCATAACGATAAAATAGCTACATCAGAATTAGACCGTTTAATTTTAGAACGAAAAGTTAGACATTGTCCTTTTACAAGAACAATATCAGAGCGCTCACTTGCGTCGTAATGTAGTACAGCTTGACTGCCGTTCGCAGGCTGGGATATATGTTGCAAGTTCTAATTTTACGGTAACATCTTTGCGTAATCTTATGACGTCACACTGCGCCGTTGCTGAGATCTCATCCTCTACCTGTAAGGTTTACGTAGTGAGCTGCTATTTTCAATATTCACATCCTATTGATCCTCACTTACATCACTTACGTTACGTCTTGCAGTTCCTCGTGGGACATAAAATTATCATTGGCGCTGATGTCAATGCGTCTTCTTCATTATGGTATGGCAAGTTGCGTTCAACCGACACGGTTCGACGTTGTGCGGTTGAAGATTTCATTGCGGAAATGAATCTTATTATTCACAATACCCCCGATGCACCACCAACTTTTTGCAACCCAATGGGTGAGTCTTCTATTGACGTGACGCTTACGCGCGGCGACGTCTCGATATCCGGATGGCGTGTCCTTCCGGACGCATCCTGTAGTGATCACCGCTTGATCGTGTACGAATTCATACCAAGGGTTGCACAGGATCCACAAAGGGCTCCCTATAATTTTAGATATAAAACTAAAGGTGCGAACTGGGCTTTGTTTGGTTCACTCTTTGCAACTCATACCAAAGACTTCAGTCGCAGTAGTTTATCAGCTGAGGAAAGCGCAGAAATACTATCAGAAACTTTTACATACTGCGCTGATGTAACTATTGGTCGCGGATCTATCACTAACACTCGTAGATGTGATTGGTGGAATGATAGATTAGCCGAACTACGTAGAAGCTACCGGAAAGCTCGTAGAAAATTAAACACTATTAAAAAACATAACGTAACAGGAGATTTGTACAACAATGCTCTCATTGCTCTTAGAGTTGCCAGGTCCCACTACAGAGCTGCTGTGGAAAAATCCAAGGGAAACTTAATTCAGAAACTTGTTGATAAACTCGATAGAGAGGGCCCGTGGTCACCTTTGTATCACGAATTTAAGGCAAATAGATCAATCGACCTTGCATACATACAGAACATCAAAATTAATAACAGATATACCACAGGAGTAGAACAAACAGCAGAATATCTTTTAGACTCACTCGTACCTGACGATCAACCGGAAAACGACACTGATCATCACCGACAGATCAGGCAGTGGGCCATCGAACCACCACTGTCTCCAATGTCTGATTTACATCTTCAGACGAATTTCTCGGTATCATTAGATCCTTGCCGCTAAACAAGGCTTCGGGCGATGATAAAATATCTAACAAAATGATAAAAGAAGCTTGTAAACTTTCGGGTGACACGATTTTTACTGTCTTTAAACGTTGCATTGCTGAAGGAATATTTCCTCGTATATGGCGGTGCGGTAATATTCGTATAATACCAAAAAGTGGCGACAAGCCACCGGATGATCCTAAATCCTACCGACCAATCACATTATTACCATCGTTAGGAAAGCTTTTAGAACGTCTTGTAGTGCCCCGGCTTCTGCCAGGTGGAGTCAAATTTCATGATAGACAATTTGGATTTACGTTGGGTAAATCGACAACTGACGCTGTTATATCGGTTAGAAAGTTTGTCACAGAGTCAAAATTTCAATACGTGCTGGCTATTTTCTTAGATATATCTGGCGCCTTCGACAACGCATGGTGGCCCATGCTGTTGCTGAAATTAAAATCACGGGGGTGCTTTAAAAATATTTATTCCCTTATCTCTTCGTACTTTTCACAAGGTACAACTAAACTAAGGCTGAAATTTATAAAGCGTACTTAGACTTTGCTCAGACTTTGCTTATGCTAAACTTACTTAAGTTCCTGCTCAGTGTAATCTTAGCATTCGAATTTATAGTCCTCTTGGGCTAAGAATTTACTAAGTGTTTGCTAAGCAAGAGCTCAGGAAAAAATTTTAAACGTTTCGATTTGCATAGCATATTAATTTAAATTCTAGGTATTTCAAAAATATATTAGTTTTAAAATAGCTGTAATAACCTAAAATATTAGTAATCTTATAAATTTTTATCATATAATTGTATTTCAATCAATTAACACCTTTAGTTTTCATTGATTTTAAGTGATAAAAGGCAAAAATATAATATATAACACATGTACAAGTAAAACAAAACGTACGTATATTTGACTTGTCAAATGTCATAACAATATTTGAGGTTGTCTCGTCTCGAGTTCATTCGCAAATATATCAATTTCTTGATTTGAAGAGTTGGGTAGAACCAACCAACTACATGGACTTAATAATATAATTGGAGCAATAGATTGCACCCACATTAAAATAAATAGACCAAGAGGTATATCTCACTCTGAAGCATACAGAAATAGAAAATCTTATTTTTCCGTTAATGTCCAAGCCGTTGTATGTCCCGATATGGAAATTTATGACCTTGTTGCACGATGGCCTGGAAGCGCTCATGATAGTCGGATATTTAGAAAAAGCCGTGTTCATGCACGTTTGGCTAGTGGACAATTGCAGGGAGTCTTGGTGGGTGATAGTGGATACCCATCCATGCCATTTATTTTAACACCTTGATACAACCAACAACACGTGCGGAAAATAATTACAATTATGTACAAATAAGGACAAGGAACATAATAGAAAGATTTTTTGGTGTCTAGAAGAAAAGGTTCTCATGTCTGCAATTGGGCCTCAGAAACAAATTAACAAATGTGTGCAATATAATTGTTGCTTGTGCAGTGCTTCACAATATTGCAATAAGAAGCAGAGACAATTACTCAATTGTAGAAGAAGATGCACAGCAAATTGATGAAGTGCAGTTAAATTCAAGAATGTCATCAGCTGCAGGATTAGCTTTTCGACAATCCATCGTAGAAACTTATAATTGATAAAGAAATAAAAATCATAATATTAAGTTATTAGTTTTTATTTAATTCTTTCTTCAACAAATCTCTTTTTAATTTTAATATTTCCAGTTCTACTGCATGTTTTTCCTGATCTTGCTCTATCTGTTTAGTAACTTTTTCAATTTCTTTTTTCACAAGTTCCTTTTTTCAAAAAAAAACAAAAAATCCATAGATTACCATTGATAGATTGTTGTTTACAATAGAATTCCATTGTCTTTGGTGCTAATATTAAAATAATTTAATTTTAAGGCTTTTCAGAGCATCTCCAACTACTAATGAGAACGTAAGTAATCGCTAAGTCATGGATTTTGGTGACTTAGACTATGCTAAGCATTTGCTCAGCTTGAGCTAAGCATTATGACTATAAATTTCAACGCACACTTAACTCTTGAGGTAAGTCTGAGCAAAGTCTAAGTACGCTTTATAAATTTCAGCCTTAGACTTGGTCATCATTTCTGTGTCGAAGGCGCTTACAATGGGATGTCCTCAGGGATCGGTGCTAGGTCCATACTTGTGGAATATCGGCTTCGACGATTTTCTTGCGATACCAATACCATCCGGATGTACTCTGAACGCGTATGCTGATGACGGCTTATTACTGGTGGAATCTGATACTAGGGCGGGGCTTGAGAGATTAGCCAATAGATGTTTGAACTTGATATCTCAATGGGGTGAACGTAATCGCTTAACTTTTGCACCCAACAAAACCTTCCAGCTACTTTTGAAAGGTAACCTCAAATCACCACCGAGCATTAGATTTGACAATGTTACTGTAAAAAATAAAACTACAGTGTGTTATCTAGGATTAGTTTTAGAAAGAAACTTTTCATTTATCGAACATATTAAAATAGTTAATGAAAAGTCTAAAAAGAGTTTCTGTGCATTGACAAGGATATCAACTGCGACATGGGGTCTATCATTTAATACATTAAAGATCATATACGGAGCTACTTATTTAGGTTCTATGTGCTATGGTGCACCTGTATGGGCCGATAGGGCGACCGTAGGCGCTGTCCGTCGCAAACTGTTACAAGGCCAACGACTTGCACTGATATTCTTGTGTAAGGCATATAGGACGGTTAGCACTGAGGCTTTGCCGGTGTTGGCGGGTGTGCTTCCGGTCGATCTCGAGGTGCAGAGACGTGCAGCCATGTACTATTCAAGACAACAAAACATGGAATGCGACTTTTTGGGCGCGCGGGATCGCGGTAAAATTACAAGATTGCTTCAACAGCAGCCCGATGTCTATAATGACCTCATAGACGAATGGCAACAACGCTGGGATGAATCATCCAAGGGGCGCCATCTTTACCAATTCTTTCCGTCTGTTCGCGAACGGTTATCGAGGATATGGCTTGAGGTGGATCACTGTGTCGCTCAATTTCTTACGGGTCATGGTAACTTTAAGAGCAAGCTTTATTCATTTAAATTAGTCGAGTCACCGTTGTGTCAATGCTCAACACCTAACTCTCACTATGAACAGTCTGCTCATCATATCCTCTGGGAATGTAGTCTTTGGTATAATGATCGTAATATAATGCTGAATAGCTTGCAGGTGACATCTGGGGCGGTATACTATGGGGATCTTGTGTCAACTAGGGTGAATTTCCGTGCGTTTAGGCGATTCTGCCATACATATTATAGAAATCAAACATAGCTCACGTAGGACCCGTAATATTTGTGGCCGAGGTGCTTCCCTGTTTAAAAGGGTGTATGCCCATTTTACTTCATTTTGTCTCCCGCTTTGCTAAGGAGGGAAGTGGATTTACTGTATTTCCAACTCCTCCAATTTTCTTCTGATTAATTTCGTTGCGGGTTCCAAGACAGTTTAATTTCTTCCTGGGACTTCCCGAGTGTCATAACTCGGTGTGTTCGTGGGTCACTGCTGTGGATCCTGGTGTACAGGAGTTACAGTGGTGGGCGTGTGGGTGGGATTAGTCCCTATAAAAAGGGGACTTTACACACATACATTAAACGGACATCCAGACTCAGAACGACGTTTGTGAATCACACAAAGTGTGGTCCCATGTGGGGATCAAACCCACAACACTCGAGGAAATGGCGAGGTGACCGCTTAAACAGTCGGACTAACTCATATCTATACTAGTGTTATAAAGCTGTAAATGTTGCTTGTTCAGTTGAAGCACTAATCTCGGGAACTACTGGTTCAAATTGAAAAATTATTTTAGTGTAGCATAACCCTTTGGGAAAGAACACTACTGGCTATATAACATCACGCCACGACCGATAGGAGCCAAACGTCTATTAAAAACACTCTTAATAATATAAAAAAACAAACATCGTGTCCCGGCAACACAAAGGAAAACTTCTCCGACCTGACGAGGTGATCACGCCTGACGAACCACAATCCTGCATATAGACAATCGACGTGAGAACTTTTTATATCGTGATACAATTACTCCGTAGTTCGGTATGTCTTCGTTACATGGCAGTGTGGCGACTTCCACATACGGTGACACGAAATAATTGCTAACCCTGTATCGCGATATAAACAATTCTCCCACCGATGAGCCAACATCATCCGTTGGGCCGCGGTCCACCAGGTATGATCACCGCGCCCGGTAAAAGGATCCTCCCTTTTTGTTGGAGAGAGATGACACCTGTTCTCCACTCTAAGAAAAATTTGACAATGTAAACTCACTCGAACAAATTGAACTGCGGACATGTAACGACAGGGTTCTTGCAGAGCGCGTGCTGGTTGTACAGGTACTCAGTGATGATGGTGTGCAGGGTGACGTGGTGTGAGGGAGGGGCCGGCTCGCCAGCCGCCACGCTTAGCTGCTTCTGCAGCGAGCGCTTGTGCTCGGAGCTGGGCGTCGACACCGGCGTCAGAGGTGGGTTTTGGACTTTTCTGGAATATACATTATATTGTTAAACATATTTTAACTATATTTATTTATTGGACAGCCAATAGTTGTTACATTATTTACTAAAATCTAAAGCATGCATTTATTATATTGAGATTTATGCACAAAATTTCAACAAAAACCTCCATTGTAAGGAGAGGCCTATGACCAGCAGTGGACTGTTAAGGGCTGTTGATGATGATGATGATCAGCGAATATATCATACTGCTGATACATATTATAGTTAAACTACCCCCAGACAAACCTCCTTTCTAAGGAGAGGCTTATGTCCAGCAGTGGACTGTTATAGGCTGTTGATGTGATGATGATGACCCCCAGACAAGACAAATGACCCTGTTCATTACATAAGATTTGTACTAGGTGGGAATCGAATACCTGAATTATATGGGACTAATCCCACCCACACGCCCACCACTGTAACTCCTGTACACCAGGATCCACAGTAGTGACCCACGAACACACCGAGTTATGACACTCGGGAAGTCCCAGGAAGAAATTAAACTGTCTTGGAACCCGCAACGAAATTAATCAGAAGAAAATTGGAGGAGTTGGAAATACAGTAAATGAATTAGCAGTAAAGATCGTGGGTGGACCCACTGTATACACTTTGGATTCATTCACGATCTTGAAATTGGGACTAAAATTACGAAATGATTCCCAGATGTGGATATGGATATGTGGTGCCACTGTGTGTACTCACCTAAGTTTGATGACCGGTGGAAGTGGGCTAGCCTCATCCGTCTGCATATTGTGTGAGCTATTTAAATCGATACTATCACGAAGTAAGGTACCACTGGCGCTGGCTCTAGAAACCGATAATCGAGGCTGGGGACAAAACACGCAATGAATTGTAATTGTTAATACTGATCGTTTAAAGTTAGTTAGTCTTCTATATCAGTGAGTACCTCTTGTGTTGAGGTTTAGTACTGCTTTAGTCTGCTGAGTAACGGAAGCATCGTGACGTCAGTAAATGTTTATTTCTTCTTCGTATGTCTATCAAACTATACAGTACATTAAACACATGTTTGTAAGTATGATTTTAATGCACACGATTTATAAGTCATGGTCCTTCGAGCTAAATTCTAACTAAAGCGATCCTTCCAAAATCTAATCTTGGATATCATTTAATATATTCGTAAACATACAATTTAGGTTACATCTGCAAACAGGAATTAAACTACTGACATTACGAGTATATAGGTGTTTTTTGATATATTTCGTTAGTATATTTTAATAAGGATCAGGGTTATATAGGATAAGTTAAATAATCTCACGAAATGGACATTTTATAATGACGATAATAAAGAGGTGGTCCTTCGAGCCACCTAAAGGTGTAGTAAGTGCGTACCCTGGTGGGCGTGGAGGGCGTGTAGACGGGCGGCGGGGGCGCGGGCGGCGCGGGGGCGGCGGGCGGGGGGAGGCGCGCCTCGTGCCGCAGGGCGCTGGCGCTGTGCTGCAGGCCGCGCGCCGCCAGGTGCGCCGCCACCAGCTGCAGCAGCTGCCGCTCGTTGTAGTTGATGCGCGTCTGGGCCACCACGTTCGCCTGCCACCACACATACGCACGGATGTAACAGAAACTACGCTACGCTACATATTTCATTTGTTAATTTTTTTTTAATAAAAAAATATGTTTTTTTTTAAACCATAAAATACATTCTTTTCTTTGTTGTACAAAAATCCCAAACGCACCTAAAAAAGCGTCACTTCAAAAAAATGTGTCCTTCCTATCAGCATCTTTGATGTTAAACAAAAATAGTTTCATTCGTATCAGATTACTCTCTTAGAAATTTTTTGTATGACTTATAAATTTCAAATAAAATTTCTATATTTATAATCACGAATTCTCCTAAAATTATGAATGTTTTCACTCTTCCTTTGTCCAGTCTAACACATCAGATCACATCAGACAAGAAAGCGATATAAAAACCGACCTAAACCATTTATCGCTTCATACTTTGCGTCTACTTCAAATAAAATTCAATAAAAATGATGATTTGTACCATCATTTTTATTGAATTTTAAAATTTGAATTTTGAATGAGAAAATTTTACATAACTATTTAACAATTTAGTTTCATACACAAATCTATCAAAACTAAACAAATACTAACCAAACCAATTGCATACCAAAAACTTACTATGATATCTTCGCTATGTCAATATTGTACAAAGGGATTGGAGGTTCCAATCCCATCTTTTATTCTGAGCCTGAATGGCCTGTTACAAAAAATTTACTTAATGTATTTGAAAATGTTTATATATGTAATTCTTCTGTAGGTATGTATGTCCTGAAGTCTACCTTACATGCCGGACTGATTTTAATCTAATTTGTAAGATACGCAACTGGGCCCTGTAGGATAGTGAGCGTGTCGCTGTAACCAGGTTCTAAGATCGTTCTTACATCAGTTAATTCAAATTTAGGTATCTTTATGTGGACCGCATATTTTAGACACAGAATTCAGTATTTTTCTTCACTTTCAGACAAAATATTTCTCTTTTGCTTCTCAATGGTTTAGTGTCACGATTAAATTCGATAGGAGGCGCTGCAAACGGGTTCTAGAAATTCATTTATTTTTACTAGTTTATTGTATTTTTGAAGAATTTAGTTTTTTTATCTCCCGTCCAAATTAATTATGACAAGAAAAAGAACATCCTACGGCGAGTCCGATAGCGTTTATTTCTTTAGAATGATTTTATTATCCTGTGAATAATACATACATGGAGAGACCATATAAAGACACATTCCACACATACGACAGTATACTTACGTAGAACATACGAAGACAGGCACCAGTACCGGCTGGCCATAAATCTCAACAAGGCAACATATCACTGCTTTGTCGAAATTATGGTCGACCGGGACCGACGCTCAATAGCCATTTATTTGTTCCACTTCAATAATATCACCTTGCAGTATTATTAAAAAAAACTACATAACTTATATACTAAGTCATTTATATTTTTTTACTTAACATGCACTTATCAAAAATATTTATGGGTAAAGAAAGCAAAATTTAAAATATTGGCAAAAAAAGCGCAAAAAATTTATCTGTGCTAAGCACAGTAATACTTTTTTGAGATTACGTAGCTTACATAATTTAAAACGAAGTCACTTCCCGTTCTTGTACGCTTAGATGTATCTAACTACGCAACGGATTTTAATGTAGTTTTCATCAATATAGAGAGTATTTCAAGAGGAAGGTGTATAACTAGCTGGTACCCGCATAGAATTTGATAAGCGCTGTCTTAGTGGTGTAGTACGGTACGCGACTGCAGTCCATGAGATCTAGTATTCAATTAAAAGACCGGGCAAAATTTTATTAAGTTTTTTGAGAGGAAAAGTAGCCTAAGTTACTCCTTATATAGACAGCTATATAAATAGTAAAATATTATTGAAATCAATGCAGCTATTTTAAATATTACCCAGAAGAAACAGACAGACAGGCAGGCAAAAAATATTTAAACTGGTTTTGGGCCTAAGTATCGTGCCAATAACCGTGTGAGCATGAAAAAACCTATTATTTTGACATTACAAACAGACACTTCAATAATTTCAATAGATACTGTGTGCTGTATGTATGTAATATGCTAGTGAAAAAATAAAACCCTTATAGGATTGGTTCGTCAATAGGAAAAAGGAATTCTCAAATATTTCGCTACATACTGTATGACGAATGACAACATTCGCAAGAAAGGTTGGCGTCAGGCAGGTGGCCATAAAAGTGTTTCAATTAATTAAAAGAGTGTGTGAAAGAGGATGTAGTGTGGCGGAGTTAGAGAATGGAAGAAAAAAACTCATTGCACAAACCACAATTAAATCTGAGAAAAGCAAGATGACGATAGGAGAGAGATTCTGTCGTTCGTTTTTTACACACACAAATATCTCAGAGCCTACTAGACCTATTTAGTCGAAATTACATATATAATTCATAACGTAAATCAAACACCGGTATGTGAAAATATTGTCAATTATTAGGCTTCCCGGATGCCGTAGTAGTTAAAGCGGTCACCTCGCCGCTTCCTACTGCGCTGAATATATCTTACACATCTCACACACGGCCGTCTGATCCCAAACTAGGCAGAGCCTGTACTATGGTAACCAGACTGCTGATAAACATACTTATATATATTTAAATACATACATATTATAGATAAATTACACCCAGACACAGAACAAATGACCCTGCTCATCACACAATACTTGTCCTGGGTGGGAATCGAACCCGCGACCTACGGTTTAGCAGTCAGGGTCACTAACCACTAGACCAACAGGCCGATACATAACTACTAGCTCAGTCGGGTGAAAATACATACCTTGAAAAAAAAATTGAAAAAAGAAAACCAGAGAAATCTCCATGCTCTATCATTCTCTTTCCATCACAGGAAACAAAACATACACCATTCGTCATTTATTCTGATTTCAAGATTTCGTACGAAACGATAATTTCTTGGTATCTGATTGGTCAGGAAGTGAGACTTGATCGATGCATCACTATTTACTTAACGCGAATGGGCTATAGTAAGTTTTATATTCAGGAAAATTTAATAGATATCTACGCATTCTGCGCTAACCTAACCTATATTTATATTATCTTTATTTAAAAATGTTAAGTTAGTTTGTGTACGCTTCCGTGTCGTGACGGATTAAGAATACTGAGTGTCACCACCCCTATTAGCCCCTAGTAAGAGCCGACTTAGGGAGCAAACTACGCAGAACAATAGCACTGCAAAGAGAAGGAAAATTAACACAACCCCTATACCAACACGTCTGGCCAACGCCGTATAGTAGGTCAAAACCTCCTTTCTAAGGAGAGGCCTATGTCCAGCAGTGGACTGTTAAGGGCTGTTGATGATGATGATGTGTACGCTTCAAAAAACTCAAAAATGTCTTCATATTTTAATACGATATTAAAACCGCTTCAAACACTGTTTTTATTTAGTTTTCGCTTCAGTTTGTTACTCATTTCTTATCAACTACAATTTGCCATAGCGAAGCGTGGCCGGGTACAGGTATATATAGATACTTACTCTGTGTATATTCGCAAGGGATGTTTCAAACTCAGCTCCCATATGTTTACTCTTTCCCGACACACGTTCCAGCAGTTCCAGGGCGTACTTCTGGAACATCACGTGTTCCTGTCTCTTCTCTTGTAGGATTGGATCGCGCATCAACACTGGAAACACAAAACGGACAATATAAGTTAGTAACAGTGATGTAACTAGGGGGGAGGGGGGACTTCCTTTCTAGGTTATACCTGGTTCCCCGGCTATTAGTACCCGAGACGGCGTGCGGTTTTAGTCGGTTCGAGTCCGACATGCCACCGATAGGTGGTATCCGAGGAGATATCCGCACGGGAAAAAAAAGGAGGGGCGGCCATGGCATACCCTGGGGGGGGGGGGGGGCACAAATAACTAAACTGTGATATATGTAAATAAATAGTGGGTACGTAGATATAAGTTACAATAGTGGATATTATGACGATCTGGGCCTCAATTCTGATATTTTATGTTTACGCCAAGCCACTGTCATACCACTGACACGCTATTGAGATGCCATCGAGTGGCCATTGGCATCGGTATAAATATCGGTAGTCTACACTAACTCAGTGTCTTTACAGTGGCGATGGAATGGCAGTGGCTCGTCAGCGGTGATATCAAAAAGATTGCCATATTTGGAAAAATAAATAAATAATTTTCTTATAATTGAAAATATGTTATGTTTTTATGCGGAAATGATTTATTTATTTTTGGACTGTAACTGTCAGTTAGTCTGCGAATATACATCTAATAGTGAAGATGTCGTTTTATTGCGAGTCCCGGCATCCAGACCGCTCCCGATATTCTTCACAAACAAGCATAGAACTGATGTACTCGTAGATGGATCTTACTCTCTTCCTTTGAGCCACTTTTCCAAACTAGGTTGGGCCCAGACAGGTGTACGTGTCAGGTGTCAAGTTATGATCACGATGAGTGCGTGAGGTACCTTGTATCTGCGAGGTGGTGAAGAGCGGCAGCTTGGAGATGATCTGTCGCACGGTGGGGCAGCGCGCCAGGCCAGCCAGCGCGCGGCACGCCAGCCCGCGCAGCCGGTCCGCGTCCGTGATCGGGGACTTCACCATCATCAACGACAGCAGCACCTGCAAGTATTCACGCTCTCACTGCGCAGCTCTTGACGTTATGTTAAACGGCTAAACCTAGCTCAATAATTGGTTCATTGCAAATATAATTTTAATTTATATTTATTTATTTATATAGTAATATACATAAGACTTTTATAGTCATCCACAGTCTTTCATAGTCCACTGCTGGACATAGGCCTCTCCTTAGAAAGGAGATTTTGGCCTACTATACCACTCTGGCCAGACGGGTTGGTATTTTTATTTTATTTATTTTTTTGTTGTAAGCACCAACTAAGTGAGAATTTTCAGCAATTTCACCCCTAAGGGGGTAAAATAAGAGATGAACGATTGTATCGAATCGAAGTAAAAAAAACCGTATGGCAATCCGTTTGATACTTTTGAGATATTTATTTATTTCCATTAATTGATGATGGATATATGATATGACAGAAAGATAAACAGACGCAGCAAGGTACTTAATTTCTTATTATATAGTGATGACAATCTTACCATAATACCGTTGTTAGTTCTAACGCTCTCCCACACTTTCTGTATAACGTCCTCATAAGACTTCAAAGCAGTTTTCTTCTTCGTTGAACCGGTCAGGGAGAACCTGGTGGTTGATGAACCCGCCTGAGGATAAAAACAAACATTTCAATGGCAAAATATAGCTTAATACATATTAAGCAAACATCTTAACAATTCAATAATAACAATGGCACTTCACAAATGGCAGTTTGATCTCAAACTAGGCAAAGCCTGTACTATGGTAGCCAGACTGCTGATAAATATATTTAAATATTTTTTAAACACCCACATATCATAGATACAGACTCAAACAACCAATCTGGGTGTAATTTCTTTGGCTCTGCCTAATTTGGAATCAGACGGCCGCATGTGAGATCTTATTATCGCGTCTGAAGTTGTTATTATTATTATTACTAATAATAATAACAACATGACGGGCCTGTTGGTCTAGTGGTTAGTGACCCTGACTGCTAAGCCGGAGGTCGTGGGTTCGATTCCCACCCAGGACAAATATTGTGTGATGAACACGGTCATTTGTTCTGTGTCTGGGTGTAATTTATCTATAATATGTATGTATTTAAAAATATATAAGTATGTTTATCAGCGGTCTAGTTATCATAGTACAGGCTCTGCCTAGTTTGGGATCAGACGGCCGTGTGTGAGATGTGTGAGATATATTATTATTATTATTACTTACCCTGTGAACAGGTGCACACACACAATTGACAAGCACATTCAGAGCAGCCTTCTGGACCTCAGGCTCCGGGACTATCTCTCCGTCCGCAGCCCCTGTACGAGAATTGCATAACCATAATTACAAATGGACTAACAGAGAGTAGTAGCATGCAGTATTGTGGGCTCTGATTTCCGCATTTAGAATCGAGAATGGAGCTTTATGCGTCTTGAAGAGGTTGGCTAGGTGAGCCAACCAAGCTACGTCCAGAAGCGCAGAAGCCTCCTGGGACGTTCACAGGCTTTTAGGAGCGATTTTGTACCAGGTATGATACTTGTCCGTTATGGCCACTCCCTCGAATGTTAGGATCACTATATGCAGTATATGAAACATAGGCTTAGGGTATACCAGAAAGTTTAATTCACAAGTGCATTTGGATGTTCGACTACTTTTGGACTACCCAAGGTCTTAATCAAGGGCTGAAGAGACCATGTGTGTAGGAAACAAGCCTCCTTCCTTCGAGCCTTTGCCCAAACTAGGTTAAATAGTGGATGTACCCGAAAGTGGTGCTCGCGCCATTGCGGGAAGCGCTAGGAGGGGGATGTCATAACAACAGCAGTTCCCGGATCCCCCTATTACAGGTGCACAGTGGCACACCGTGTGGTTTTAGTCGGTCTCTTTTCTTTAACTTACTATTTGGTTCCATTCAAATTTCAAGATAAAGCCCACCCCCCAGGGTGAAAAATACAGATGTAGGCATATGTCTTATTTTTTAATATTTAAGGTGGCACAAGTTGCACTAGAGCAGACGGGTCACCTGATGTTAAGTGACTACCAACGCACAAGAGTCAAGTGTGTTGCCGGCCCTAGACATGGGAGTAAGCTACACAATTTTTTTTATACCTATTAGAGCAGGATTTCATAAAAACTAAAATAAAGATCCTGTAAAAGTATCTTACCAAGAACTATATTAACTCCTGTAGTGAGGTCTGCGTCTCTCATGTCGATCTTCTCGGTTAAAAGCAGCTGGACTCGAGGAGCGACACAACACACGGAGACCACGTCAAGGGCAGAACGGACTGTTTCAGATCTATACACAATAATATTTTATTTTTAATTTTCTATCTTAGTCACAATCATAATAACACTGAGATGACAAATGACACTGGCGTGGTTAAAAAGTGAGACCAATATAACTGCCTTGAGGTACTCCTGTGTATTTTCAACTACGAATCTATGTATTATATTGAAGTTTCTTGCTCCGATTTTTGTATGATTAAATGGGATTATGACGCATTCACACTGCGATATGTCTATCACCTTCTCTCTACGCCATTTAGTTTCTAAGATGATTATTTTTCACTTTATATCTGTGATACATTTTATCAAATGATTAACCCAGATCCAAAAAGAATAAACCTTGGCATTTAGGAAGATGTATATAATTAGTGCATATTTATTTATTTTAAGGCTTACAGGAATTCACTATAAAATAATATTACAAGTCTTTTATAAACGTTGAAAATATTTTTATTAGCCTAAGTTAAAAAATAACAAAAATGTATCACTTTGAAAAAAATCGGTTTCAGATAAAAAAAAAAACAATATATTCTAAATTAACTTAGATATAACAGAGCTAATATCTAACATAGGCTAGAGCCAGACCTTTTTAAACTACATTTACAAGACTATTAAGATCACAATACCTGCCGTTAAAATTCCATTCGTAGGCATAACCAACGACCTGGAGGAGTAAAGAGACTCCACCCAACTCTACGAGCTCGTCAACGGGCGCCCATCTACACCACGCCACGCTCTGGAGAAGCTCGATTTGCTCTTGGATCTCTTCTGGAGATGATTTTGAGGCCTGTTTGTGAAAATAAATTGCACAATTACATGTTTCTTTACTAAATCGTTGTAACATTTTTCTTATTGATTAATTCGTGATTCGTGAACATTCTTGATTAATTTTATTGTATGTTTGTTTGTATGTTTGTAACCGACTCCTTTGGGCGTGATTTTGACTGAATTTAAACGGTCAGAATTCGTTCAAACTTTGTAGATATATCGAGGTCCGATGACAATACACTAATTTAAAAAATAAGAAATGAAAAAAATATAGTTTTAAAAAACTAAAAAACACGCTTTCTACAGAAAACCAAACTAAAAAATAGAAAAAAAATTTGAAAAAAAAGCGTGGGGTGCTTTTTACTATTGACAACAGGCACCCAAAGCTTTTTTTACACTATAATTTTTTTCAAAGTATGAATTACTGAATACAAAGTATAATCATCATCACATCACATCATCAACAGCCTTTTACAGTCCACTGCTGGACATAGGCCTCTCCTTAGAAAGGAGGTTTTGGCCTATATAGTACTAACCAACCTGTCCGGCCAGCGTCCTTTCTAAGGATAGGCTTAGGCAGAGGACTGTTAAAGGCCGTTAGGTTGTTGATGATGATGATGATGACTAAACAATATGGTTAATACGAAATAAAATTTGGTCATGTGTTTCATAGAATAAATAAATAATTTTGATATGATTATTTTTTAACTAAGGGATAGCTATGTCTTTTTCTGTACACATTTATGATGGTCGGTCGAGAAACTGACATACAGTTAAAAAGAGTTACTTTTATAATTATTACGTTAGTTTAGACTATTCAGGACTAGCTTTTGTCCGCGGTTCCGCTCGCGTGTATGTCTGTTACCTACGTCTTTTATCAAGAAATAAACTATCTCGGTACCAAATTTCATCTAAATCGGTTTAGCGTTCATTGATTCCTCATACAAACTTTCACCCACTTAAAGGATGATTTCGTGGATCAAAATTATCCTATGTACTTTCCCGAGACTCAAACTATCTCTATACCAAATTTCATCTAAATCAGTTGAGCGGTTTAAGCGTGAAGAGGCAACAGACAGACAGGCACACTCGCAATTATATTATTAGTATGGATAGCATAGATCCAATAGAACATAAGATGCTAGCGTCAATTTGTCTTAAATACACATAAGTTGACAGATTTAATGATAAATAACTTACAAATTTGTCAGATATGTTCAAGTTTGCAAATTCTGCCACCTATCAACTTAAATGCACGTAAAACAGAATGATGACCGGTTTCAGCTTGATTTGAGGAGGCTGAAGTGGGGGGGGGGAGGGGCTGAGCCAATATTCGAGACTGAGACCTCCGCTGTTAAGTTTGTAACGAGTCGTCATATAATATGAACTGTGTATATATAGATTATATTAGACGTAAAAATTCTTTAATACCAAGATATCGCATCTATATATAGATGTAGCAAAATAAAGTTATTGACTATTTTAATAATTTTTTGTGTTACTATAAAATTGAACGTGTAGTGACGGATTAAGAATAAATAGTGTGACCACCCCAATTCATCCCGTGGGTGTCGCAAGAGCCGACTAAGGGAGCAAACTACGCAGGACAACAGCACTGCAAGGAGAAGGAAAATTTACACTAACCCTATACCAACCCGTCTGGCCAGCGTGGTATAGTAGGCCAAAACCTCCTTTCTAAGGAGAGGCCTTTTTTTTTTTTTACGTGTGGAAATCCCCTCGGACCGTCACCCCGCCGGGGCTCTCGTTCGGCGGGGCGGTGTGTCGGACTCGAACCGACTAAAACCACACGGTGTGCCCTCTTTGCGCTTCCAGTTTAGGAGGGGTCCAGGTAGTTATCGCCTTCTGGACCCCTCCCAGCGCCAGCCCGCTCCTGGTGCGGGCTCCGTCTCCAGGACCTCTCTTTTTAGGCGGCGTCCGGCACACGCGGATGCCGCCCCCAGAGGCCTACATCAAGCAGTGGACTACTAAAGGCTGTTGATGATGAAACACTAATTATAATAAATCTAAAGAGAAATACGACAGCTAGGTTCTTTCTATGTTCGTTCGACAAACTTGACATTTGAGTGCCATAGTCCTCCCCTCCCCTGCAGGAGTAGGATATTGGGTCTTCGATAACCTCACTGGAAAAACGAAAGGAAAGGATGAAGGTCAAATCCATATGTTATTTTTCTTCTTTTAAAGACAACTCCCGCACTAGGAATATATCCTGCGTCGCGTGGGAGTTTACAACAATACATGAAACGGACACAAAGAACACCTAGACAAAAACAATTTGTGGATCAAACAAAGTGATGTCCCATGTGTGGATCGAACCCACAACACTCAGCGCAGTATAAAGCGCGGCGGTGAACGCTTAAACCACTACGCCATCCGTGCAGTCGCCATGTGTCATAGCGTGGCTTTCTCTCTTAATAATAATACATAATTTTTATTTCTATTGATAAATTCACTATTGACCTAACATTGAACCCCCAATTCTAGATTTAGGTAATTTTATAATCTTAATTCTAAAGAGTTTTTTTTTTAATATTATCAATTTGATACCAATAACTAGAGATTCATACCGTTATAAAACATCCCTCCTTGTGTGAGCATGACAGAGAAAGCATGGCCGTTTATAATTTTACATATTATGTATTTAAAAAAAAAAAACCTCCAAAACTGTCAGATTTAATCTGTGGTGGGAGGGCTCACAGATTATAATTTTTTCAGTAATTCATTCATACGCATAAATTGACAGATGGCAGATTACATATGAATTATATTATGTACAAAAGTATTTAAATATTCGTTATGATTTGGAGGCAAACGCGCAGACGGGTCTCCTGACGGTAATCGACTAACTGCAACTCTAGAGTAAAGACATTAGAGACATTTCAGTGCTGTAAGCTCCCCCCCTCAAGCAGAAAGAGTGGGGGCTGGGTTTTCGGGAACCACCCAGGTGTCCATGACCTCAGGGATTTCCTTTCTAGGGTATACCTTGTTTTCCACCTATTGGTACCCGACGGCGAGCGGTTTTTAGTCGGTTCGAGTCAGAAATAACCACCAAAGCGGTGTCCACACAGAAAAAAGACGTGCCTGCCTTTGGGTGGTAAACTTCTCTTCTTTTCTGGAAGGTTCAAAGGTGGTTTCTAGAAAACCGTAGGCGACAACTTGTCCCTACATTATTTTTTGTTCGAAGTATAAAGTTTACGTACTAACCTTGTACGGCGGCGGTTCGGGAACGGTGTCGCCGTGCTGTCGGGCCACTTGAGCGGCTCGTAGCCTCAAATGGGCTTCTAGATACCTGATACAAAACGTTCATATATTAAATACTACTCTGTGTGATACATACTTAAACTCCAAATATTTTTATTTAAAAAAAAAACGTTTGTTGTCTTATGTAGACTTAAGTCATAGATCAACACACAATTTTATTTATTTGTATAGAAAAAAAATAGCAGGTTTTTTTTATAATATAGGGGGGTAAACGAGGAGACCGGTCACCTGATGGAAAGTGACTATCGCCCCTCATATACACTTTTTTTTTTTTTCGTGCGGCAATCCCCTTGGGATACCACCTATCGGTGGCATGTCGGACTCGAACCGACTAAAACCGCACGCCGCCTCGGGTACTATAGTTAAACCGCCGTAAGCTTGGCCCTCCTGATGGTTTGCGGGACGCGGGGCGGGTGATGCGCTCGGCTATACATGATACGATGTACTAACTCGATATCTTCAGATTTATTTGTTTCAGATTTAATCTACACACGATATAATAAAAATCGAATTTATTTTCATGTATTATAATGTCAGTGTATTGTAAGTTTTTATGATTAATTGTAAAATTTAATACTGTAAAGTAATTTTAATAAAATCACCTTATCTTCATCATGTAAATTATATTCAGATACAATTTAAAAATTAAGTAAAATAATAAATATTCTTTATTAGAACTTAAACAGTAGAACCTCTGTAAGACGAACTTCAAGTTTTTAAATCTTTTTGTGACACAGAATCGGCAGATTATCCATGTTGCAAAATAATACCGTGTGTAGCAGTCTTAAGAAAAAGAACACGTACAGCCATGCTTTCACGTCAGTCACTGCCGGCGGACAGCGACGCACTAGCTAATTGGTTGAATGCACCCCCGCCCCGCGTCCCCCAAACCATCAGGAGGGCCAAGCTTACGGCGGTTTAACTATAATAGCCGGGAACCAGGTATACCCTAGAAAGGAAGTCCCTGTATACACCTGAACCTCAAGAGTCACAGTTTATTTAAAATTACATTAACTTAACTTCTAATTATATTTTGTGCATATTCGTTGACAGTTGGACGTCAGTCGAAATTTAAGTATTTTAAAAATACAAATAGACGTCTGAAATTAATTTATTCGTACATTTTAACGATTTTTAGTATCCAAGTGAATTTGAAGAGTCGCAACATTACGGCAAACGACCTACGTGACTGAAACGAAATCTAAAAAAAAAACTATCTACTGTATACATATTGCTTATTTTGCTTTGTTTAAAAGATATAAATTTAATTTAAGAATTGTACATTTATACATTCTATAGTTTTACGCAAAAGCTTATTAAGTTACGCCATTACAAAGTTGTTGCGGCTCAAAAAGAAGGGAGAAAGGCGTGAGTTGATGTAGATCTGTATGTGTGTACGTACCTCCTTAACGCCACACAGACGTGTCGGACAATCTGTCGTGCAGCGCACGTCTCATCTTCAGAGACTTTCGACTCGTCTTCATCAGCACTTAGAATAGGTAGAGTTGAAATCACGTTGTACAGCTTGCGAAGACCGTCCTGAACATAACAAAATTTATACATTTTTACAAAATTTTAGAAGTTTTTATATGTGAATGACAAAATACCTTTCCTTCTCTTCTCTGTTTTCTTCGAAAAATATTTTGCCTAATATAAATGCATATTTTTGTTGATGAATTATTTTACACCTGTAATTATAGAGACACAAGTGCTATTGCCACGAGACGTGGGAAAAAATGTGATTCATCATTCGATTTATGCACACGTTACGTACGTACAGGTTGCTAGGTAGGTAGATTAGACGCCATTTAACAGTAAATCTAGTAATAGGGAATATGCACGTGACACCAAAATGGACAAAATATTTTAATTTGTAATTTTTATTGCAAAAAAAGATACCCATACAATTATTTTTGAAATTTATTAAAATTTAATAGTGAAATTTAATCATCAAAAATTCGTTTTTTTAAGATTCCCTCACAAATTTCTAAAACGCACCGCTATTGGTTGAATAAAACGTGACGTCAACCTACACTGTCAAGAGTGTCAACAAGTTGTGTGTATTTGTACTATTTGGTTTCTGGTGATTATTTGTTTCATTTAAAGTTAATATCTAATACGTTTTCAGTGTTAAATTTCCGTGTAGAAAGACTCAACACAATGACTGAATGTACTTTGTCAGGTGCAGTTTTGATATTATTTGGGCACAAAGGAACGGCACAATATTTATAATAAGTTTTTATTGGCTTTTCCATGGTAATAAGTTAATTTTTATCACTCACTTTTTAACTTTCACAAACTTTGTGAACTTCACTCCGTTGTTGACATCGAATTCGTCTGAAAGTGTAATCTGACGTCACAAAAAAAGCGCGCCAAAATGGACGTGTTCAAATTGCCCCAAAATGATAGTGATTTTAATATAAAAAAATCGCTTAACGGTTTATATTTCGGATGTGTTATATTTATTTTTGGTAATGTAATAACTAGTAGAATCGTTTAAAAAAATAAAAAAAATTCATGCATATTCCCTCTTATTATATAGAGAATGCGAGCTATATATAATAATTACTAGATTTAGTGTTAAATAGACGAAATATTTATACATCGTCCGAAAACAGCTTATTGGCAACATCGCGTGAGTAAATGGTAACCTTAACCTACGTAAAAAAAATCGAATGATATATCACCGTTCATTCCCAGTTCAATGTGATTTTGTCCCATGTCTATTCCCCCCTCCCAACCAAGTTACAAAGGGGAGGCGATTAGGCACCCTGACACACCTGGCACAACTTCAAAGAATTGCTTAAAACCGGTCTTTTGTGCATCACAGTACAGCCATCTCAGAACTATAAAAATCTTGAAAAAAGAAAGAAAATTTTTTATACCTGATGGTCGAACTCTTCAAGAATAAGTCTGAATTGGAAAGAGAGTCCAAAGAACATGGTCGCATGACACCTGCCAGAGTCGTGCGAACATTCCAGAAGCCATAGAGCGTACCTGATGAACAAAGAGTACTCAATATAATAATGATTAATGTGGATTCATTATATTCAGATAGGCATATTAATCAGCTCACGGATTGATTGCTATGACCTCGACCAACATCTTCAGAGGCTGGTGATAGGCAGCCGGATCAAGGGCCTGATGCAGAAAGCAGTTCTTCTAGATACTGCACATATTGTGAGGTTTCTGTCTCTGGAATCCTAACTACCGGTGTCTGGGTCGGGGACCAATATCCGATACCAATGGGACACTATTTTTTATATTTTAACCTTTTTTTTTGTATGAATCATAAATGTATTTAAAAATGCATTTACATTATTATTATTAATAATAATGTTCTACCACATTCAGACCACGCCATCTAGTCCCAAACTAAACAGACCTTGTACAATGGGTACTAGACAACTACATACATATTATACATAGAAATACCCAGAACATTTAATGTTCATGCACAAAAATGTTTAACTAGAACGGGAATTGAACCCGTGACCTTTATCAGCAGCGTGGCAGTCCGTTACACAAACCACTACGCTTCCGGCAGTCAAAAAGTCATAATAAATTAATTTCAACCATGTATTATCTATTTATTTCGTGTGCAATGAAAAAAAAATCATACTTGACCAGATCAGCCAGCATTCTTCTGGGTAGCAGACAGACCCTCTCCATAGCGTCTTCGCAATACGCCAGGTAGTACAAGCAGATGGACACGCCAGTCGCGGCCACCGAAGGTCGAGGGACTTCTAGAAATTTCTGGAGATAAAAGAAATTATGAATTATTCTCTAAACAAACAAAAATTAATATAAAACTTTTGGTTATTAATTAGACCAGCGAACCAGACAGACGTCTTGCCCGATCATAGTTTTTTTTTTTCATTATGTTTTCAACACTAAAAAAAATAAACCAACATTTTAAGTAAAAAATAGAAACACTAATTCTTCTTTGCTAAATTCTTGGATCTGATTACCTAGATCTACCGGGTTTAACTGTGAGTTTAAACCATCCAGAGACCCATTTTTTTTTAAATCAAATTTAAAAATGTTTAGATGGAGTTTATAACACAGAAAATGTATATGTTATCTATGGACGTTTCTTACGCGACTACGTCAGAAAGGCTGAACGTATCTGGATTAAATTTGGCACAGCCATCAATATCATCATTAACGCTGGACATAGGCATTTCCTTAGAAAGGAGGTTTTGGCCTACCACGGTGGCCAGACGGGTTGGTATAAGCCCTATGGAAAACTTGTTTTCCTTCCAACAAGTTTTCCTTCTTTTTGCAGTGCTGTTGTCCTGCGTAGTTTGCTCCCTTAGTCGGCTCTTGCGACACCCACGGGATGAATACGAGTGGTGACACTCTGTTTTTTGACCCGTTATCACACAGAACTTATAGTTATTAGTATTGATATAATAAGAAGGTACCTGTAAGCCACCCATCTGTATGAAGTCGATGCTGAACTTCTTGTGGCAAAGGAGCGCGGCGAGGTACTTGAGTGCCTCAAAGGCGAGTCGCGAGTCACGGGACTCGCGCACGTTCAGATAGCCCAGGATCAGGCCTAGCGCGTTCTGCTCGAACACGTGCGACAGGAACTGCCCAAAGGTACATCAAATCAAATACTTTGTATAACAAAGAAAGAAAGAGTGAGGTTACCAGAGCCCAAACCCCCCCTTCTCCTGATTCTGGGGACTCAAAGGACGAGAAGGCACTTATTTGGGGATCGGGCAGTAGGAAGCGGCGTGGCGACCGCTTAAACCACTACGCCATTCGTGCAGTGCATATTAAGGTATTAATTAATAGTAAAGCAATGAGCAGCCACATTTTATCTTAGTCCCATCAAAGATGTCAGTGTGGTCATTATTAGGGTAGATCAATAAACTCACCTCTTGGTATTCTCCCATAGGGGTTAAATATCTTAGTATGAGCATCTGCTTTGTTGCATCCGTCGGGGGATGAATCTGTATGTTGCCTGTAAACAAAAAAGGATTAATTAATCACACATTACTCACACGACCGCCTGGTACCAAACTAGGCTGAGCCTGTTACTATGGTAACCAGACTGCTGATAAACATACTTATATCACTAAAAACATACATATTATGTACTTGCTGAACCGCGCAACTTCGTCTGCGTCTCTCAATAGTAATAAATTTAAATTAAACATTCTTCATTGGTGCTCCGCTCCTATTGGTCTTAGCGTGATGATATATAGCCTATAGCCTTCCTCGATAAATGGGCTATCTAACACTAAAATAATTTTTCAAATCGGACCAGTAGTTCCTGAGATTAGCGCGTTCAAACAAACAAACAAACAAACTCTTCAGTTTTATAATATTAGTATAGATAAATTACACTCAGACACATAACAAAATCACAGTTATTTGTCCTAGGTGGGAATCGAACCCACGACCTCCGGCTGAGCAGTCAAGGCCACTAACCACTAGAGAACAGGCCCCTCCAATATACGGTAAAGGTGCGTACCAATAATGTGCGTTTCCATCTCTGCCCACGAAGAGTTGGAGGAAGTCTCGTGGTGGTGATGGCGCGGCGGTGGTGACATCATAACCCACGGCTCCGGTGGGGATATCGCATTACCCGCCACTCCTGCGATTAAAACAACGTATTCTGACAACCGAGTCACTAATATTAACCAGATAATTGTTGGAAAAAAAAACCTGTGCGTGAAAATGTGTAGATACTTAAAATTTACAATATGACCGTCCATAAATTACGTCACGACGAAGTTTCGTGACGTCACATTTACTAAAACAAAAAACACATATTTTCTTCGCTTTCACGCCCGGGGTTCTTTAACACGCAACCGTCGACCGATACGTGGCCGCCGCCGGCGACGTGTCTAAGAATCCAGCGCTAAGCATTTCCGTACGCACGTTATGTTATAATAACGTATATATAATTTATAAAATATAATAATATGACAGTATGCGTAAAACTAAAGCTCTGCCAGTATCTTTAGGGATAAAAAATGAGTATATGTATGTATCATACAGATATCATATAGATATATAAACAGATATACAAGTGAAGCATATTTAGTGTTTACTAGCTGCACCCCGCAGTGTTACCCGCGGTTTATCTATTCTACACTACATTCGGAATAAAAAGTAGCTTATGTTAATTCAGGGTGTCAGCTACCTCCATACTAAATTTAATCAAAGTTGGTACAGCCGTTTAAGCGTGAAGAAGTAACAAACACACACAAACTTTCGCCGTTTATTATATTAGTGTGATACAAAGTCCAGTAAAAAGAGTTGTTTTTTAAGCTTTATAACAAATGTAACAAAAACACTTACGGTTATAATTCTTTACTGGAGTTTCAGGATCTTTACTGGCGCGTGGAGGGGTTTCTTCGGCCAACATGTCTCCCCCACCGCCTTCATCTGTGAATATATCAGAATATTAGGTTCTGATGGTTTTTAACCCTACCTAGTTTCAGCTTATAAATGTAAACCTATGTTCTTTTCAGTTTCCTTGACAATGTATAGGCACAATTTCAAGATTACTTTTTTGTTTAAACGGGACTAATCTCTCGCACCACTGTAACTCCTGTACACAGCAACACACCGAGTTATGACATTTGGGAAGTCCCAGGAGAAAATTAAACTGCCTTAGAACCCGTAACGAAATTAATTAGAAGAAAATGGAAAGAGTTGCTAATAATTTAAGATTATTTAGTACAAGTAGGAAGGCAGACAAGAAGAACGGGTCACCCAATGGAACCTAATAACCTATGGAAGTGAATGCTGCCACCTTGCAACTCCAAAGTTACAAAGGACCAAGGCACAAGGTCCCGCTTATTAGCCCCCCAGGGTTTGTATTCTGTTTCTAAACTGATATTGGTTTAAAAACAGAATATAAAACCAGGTACAAACCTATCGGGCACGCCGTCATTGCGGCGGTAAGACCCGTTATGGAGGATTGGCTCGAGAGGCGTCACGGGACCCTCTCATACCGATTGACGCAGGTGATCACTGGGAAGGGATGTTTCGGAGATCACGTGTGTCTGATCCGCAAGGAGCCAACGCCTGAGTGCCACCACTGCGATGGCCAGACCGTGGACACGGCTCTCCACACGCTGGCAGAGTGCCCGGCGTGGGTTGAGCAGAGGCGAGACCTCGTGGCGGCCATCGGAGTGGGAGTTCTCTCGCTCGATAGCCTGATTGCGGCTATCGTGCGGAGCGAGAGTGCGTGGAACTCTGCCGTCTCCTTCTGCGAGCAAGTTATGCTCGCGAAGGAGACGGCGGAGCGGGACCGGGAGAGGTTTAGAACTCTCCCGGCCCGCCAGGCCCGGGCACGGGCCAGGCAGCGCAGGCGACTCAGGCGCCGGAGGTCGCAGAACGACCTTCGTCCTCCATAAGCGCAGGCCTGGGGGTGACAGGTGAGGCCATCTGTCACCCTAGCAGAAGCAGGCCAGGGTGGCGGCGAGCGCGTTGCGAAGCGCGCTCGCTTCCAGGGAGCACAGGGAACATGGGGTTCCCACACGGGGCGGGGGTCGTCTACTCGTCTGTAGATGACCCGAGGTATGTCGGGGCACCAGGGCCTTCCTTTCTAGGGTATACCTGGTTCCCCGGCTATTAGTACCCGGCGAAGGCGTGCGGTTTTAGTCGGTTCGAGTCCGACATGCCACCGACAGGTGGTATCCGAGGGGATTTCCGCACGGAAAAAAAAAAAAAAAAAAAAAAAAAGGTACAAACCTATAACTAAATAGATTCAAAGTACTCAAATTTCGAACATAACTTCTAATAGGGATAGAATAAAATCGCAAACACGTGTTATAAATCATATGATGTATATATAAATCATATGATTAATTTGCAAAACCACTGCGAATTAAAAGTATTACGCTAGCGCAAGACTAGCGAAATTGTAATCTTTGATAAAAACAATTTTAATGGCATTTATTTACTTGCAGAAATAAATATCATTTCATTTCATCATATGACGAAATCACAATCATGTGTGACATTGCTATGACTAAAGCCAATCAGTTCATCAAATGAATATGATTGAAAAGTAGCAATAATTTCCATGTCTGATTTCTAATAAAGGTATTTTAAAAATAAAAATACTCATTTAAGCTTCGTTACTAGGATAGTAACGACGCTTATATGAGTTTTCTTTCGTTACTATGATAGTAACGAATCTACTAGGTTACGAAGCTTATTTGAAAACAAAGACTGGAGTTACTCTCAAATTGAGTAAAAATTATATAAAATACCTTTCTTATCTGCTGTAGGTCCATTGCACTTAATATCATTGTTTCTCTTCTTATCGAACCGAGCGAAGTATCTAGTCTGGTTGGGCGGCGTTGTATTTTGGTTATTCTGCTATTAAAAACGAAAAATATAATCATTATGTTATACAAAGCAACCCGCGAATGGTCCTTCGAGCCACTGAGCGGTATGCCGTTTTTGTGACAATGCACATGCATAAACTTAAGCCTTTCTCCAGTAGGATAGGCGGAGGCAATATACCCCCCACTTACTTCTAGCCTTGTATATTATGAACTTAAACCCCAGAGCACGCAAAAACTATATTATATTTATCTATGTATATTATGGAATGGTGTTCGTGTGGTGACAGATTAATAAAGATAGAATACGGAGAGTCACCAGCCATATTCATTCTGTTGGAGTCGTAAGAGTCGACTAAGGGAGCAAACTACTCAGAATAACAGCACTGCAATGAGAAGGAAAACTTGACAAAAACCCTATACTAACCCATCTGGTCAGCGTGGTATAATAGGCCAAAACCACCTTTCTAAGGAGAGGCCTATCAGTGGACTGTTAAGGGCTGTTGATGATATTATCAAATAAACAAGTGTACTTACTTCTACGGATTTATTTCTTAATATGTGTAGCCTCCTTAACATCATTGGAACTAGCATTGCATTTAATTCTCTGAAACAAATACAAAGTTTTAATCATATGATTGACATCTTGGAACAGGTAGGAACACCCGTCCCGTAAGTGTCCCTATAATTTCTCAAGAGTTTGAAGAAAATTTCCATCATCTGAGCTGAACTAGATAAGTCTGTATTATAATAATATAATAACATACTAATATATTGTAGTGAATGGGGCTTAAACACAGGATCTCAGGTTATAAGGGAGGTTAATAAAAATACTAGTAACATGGCCCAGGAGGTCACAAGCTGGTCTGACAACCTAATGAAGGTGGCAGGAAGCCGTTGGATGCGGCAGCACAGGACTGGTTGTTTATGCGAACCTTGGAGGATGTCTATGTTCAGCAGCGGACGTTTATCGACTGATGATGATGATTGATGGCCCATATACAAGACCTAGGTCTTAAAAAGCTCACCTAAAATTAGTAGCTATTTCTTGGACCTCCATCGCCGCAGCGAGCAGCCCAGTTGCGTAGCACTGCAACGGCTCAGTGGAGTTAGTAGCCCAGTTCACTAACCGATGGATCAGAGCTTCGTTGTCCTGTCAACACCAAGGGTAAAAATAGATATCTTTGAACTAAAATAAAAGGGGAGGTTAAAATCATTCAATGAACTTTGAATCAATGCTTTTTATGTTTGCAATTTAGTAAAAATATTATTAATATTTACATCAACAGCCTTTGGTAGTCCACTGCTGGACTTAGGCCTCTCCTTAGAAAGGAGGTTTTGGCCGCTGGCCAGATGGGTTGGTATAGAGTTCGTGTCAAGGTTTCCTTCTCTTTAAAGTGTTATTGTCCTGAGTAGTTAGTTAGCCCTTAGTCGGCTCTTCCGACACCTACGGGATGAATAGGAGTGGCGACGCTCCGTATTCTTAATCCGTCACCACACAGACCATTAAACACATTTTTGCTTAAACAGCACGGGCGTATCTACCACTAAGCCTTGTGGGTTGTAGTCCATGGCTATAAGGGGCCTGGGTAAGAGTGGTTTTTTATGGGTAGCGTAACAGTTGCGTCTTCTGTCTAGAGATTAAGTGATAACAAATTAAAACTTAACTGGGGTTAACAAGAATACTAAAACCCGACGTCACGTTCTAGTCTTTCTGTCAAGATAAATGAAGGCGTACCTGGAACACGACGCTCATCTCCAAGCCGGGCATGAGATCAAGCGTGAGTCGACATGCGGCCACGTTGAGCTTGTTGACGTCACGTCCGGTTATATTTTGGCGAGAGTAGTACGTGTCGCGTACATAGTCGTTTACTAGCTGTTGAACAAAAATTAAATTAATTGTAAAAAAAATATGTACATCCAAACAGGAGGGGCATTGCAAATGTGGATTATTCGTGATATAACAGGCCTGTTGGTCTAGTGGTGGTTGGTTAGTGACCCTGACTGTTAGCCGGAGGTCATGGGCTCGATTCCCACCCAGGACAAATAATTGTGTGTTGAGTGTGGTCATTTGTTCTGGGTCTGGGTGTAATATATCTATAACATATATTTATTTACAAATCCATAAGTAAGTTTATCAGCAATTTTTACCATAGTACATGCTTTGTCTATTTTGGGATCAGACAGCCATGAGATGTGTGAAGTTATTAATGCTAGACATAAAAAAAAAATGGATACCTGACATTATTAAAATATTTCATCTAAAAATTTGTATATCTGTTCAAACAATAGTTTCATTCAGTATTGTTTTTAGTCCAATATAAAGATTTGATATTTAAAAGATTATATCAAATAGTTTGAATGGAATTAAAAAACAAAATTAGATACAACTAATATAAAATATTTATTATTTCGTGTATCTAACTTTAAACTTGATGAACTTCCATACAATCATTCATCCTTTATTTTACCCCTTAGTGGTGAAATTTGCAAAAATCTTTTCATAGTGCTTACAACATAAAAAGCATCAGCTGCCAAAATTTCAAGCCTGTAACTCCAGTGGAGGTCATGCTACAACCCTTATTAGCAAAGCAGGTAGGTAATTATACTGACCTACATATGACAGAACCTAAAAATATTTAAATAAATAACTACTCTAGGATCTACACCATTAAGTACAAATTAGTTTGAAAATAATAAAACCACCCAATTCAATGTGGAAAGAGAAGTGAATTTTACTTTTCTGGTAAGGTATTGGTGTACGGTGAGCCTTACCTTAGTCATAAAGTTATCTTTCTTGAACATGACCTTGAGAGCGTGCCCAAGGGCGCACTCTGGGTCCGTCCGGGAGGGATGGCGCTCGTCGAACGGGTCCGGATCTTTCTTCATAAAATTCTCTGTCTCTGCTTCTATAATTTCTGCTATCCTGTAATTTGTAATATTTCTGTATTAGTATAAATCATCTGTGTAGTGACAGATTAAGAATTCTGAGTGGTATTATTCATCTCATGGGTGTCGTACGAGTCGTCTAAGGGAGCAAACTGTGCATGATAACAGCACTGCAAAGAGAAGGAAAACTTGACACGAACCAGCCAGACAGCAACTAGCAGTGGACTATTAAAGGCTGTGGATCACTTAGGACCCATTATGTTTTGTGTCAGTGGTTAATAGCCTACCCGCTTATTTTTACTTGATTTTTGTTTTCCACCTAAGGAGCAATGACACTAAAGTTATTCAATTTGGCAATGGTATGTGGGTTAAGTATTAAATGGGTTGAATAGTATGGGTATGTTCCCCTACCGACTTAACACAGAACCTATTGAAAACAACATTGTACACTATCAGATTTGGACTTAACACTGGCGATAAGAAAAAAATTTTTCAATGTTGTGCAATTATTTTAAAGATTCAATCTCCTAAAGGATAGTTTTCACTTTGATTAGTGAGACTGTTTTAGCATTTAGTGATTATTGTATGTTTCATTACTGTCTCGGTGCTGCAGTGGTAATGTATGTGTGGAGGTCTCGGGTATCCCGGGTCGGACTAAATGTTTGTATGATCAACAAATATTTGTTTTGAAGTTTGGGTGTTTTCTATATATAGTATGTTTGTATTTACAAAAAAAGTATTTAAGTTTTCTATTACTTAATCTAGATTTCATAGTGTGTGTGTGTCAGATATCCAAAAATATTATTAAATATTATTCATTGAGTGTGAGGTTTTCAGTTCTGTTTAGCTGTTGCACTTTAAATCAAATACAATCATAACTGCAATGCTCATATTGTGCTCATCACACAATATTTGTCTTTGGACAGAATCAAACCTATAACCCATATTTATGACTACCAAGCTCAGGTAGTTTGTGAAATTAGAATTAAGAATATTAAGCATAAATTAGAAAGCTAACACCTTTCATATATATTATGCATATAAAAGTAGAAATTTTGTAAAGGAAATGTGTTTTTCTCTAAATTGTATCAAGTACACATGAAAAATATTTTTTTTAAAAAACCACTGATCATAAAATTTGCCATCCATATTGTCAGAGCTACAGAAAAAGATATACTATCAGAAATAATATTCCCTAGGGACAGATAAATACTTACAAATAAGGGCACGTAGAAAAGCTAATATTGGTATTGGTTGTGGGCTCCGGTTTCTGCATTTAGTTAAAAGCTAGTTTTTACTGTTTATCAGGTAATAATGAGTCTTGTCCGTGTGGTGACGGATTAAGAATACAGAGTGTCACCACCCCTATTTATCCGGTGGGTGTGGTAAGAGCCAACTAAGGGAGCGAATTCTGGCAAAGAAGGAAACTTGAAACAAACCCTATACCAACCCATCTGGCTAGCGTGGTGTAGTAGGCCAAAACTTCCTTTCTAAGGGGAGGCCTATGTCCACCAGTGGACTATCAAAGGCTGTTGATGATGTGTGATGTGAGATAATAATAGCTTCACATATCTCACACACGGCCGTCTGATTCCAAACTAGATAGAGCCTGTACTATGGTAACCAGACTGCTGATAAACATACTTATTTATTTCTAAATACATATATATTATAGATTAATTACACCCAGACACAGAACAAATCATCGTGCTCATCACACAATCATTTGACCTGGGTGGGAATCGAACCCACTGTCTCCGGCTAGTCCAATTAGGAAAAGACAAACTCATTTGCTCTGAAAGAGTTTGACATGCAAAAGTGTTCTTGTAACCTATTTGCAGAATAAACAATTTCATTTCAATTCTTTATGTTATTACATTCTTTGTCTCTTCGGGTGGTCAGGTCCTGAGAGGTCAGGTGTAATGCAGTTGATTGGTATGGATAGACCCTTTCAGTGAAATGTTTATGGTTCAGTGGTTAACAGCTTTGCTATTTATTTTTCAAGCATACATATATTAGTCAATTCCTGAAACTGTTAGTTTCCACAGCTTTATATTTAGATAAAAATGTAACTAATCAAGTTTTTGTAATATCCATCGTACGTGTTCAATGATGCCCGCATCTGTGGCTCAAACTGTTCCAATCAGTGGGGATCAGATATAAGCTATACAATTTCTTTCGATATTGTGAGAGTCAAGGGTCTATCGTTGCTACTAAATAACTAGTAAATCAATAAAAGATACAATATATCTTATCAAAAAGATTCAGAATTTGATACTTTTCAGATTGCATTTACACAATGTAATTATTAATTTACGTCGACGTACAAGATCAACTCATGGCGCAAATCTATTTATATACATTTATAAGAACACCACATGTTCAAAAACTTAAAGGGCATTATTTATTGCTAATTACGATTTCTGCAATATTTACAATAATATGAAAGTTACCGTGTCAATGTAGGAATAGGGTCGTAATTCGGTGTTGCGTGTTGTTCCTCCCATTGTTTCAGCAATTCCGTTACCTCCTGTGCAGGTGGCGAATCCATCTAACAAAATTTCTGTTAAATATTATTTTATAACCTCACTGATTACAACTTTGCCACTAGCGCTTGTGTATGACACAACGATTTATATACCAAAAAAACATTCGCATTTATAAATCTATATATCATTGTACATCATATCATATAAAATTATTAATTATAGTACAGCTAAATATGATAAAATAGAACGTTTTGTCTTTAGACCGCGCACTCTAAAACAATTTTTATACAATGAAATGAATGAATTTTCATTTTCTTTTTTTACTATGACTCCTACAATGACAGCGAGTCTTTTCATCTATCGTATTTATTGTTATGTCTATGGTTTGACAGCTCAAACAAAGAACACAAAATTCATAATAAAATTCATTTATTCCTTTGCAAATATTTGTTTATATTTTTGCAGATCTCTCTTCTAAGCTAATACAATTATTATTATTTCAACACATTCAGCCATAAGACATGCAAATATAAAGAGTTTTTTTTTGCCACGATAAAATAGGTAATTTTTAACAAAATAATTAAAAATCCAATTGAAAAGAAATCCATAAGTTAGAGCTTAGATTTAATTAAATTAACTAGCAAAAGGGGGTGCCTTACGGGGGACTCGTAAAGTTTTCTACCTGGTAGTAATTTTTAAGACTGATTTTAAAAGCGAATTATCTTTTAATGTGAATTATTAATAATATAGGCGTCATTAATTAATTACTTTGGAACTATATAAACAATATTCATAAATTTTTTATGGTTTTCTAACAGATGGCGTACGTAGTGATAGTCTAGTTGAAAAATATTCTACTTCAACTTTTGGTTTAATGGCTTTGTGGTAGAGTGTAACCACAATTTCGCCAATGTCATGTATTTGAAAGACAAACTGTCAAAGGATTTTATGTAGAGCTGTGGTAGAGCCAAAAAGCAAAGCAAAATTCTTAGTGATAAAAATTGTTACATCTTCTATTTTTATTAAATGTAATATGATATTTTTATTTATATGTAATGACCATTAAGTTTATTGCTTTTTTTTCGTAATGACAAAAAAATTTGTAGTGGAAAAATGAGCTACTTGGCTTAGTAGTTTTTTTTTGGGGTTTTTAATACATGTTGAATTTGATGGAGATTTAATTTAATTGCTTGCAACATTGACTCTAAAATCCATCAACCTGTATTTTTTTCTGGCAATTTTAATTTGACAAAATAGGTGAGTTTTTGACATCTCTTTCAAACTTCAATTAATCCATTCCCCATTGTTCACTTTCTCTCTCCCTTTCCCGCGCAAATACATCAAAATAAACAAACTGTAACTTGTAAGTTAAAAAAATTGGTGTTATTAGAGAATCTGCCATTTTAAAGTTCAATATCAAGAATGTCTTCATTTAACGAAACACAGCGGAGTAGCCTCGGCAGTCATGATAGAAAATTGCGGTACAGAGCATTGCTTGAGGACTTGTCCACTTTAGGTACGTTCTAGACAGCTTTTCTGTAAATCATACTTGAACCGGCTCATCTATTAATAATAGTCTATGCCATAGAGATATAAGCATAGAGAGAACACGGGGTACAGGTGCCTGTAATTGGAAGCGATACAGGCAACGAGACAGGCGGATGCCCAATGTTTCCCTCCTGTCTCTGTTTAGCTCTCTGTTAAATCACTTATATCCCCAGCCAACTACAGAGCTCGCCTTGAAAGGGATAGAGGGGACTATTATCCATCTCTCTCGTTGCCTATATTACAAGATTGGAGCTCCTGTTCTCTTTTGGTTACCTTGTTATATCTAATGGTCTGTGCCCTTAGACGTTATCAGTATAATCAGTTGAACCATCATTGATGTTTTAATGCTGAATTAAAGTTCTAATATTAAAACGACTAAATTTAAAAGCCCAAACGTTACTATCATTCTTTAACGTGTACCAAAGAGTAAATTAAACATCTTCAACAGTTGTTGTTTAAAGTTTGACTGACTGCGGCTTTCAAAAGAAATAAATTACCCCCTTTATTTAGGTAAATAAAAAACGACACAATACAAAGTTTTAAATAACATTACTTATAAGTGTATGTAACTGTCTCATCAGCGACATTTACCACAGAGTAGTGACATAATATTAACAGGGTTTTTATCCTCTGAATACATTGAGAGAATTCGTGTTTGATAGTAACATTACAGATATTATTAGTAGTTTAATATTAATTTTATTATTTTAATAATAATAGTTTTTGTAACAGTTTGCAGTAATGCTCGCCTCCTATCGGTCGTAGCATGATGTTATATAGCCTTTGATATATGTGCTATCAAACACTGAAAGAATTTTTCAATTTGATTCAGTTGTTTCTGAGATTAGAGCCTTCAACAAAACAAACTCTACAGCTTTTTAATAATAGTAAAAAATGAATCCGAACTGTAAATAAAATAAGTAACTGATATCTTAGTGTAAATTACTCCCTCAAAATGAAATCATTATAAAATAGAGAGAATTAGAATAGAAAAGCAGATCTATAAAAGAAGAAACTGATCTGACTGATTGAGTTACGCACAGTTGACATTTTGCTCAAATGTTCCTTAGGTGACTTGCCTGTGCACTAAGATTATTTTTAAGAAATTCCACCCCTAAGGGTGAAAAAGAGGGGTAGGTTGAATTTGTATGAAAATTTGTTATTTTTCCTAATAGAGTTTTCAAACTCACAGTAAATACTCTTTGTTGAAAGTAATTAAAACGTACACACTCTCGAATATATTTTATTATATAAAATTACAGAATCTGAAAATAGTTTCAATGAAGATCTTATGGACAAGACGGCTAGTGCCGTTAGGGAGGCACAAACATTACTTGCCGAGGGTGGTGTGGAGGAACGAGTTAAACATCCAGGTATGGTATTGTAATTTGTATCTCCCGGGTTGCAGTTAAGTTATTCCGATTTAAACGCTCTATGTCACGTCGACCGTAAATTAACTGTAATAAATCATGTTATCTGTTCTAATACTAATTGACTGCACGGATGGCGTAGTGGTTTAAGCGGTCGCCACGGCGCTTCCTACTACGCCGAGTGTTGTGGGTTCAAACCCCACGTGGGACGACACTTTGTGTGATCCACAAATTGTTGTTCTGAGTCTGGGTGTCTTTGTGTCCGTTTCATGTATGTTTGTAAAGTCCTCCGCGACACAGGATTTATTCCTAATGCGGGCGTTGTCTTTTTTGAAACAAATAAAAAAAAAAAAAAAAAATGACAAAATCCAAAAGTCACATTTTAAATGAATAAGCAAACAACGCCGTCTAGTCCCAAACTAAGCAGAGCTCGTACTATGGCTACTAGACAACTGATATAAATACTTTATATGCTTTTTAGGGTTGCGTATCTGAAAAGGTTAAAAAGGAACCCTTATAAGATCACTTTCTTGTCAGTCTGTCCATCTGTCCGTGTGTTACCACTGATTTTCTCTGGCACGGGTAGACCGAGCAAGTTGAAATTTATACCAAATACTATGGTCTATGGTCCCTATTAGGTGTATAAAAATCAAGGTCCTGAGTCAACACAATAAAAAGATATGGGCAAATTTCGATTTTCGCGAAAACTTGTAAGTACCAAAATTTACCTTAATTTTCAACTTTTTTCATAAAATATCCCAATAAATCCATCAATAATCCCAAAAAAAAAGTTGAAAATTAAGAAAAATTTTGGTACTTACAAATTTTCGCGAATATCTACGCAAAAAAATGTGGGTAGGTACGGAATTCTCGACGCACGAGTTCGCCTCGTACCTGACCGGTTTTTTTTTGTAAATACATACATTTAGTACATAGAAACACCCAGACCAAATCAAACGTTAAATGCCTATATCATGTACACAAATGTTTGACTTGATCGGGAATCTAACCCGCGACTTTTAGCGTAGCAATCCGTTACGCTAACCACTACGCCATCTGACAGTCAATTAGTGTAGTCCGATAGTGTAATTAAAGATTGGGGCAGACAGCAGGCGGGGTCGGACGACACTGCGTCTGCTCTACCCTTAAATCCTAATTTACACATCGAAAGTCACTACAAGTTATGCTATAAATATATTTTGTACAATTCCAGGGGAGGGTTACCTAGACTCCAAGGTGTTACGCGTCGCCAGTGACGTAGCGGTCCGCGTCACAGAGTCCATCAGTGGGAATGTCAATACTTATGACAAACATGAACTGGCATTTCATATTGTAAGTACATTATTATCATCAAACAGCCTTTAATAGTAGTGTTTGGGCAATATTTCTTCAAAATCGGTCGTCAACAGTCTTTACTAGTCCACTGCTGGACATAGGCTTCTCCTGAGAAAGGAAGTTTTGGCCTACTATACCACGCTGGCCAGACGGGTTTTTATAGGGTTTGTGTCAAGTTTTCCTTCTCTCTGCAGTGCTGTTGTTCTGCGTAGTTTTTTCCCTTAGTCGGCTTTTACGACACCCACGGGATGAATAGGGGTGATGACACTCTGTATTGTTAATCCGTCACCATATTTTTTTTTTTATTATTATAAAAGACAACTCCCGCATTAGGAAAATATCCTGTGTCGCGGGGGACTTTACAAACATACATGAAACGGACACAAATAACACCCAGACTTGGAACAACAATTTGTGGATCACACAAAGTGTCGTCCCATGTAGGGTTTGAACCCACAACACTCACAACACCCACACACATGGAATTTAAGTAAATATTGTTTTTGTAAGTGATAAGGAAATCTACGATGGTATACAAAGGGAGGATTCTCTCACAAGACTGGGTGTTGACTGTCTAAAGGTATTGGGAAGTAGAACACTTAAATAGTTAAAAATATTATATTGACATGGGCAAACAATTTGTTAATTAGACACGAGGTAACCACCACCTTCTTTGACAGTCTAGAAGTATATTTTTGTTTACAGCGGGAGAATCCAAACTTCTGGTGCTTTGCATTACCTCGCGAAGTGCCATCAGTAGCGTTCTTGTACGGCACGTTCGCGCCCACGCCGCCGGAGCTCAGGCCGAGGGCCCCGCGGAGGGCCGTGCAGCGGCAACAGGCGCAGACGCTCAAGGCACCTGAAAATGTGGACAAGTACGTATTATTTATTGTTATTACATTTACTAGAGATCGCCATTATTTTGATTAGGTCATGGGTTCAATTCCCGCCCAGGACATGTAACTGTGTGATGAGCATGGTGATTTGTTCTGTGCCTGGTTGTATAATATGTATGTATTTAGAAATATATGAACATTTAAGTAAGTTTATCAGCAGTTTAGAACCCAATACCATAAAAATAACACATTTAAATTTTCTTTTATCTATTACAAATAAATAAAATTGGAGTGTATGTTTGTAATATTAAACTAACCGCTTTTTACTAAATGCATATGTGTGTTTACACGGTACATATACCAAAATAACATTTTTTACAATTTTTGTTTGTCTGTCTGTCTGTCTGTTTGTTCCGGGTAATCTCTGGAACATCTGGACCGATTTCGACGGGACTTTCACTGGCAGATAGCTGATGACATAAGGAGTAACTTAGGCTACTTTTTTTGACTAGCTTCGCCCCGCGACGTTGCCCGCGGTTATAACAACAAACACGAGTAACACCGCGGGTCTCAGCTAGTTTAATATAGTTATCAATTAGTTCTAGTCCTACTATCAACGAGCAAATCGACCTGCTGCAACGTAATGTACCACTTTCTTATATTTGCAGACTGGGTAAAGTAGAGGAAGGCTCCCAAATGGTGAGCAGAGTGAACCGGTTCATCACGAAGACGTACAAACAGACCAACGCACCCCTCAGCTACTTCCACACAGTGCTGGACCCTACCAGCTTCAGCGCTACCATAGAGAACATATACTATGTGTCCTTCCTTGTGAGAGATACCCTCATCAGCATAAATCTTGGTTAGTTTAACGTATTATTAGTTTAGTTATCTCGACTGCTAAGCTGTAAGACGTAGGTTCAATGCCCACCCAGGACAAGTAGCTGTGTGATACATACTATCATTTTTTCTGTCGAAAGAGTGATATGTATGTATTTAGAAATATATAAGTATATTTATCAGCAGTCTGGTCACCGTAGTACAGGCTCTGCCTAGTTTGAGATCAGACGGCCTGGTGTGAGATGTGTGAAAGAATTATTTGAATTTTAACATTTCTATAAAAAAAAACAGTAATCTTGCCCCACTTATAACTATTTATGTACTCTTAAATATATATTGGTTTCCAGATGAGGAGTTTGGTCTGCCATTCATAACACCAATACCAGCATCGAAAGAGAAGAGGGACATAGGGGATGAGAACCAGTTCATTGTGTCCATGGATCGGCAGAGATGGCAGGTATATCTCCAAATACCCTTAGAAATGTGTATAATTTTAGTTTGTCTGTTTGTTCTAAAGAAGTACATAAATAGAACCATAGAGAAAACAGCTGCCTGTAAGTGGAAGCGATACAGGCCACAAGAGAGATGGATGTCCCATAGTTCCCTCTGTCTCTGTTTATCTAAGCTGCAATTGGAAGAGCTCAACTAGAAAGAGATAGAGGGGTCTATCTATTATCCATCTCTCTCATTGCCTATATTGCAAGATTGGGGCTCTTGTTCTCTTAAGGTTATATCTCTATGAACAATACCGTCCCCCACCTGTCACGTGTGACGCGTCAGAGACCAAACTGGTTATTAAATTTTTTGCCTAGCATTGGTAGCAAAAGATTTGTTCGTATTCAGGTTAAAAATATGCCAATATAAAAACGATATATTAAAATTTGATTTATAAACTTTATTATAATATTAGTCCAAAATATTTTTAGTTTCGTCGCTTCTGCGATTTTTTGTCTTGTCGTAGAGATAGATTATGGTCTGGAATGCAACATTGTAATAATGTTCAATGAAAAATGGATTGACAAAATCGCCATTAACCTAGAATACTAAAATTTTAAAATACTTTTGTTCCAGGAGCTAATAGAAGCCTTTGGCATCACGCAACCGATGATGGTCTTAAAGCGATAATGACAGAGACTAAGATAGTCCAATGGGTCATAATTGGAGTCCAGAGGAGTTGGATACGTGAAGGGAAGAGAAAAGAGCGTACTACACTTTCATAGGGCGGCAATGAGTTTTGACTCCTGAGAGTTGCAGGCGTTCATGGACGCCGTTTGCACATTTCGGTCATTTGCCCGATTTCTACGCCTAAAAACCAGTTTTAATATTTTTTGTCTGTTTCTTTGTTCCTGGTAATCTTCAAAACGGCTGGCCCGATTTTGATAATATTATACTACCAGGTAGCTGACATAAGGAGTAAGTTAGGCTAATTTCTTTCAGAAAAACCCTATAAAATTTTGCCCGGTCCGGGAATCGAACTCACTAAGGCAGCGCTCTTTAAATTCCACTCGAATGAAGTCGCTAGCTCGTCTATACAAATAAAATTATTTGCCCTGACTGTCTCATCAACGCAGAGTATAAACCGCTGGGGCTATAAACTTGACATTTTAACAGCTCATACGTTTCATGGTCTAAGCACCCACTAGGAAAGGTTTTTTGGAAATTTCATCCCAAAGGTAAAATAATGGATGAACCGTTGTATTGAAGTTCTTCAGTTCCAAAGTTAGAAACACGAAAGCCAAGCAAATCCGTGGGCAATGACTAGTCTATAATATGTATGCATTTAGTACTGTATATATTCAGTAGTCTGGTTACTGTAATGGCTGTGTGTGAGATGTATTATTATTTTAAATGTATTCGTTGGTAAGCGCTTTACTTGAGAATCTCTGGACTAATATTACAAGTTAAAGTTCAAATAAGTTATATTTGCAGTAATAATATTGAACAGTGGCTACATAATAGACTGCACGGATGGTGTAATGGTTTGAGCGGTCACCTCGCCGCTTCCTATTGCGCTGAGTGTTGGGGGTTCAATCCTTCCCAGTTCCCAGGATATACTCGATATCCTGTGTCGCGGGGGACATTACAGACATACATTAAACGGACACAAAGAACACCCAGACTTAGAATAACAATTTGTGCATCATGCAAAGTGTCGTCCAGTTTTGGGATCGAACCCACAACACTCAACGCAATAGGAAGCGGCGAGGTGATCGCTTAAACCACGCTTAGACCTTAAATAATCATATTCTTACAAATTGTATTATATATTATATAAATATTAGACATTAAATACTTGTTCTTCTTGTATCATTGGAAGTGTAAAAAAGAAACACATTTTTCGGCATATGATAATTATATCTAGCAATAATGTTGATTTGTTTGTAAGTCGTTTTATAATTTCCAATAAAAATAAAAAATATTTTACTTCATTTATTTCAAAAGTATCCCAATCAGATTCTATGTTGCTAATGTCCTAATAAAAAAACAGTCACAGCTACCAAACGCCAAAGGTCGCGGGTTCGATTCACAGGAACGTTTGATGTTTGATTTAAGTGTTTCTGTGTATAATATGTATGTATTTACGAAAGAAAAGTATAAAAGTATCGATATCAGTTGTTTAGTACCACAGGGCATGACTAGATGGCGTGGTGTGAATGATGATGTGAATATTATTATTACAAAATTTTAGTCAATCGTCGTCTACGCACTATTGCTCTGTGGTCATGACGCCAATTGGCTGTTTAGGCAAATGACTCTGTAGTTTACACAATCGTGTGACGTAATAACATGGTTCTTATTCCACAGTGTTAAGAAAGAACAAAAGAAGAAAACTACAAATACATTTTTAAATCTATATTTTCTAGACATAAAATGTTAATACACAGTAAAGGTGTTTTTTTATGATAAACTGACTTAAGACTAAATAAATTTAAAATTCATGTAAATCCCCCCTCCCGCTGACTCGAGCGGGAGGGACTCCAAGGGCAGCAACGAACTTGTGACTTTTGAGTTGCAGGTGTCCATGGGCGGCGGTAGTTGCTTACCATCAGGTGACCCGTCTGCTCGTTTGCCCCCCTTTTACCGTAAAAAAAAACAATCATATTGCAAACAAAAATACTATTTAAAAATATTACATAACAATAAAATATACGTATATTAAATACACACTAAACACAAGCAAAAATAAATAAAAATTATATAGTCATGTAAAATCAATAAATATATTTAATACCTGCATAAATATGTTATTGTTGCGCCATAGAATTGAGCGGTTCCTATGTTGTGTATGGAGGACAGCGCCATCTAATATCGAGTGGACCACAACGAATTCTACTCATTGAAATTATGTTCCTTAATTCCGATACTTTCAGTGCCATCTAGTGTCGAACATCGGAAGATGATAGAAATTTTTAGATTCCTTATTATACGTGGTTCTGTCTGGAACATTTATCGAATCCTCAAGATTAGTGTGTGTCAATGTTTTACGACACGGCGAATTAACATCGAAGTGAATTTCTAGTGCGACTAACGTTATATAGCGATTTCTTGTTTGTAATAGTGAGTGTTTGTAAATACAGTGCAATAAAAGTAATTAACCGACTACGTTTATTTCTTGTGTACCCCACTCGAAACATTATTAAATACAAATATATTTCTTACATATCTTATTATATACCAATATATGTACTTGTTTACTCATTATATAAAAATATGAAAATTAGTTTAAGTTATGTGTTCTAGATATCTTCTCTCCGAACCTATTGCTGTGCCCGACAGGGTCTATAATGGTTCTGAATTTTATGTTTTTAATACTATTTATGTACATTATGGTATGCAATAGATGATTGAGTATTGAGAAATGCTAATTGTATCAGAGTAAGCGTGAACATAAGAATAATATTGGAGAAAATCAGAGAAAATTAACCCGCGTCGCTGAGATTTTATTTTTATTCGATCCAAAATACCTGTCATAAATAGTTACACTATTCGATAACAGATGGCGCTAATAACAAAAATATTAATTTAGCTTTAAATTGGACGCGTTGGCGCGATTCGCGAGCTTTGCTGGCCCTGTTGCCGCTTCTACCGCTGCTTTTGCTGCTGATTCCGCTGCTAGCAAAATACAGCCGACCGCCCGCTACCCGCCCCTTGTGGTTGAAATGTTTCCGGATTGGCCGACAAACTTCCGGGAACTCAAGAAATTACTTGGGCACGCGCCCATTCAAGAAGGGAGTCTGATTTATTCCGAGTCGGACCAGGAGTACCGCATCATCCAGCGCTACCTGTATTCGCTGGAGACGAAGAAGATCTCCTGGTTCTCCTATTCCCTCCCCTGGATCGCAGCCTCAAGGTGGCCATCTATGGTCTCCTAATATCCCTCACCTTACATAGTCACGCGGAAGAAGTTTGTTTGGTTGAACGCTCTAATCTCTGGCACTACTGTTACAACTCATTTTTTGGTATAAGGGGGCAAACGAGCAGACGGGTCACCTGATGGTAAGCATCTACCTCCGTCCATGGATAACTGCAACTCAAAAGTCACAAGTGCGTTGACACCCTTGGAGTCCCTCCCGCTGGAGTCGAGGGGGGATTTGGGCTCCGGTAACCTCACTCACTCAGTGAAAGGCAACGAAAGAATTGCTTAACACCGGTTTTCTGTGAGGCCGTGGTATCACTCCGGTCGAGCCGGCCCACTCGTGCCGAAGCGTGGCTCTCCCACGTTATCCCAGATTCATAGGTACGATTACGTAAACTCGTAAGGTAAATAAAACAAATATAAAGTTTATTATTAATATTGAATGCACTTTATTTCATATCATAAATAGGTAATATGTTTGAAATATCACAATTTGTTTGTTCGTTATTCGCCGAAATATTTCACTTATAACACTAATAATATATTATGAAGTATAGAAATATGATTCTGCGCTTTGTACCGATACAATATTCTACAATAATTATCTTTTATTTCACCATGATGTCGCCAGGCGGCGCCACTGTATCATCCAAAACAAGATTTTTAGATTATCCGTTAATGTTTTACAAGTATATTAATAATATTAATAACTTCAGACATCTCTCGCACGGCCGTCTGATCCCAAACCTGACAGGGCCTGTATCTACTATGGTAACCAGACTGCTGATATAAACATACTTATATATTTCTAAATACATACATATTATAGATAAATTACACCCAGACAGAGAAAATGATCGTGGTCATCGGACAATTTTTCTTCATGGGTGGGAGTTGAACGCCCGATCTCTGGCCAGTCTAGGAATAAAATTCTTAAAATCAAAACAAACTGAAAGTGTAGGCGATATAACTCTACTAAAATATAAAAGCTGATGAGCAGTAAACATTACACTTGTTTTTTGTTAACGGGGTAGAAGATCCTTATAGATGTCCTTTACCCCTTTGGGGTAGGAGTCTGTCGGACTCTTACCGACTAAAAACCACCCCGGTGTTCTGTGTACCAATAGTCGGGGGAGCGAGAATCGCAATTCTTTCTGTGTACTCCGAAAGTGCAAAAATTATGACAAAAAGGTAAATAAATATAAAGGAATACGACACCACAGGTAAGTGTATGTTTTGTTATAAAATGTTTTGTTACGGAACAAATATTTTGTGGGTGCGGTATGAATATAACTATATCTTCCTTAAAATATTATATTATTGATGAAGACGATGTACGATCATTGAATTCTTAATACTTTAAACGTTTAATAATTATTTATAAAAGATAATTATTGTATGAATAACAAAAATACAGATATATCACGCAGTTACGTTAGCTTATATTTACACGTCGTATATACAGAAGTAAATAAACAAAGTTAAAACTTATGAAAATAACGACTGTTAATTATAATTAAATCGATATTGATAGCAGATATATTCAATCGTTATTGTTATTCAACATAACTTGAGACGCTATTAAAATAACGAGTCAGTAACGTTATAACGAGTTATGTAACTGATTATAGTTATTTATAATTGGTACTGTGAGTATAGAGTTTTGTTATATTTCCAGCTAGTTATTAAAATAGTGCCATTACAACTTCAATTACACAATAAATTGCTTTTTAATTTCAGATTTCTGAAGGAAAAAAATGAGCGGGCTCTACAATGTACATATGATGTGAAAAATGTGTCCTGTTGGTCTAGTGGTTAGTGACACTGACTGCGAAGCCATGTATTTCTCAATTGGTCAAAAAATCCAAACACGTGACTTTTTTTGACGAGATTAAATTTTAATTTATATTTATTCTTTATTTAAGGTATAAGTCTTTATTTTTACACAATAACGAACGAACGACACAATGCGAAATAAAGGAAACACATTCCAACAGACTCGCAGGCAGACAGACTTGCGCGCAAATCAGCTTTAAACGAAGCGTCACGGAAAATGCTGTACACCACAGAATCAGTGATCGGCTTGGCCGATTAGTTGGCCTTTTTACAACCGACTAAACAGTTAACTAGCCAATGTCAAGAGCAGCGTATCTCTAAAAAAATATAGCTTCTTTCAGAAAAGAACATTGTAATAGCCAAACCATTAATTAAATCAGTAAATATATTACCAATTGCCCATAAAGTCCTATTTTAGCCATTTTTTTTTATATATAGTTCGTCGTAAATGTGTAAGAGAAGGGATACTGGCCTGCGTGGTATAGTAGACCAAAACCTCCTTTCTAAGGAGAGGCGTATGTCCAGCAGTGGACTTGTAACGGCGGTTGATGATGATGATGATATGTGTATTGAAAACAGTTATTACAATAACGATATAAATATAAGCATAGTTACAGACTAGTAGACATCCATAAAATGGCACTTAATTCACAAGTCTTTTTACATATACTAGTGTAATATAATTACGATTAGAAATGCCTCAGATCAACTGCTTTCTTGTAAAGGTCAGAAAATAGATAAAACTATCTACTAAACCGACAACGGTTAGATATAAAATCAATCGTTAAAAAGTTTTATAACACAATAACTTCACCAAAATGAATTGTTGCCGAGTTAATATAATATATGTGTTTACTTACTGTAAACTGGTGTTAAATACGGTTGAAAACTTTAACAGTTTAAAAAAAAACTGTAATTTTATAGACAATTTAAAATATATTTTACGGAAGTGTTCAGTTAGCAATGGAGGCATTCGGCTTATTCCAATTTTTGTATGTGTTTCTTGTATTAACTATTTATCTACTATTTATGGAAGTAGTTTAAGAGAGATTCCATTTACTTCATTTCATCGAAAATTGTACAATATTTAAACCGACTTTGCCAGCTATCAGATGCTGTCATCTGATAATTTAGGTTTTACAAAACACATACCTAGAATCTGATTTATACAAACCATATTAAAGCATAAATTGATTCCTCTCTTGAGTTATTTTAGAGTACCAATACTCGTACCCAATGAATAAATAAAAGTCATTGATAAATAATTAAAACGCTCTATAACTATCCAGCACAAAACATTGACATACAATTGGAAAATAAATAGTTCTTCTTTCAAATAGGCAGCTTAGACTATAGTTATAATAACGGTTCTAACAATATCGTATGCAAAATAAAATATATAGCCTTAGGGAATATTAGATACCATTAAACTATATACTATTATTGTCTATAGGCTGATATGATCGACTCGCGGAGTTGATCTAATATCAAATAACACTAACGTTATTGATTAATTTATAAGCGAAATAGCTGCGAAAGGCGACTAAGACTCGTTCTGCTACAGTATTCAAGAATTCTAGAGAGAAATTATTATTGTGTTAAATTAAATGTAAGTATATTCAGGGTAAGCTTCACTTTGCGGAGGATTAGCGACATTTAATGAAGGTTGTACTTTCTCGTCCATTTCGCTTATATAGAACATCATAGCCGACATCTTGTGAATTATTGACAAGATAAATATTGAAAAAAAACGTGTGCGTCTCTATTTGATATTGAAATTGTTTAACTCGAGAAAAGCTAAAGAGTTTGTCCGAAATACGTCTAGCGCTGTGAGTTAGAGTGAGAGAGGAGGAGCTTGCTTACCGCTGCCGTATGCGTGAGAGAAAGGGAAGCCAGACAGACTGGCGCCGTAACGTGTTACGTAACGAAGCGGTTTAATCTCCCATAAGAAGTTATCACTTCAAAAGTCTAACGGAACTTATTTTAAACGATGTAATTTATAATTTTTCCATATACAATATTATCAAGGGAAATACTTTTAATAATCATGCAATTTCTAAGATTTAAAAACGTGATGATAACGGATATAACGTACCGCAAAACTTGTTATTTTATATTAATTATACTGGGAGTAAACACTTCTCGTCGATTAAAGATGGTAATAGAACTCGCAACATTCGGACTAACTGGTAAGTACCGGTGAGGTGTCTATTTGGTCACAAGTTTTTAAAGGTGATTAAAGTTGACCTTTTTTGTTGAACCAAAAGAGGCTTTCAAATAAACAAGTTTCGGTGTGTATTTATTATATAATTATATGCTTAATTGAGCATCAGGTGCATAAAAAATCAAAAACTGTATGAACTATTCTTATTCTTTCTATATTTACGTGTAAAAAATTTAAAGTAGGACAAAAAAAGAAAGAAATTACATAAAAATATTTGTATTTTATCTTGTCAATCATCCAATATCATAAAGCTATCAATATAAATACTATAATATCTTAAAATAATCATTCCTAATTATAATTTATTTACAATATATTACATGCCTTAACCGTTATTTCGCTATACAAAAACGGTAAATATAATCGTTATTTGGAATATATCTGCAACGATTACATTTATAATAAAAAACCCCAGAATTTACGTAATAAGGTAATCTTAAATTAATACAAAAAGATCTTTATAATATTTTCTAAGTTCCTTTACAAATGGAAAATGAAAACTTTGGGTTGAATCCAAGAGATCACACCTTAATTTCACACATTTTCACTCATAATAAACATGACTATTAATCCTTTCTATCAAATTTACACTAGTTCATCAATGCACGAACTCATTAACTCCCCCTCCGTGATGGTGGAACTGCTGCGTATTATCCACTATAACACTTGTATACCCTCCTTCTTGAACCGCAGGGCTTGGTGTCATTTTACCGAATGTCGCGCCAAAGTTCTCAACCACTGGTCGGCCATTTTGTGTTTGATTGTGTCCGTAAAATGATATTAAATTTGTGTAGTTATAATGATTGGGTATTTCTGATCCTTCGATGGAACTACATGATGATGAGCTGGCCGAAAACGGTCTTTGGCTTTGAGGGTAGCTCACGTAATTAGGTAAAATTTCGCTAGTGTCTGCATAATTTTCATAAAAAATTTCTTGGTAGCCGTTTTGTTGGTGGTACTCTTCTTGCGTATCATAGGGAGGGATAACTGGAAGGTTATACTCTGGATAATTGTATCCCCCACTGGAATCGCTATATTCGCTTTCGTTCACATGCACCGGGTTTATTTTCTCTGGCTGTCTCACGTGTGAAGTGGTGGTGGTTGGTACGTGAGGTGATGGGATCTCCACGTTACTTACTTTAGGACCTCCTTGACTTATGTTTAAAATGAGGTGTTTTTCTTCTATATCGCTGTAAAAGAAGATTTTAAGTCAATTAATTTTGAACTTATATAATATTACTTTCAGTACAAGTTACAAACTATTCAAAACTTATTTAGCCGTTACTGATACAAAAAAAAACCACTTAAATTGAAATATTGCCACACCATGATTCCTAAGAAAGTTAATGTGCATTGGAACCCAAAAGAAATCTAAGAAGGATATTAAAAGTATTCGATTTATGTATTAGAAAACTAAATGTCCGTTAAAATTCACCAGCTCTCTAAGATCGTAGCATAGCCCAGACATTTTTAATTAAACGAGAAAAATTACAAATAGCAGTGAATTACCTTAATACATAATTGACAGATACTATGCAGTGTGGCCTCGAAGACCTGGAGTTGTGCACGATGGTGGCGTAGCTCTGCATCCACACCCAACCGCCGCTCTTGGTTAGGAAGCGGTAGTACCGGGACGTCACCTGCCCTTTGGTTAGAACTGGAAGACAAGAGAGGACCTTATCTTTACATAGTATAAAATGAAGTCGCTTCCCATTCTTGTACGCTTAGATTTTCAAACTACGCAACGGATTTTAATAGCGGTTTTCATCAATAGAGAGAGTGATTCAAAAGGAATATTAATATCCATACTAGTATTATAAACGCGAAAATGTGTCTGTCTGTAACCTCTTCACGCTTAAATCGCTGAATCGATTTAGATGAAATTTTGTACAGAGATCGTCCAAGTCACTGGAAAGGACATAGGGTAGTTTATATCCCGGCAATCGTCCTCTAAAGGAGTAAAAAGGTGGTGGAAGTTTGAATGAGATCCCAATACCTGCTGAACCGATTTAGGTAAAATTTGGTATGAAGTTACTTTGATTCTTGAGGAAAGACATGGGCTACTTTTCACCGAGACAACCGACATTTACGGGGGCGGCGCCGCGGACAAAAGCTAGTGTACAATACATTGCACCCATGCGAATACGGGGCGCGGCGTTGGTTAACAAAATAAAGAGTAGCACAAAGTAAAAGAGTATCAGTCAATATTAGAAATTGATAGTCACTAACAAATATTTAGGACTTAAATAAATTTAGGTTTCTTAATAGCGATGTGTTTGTTTCTTAGCTCTTTTTTTAATTTTTAATTTCACACATTTAACAGACGGCCGTTTGTTTTGATTGATGATTTGATTGTTTTTTAGGCAAAGCCTGTACAGACTGCTGATAAACATACTTATATTTTTCTAAATACGTAAGCAAGGTAGTAGGTTCCAATCCCACTGAGGACAAAAAATTGTTGTTTAATAAAAGCACCATTATTTTGTCCTGTGTCTGGTTGTAGGTTATCTATCATATTATGCATAATATATTTAGGAGTATGTTTACCAGGAGTCTGGTTACTATAAAACAGGCCCAGTTTAGCCAGTTTAAATAGATAAACTACACCCAGACGCAGAACAGTTGCTACTACCCGACTGCTAATTGTGCTTAACACACAATTAGCAGTCGGGTACTAAGCCGATTTATATTTGAACTATTATTATTATGTATTTCTAACTACTTACGTGTACAATGCGAATGCCTCATGTGCAAAACGTCTGTGCCGTGTATGTAGTGGTACAACGTTTTTTCAATGAGATCCTGAGGCTCGTAGCCGGTCAGCGACGCCACTCTGCGAATAACGTAATAACTGTTATAACCGTTGCTAAAATAACACGTTTTAAAAATAACTGTTATTTTAATTCTGGCGCTAGTGTTGTAGAGCTACATATGCCTGCGTAGATTTAAACGAGTTTTATGGATGTAGTCTTCTACTTTTAGAGGTGACAGTCTATGGATAATGGTATACCTCCACTTCATGGTGTAGCATGTCAAATGAGCAGACAGGTCACCTGAAGAAAGATTATCATGGATGTCCTTCGCCCATTAGGGGGTGGCGAAGGGGTCTGTCGGACCCTAACAACTAAAAACCACCCCGGTGTTCCTCTTCTTGCCAATTGTCGTGGGAGCGAGAATCACAATTGCATTATCCGCCACTCCGACAAGTCCGCAGCCCCCGACAGGACATGGACATCTGCAAAGTCATAAGGACGTTGCCGAATTTTTCCCCGATCGGAATCAAGAGGAGGAGGTTTTGGGCTCTGGTGACCTCACTCCTTGAAACTCAACAAAGGAATTGCTCAACGTCGGGTCTCTGTGAGGTTGTGATACCACTCGGGTCGAGCTAGTCTTATTGTGACGAAGTATGGCTCTCCCACTATTATGATCTGCGTGTTCAATATAATAAAGCTTTCAGGATGCTGTTGGGGCTGCCGTGGCGCTGATCAATTACAGCTGAGCTACACAATTATGCAAAAGAAAGCGGCCTCCTTACTACAGCGCCTGCATCACATTGACAACAGTATTCTGATAATGATCGCTGCCAGACCGGACTACCTATTCCAGAAACACTGGGTGGGGACAGACATGGGTCAATACAAATGATAAATAGAGTTAAAATGTAGTAACTAATAATATTAACTTATCAACTTAAGCACTATTGTTACTAACACTAAAATCTATATGAATAAATAAAATTGAAGTGTGAATTTCACCCTTAAGGCGTAAAATAAGAAATGATCGGTTGAATGGAAGTGCGTAATTTTTAAAGTTACATACAAAGTAATCAATAATCAGGCGAGCGAAGTCGCGGGCAATTGCTAGTGTTAGAATAAGACCATATTACTAAACTACCCTTAATCGACATAAATAATAAATAAATAATATTGTACCACATTCACAAAACGCCATCTAGTCCGTAACTAAGCAGAGCTTGTACTATGGCTACTAGACAACTGATATAAATACATATATACTTTTTTTTTGTAAATACATACTTATTATACATAGAAACACCCAGACCAAATCAAACAACAAATGTTTGACTTGAGCGGGAATCGGACCCGCGACCTTTGGAATAGCAGTCCGTTACACAAACCACTACGCCATTCGGTCGTCAAAATATCAGTGTCCTTTCAATTATTAAACAACCATATTATTTTTCATGCGAAAAAACTGTTGACGCGTAAAAAAATCTGTCACTTCCGGCAATTAACCGTGTAAAAACTTGGGGTCGGTGGCACCCCCCGTCACTTGAGAGTTAAGGGTTAACTAATTATCGAGGGTTCGGCGGGGAGATGCTTTTACGAGTAGATACGAGTTGAACTGATGAGGTGTATGTGATTTTGCGTTTAAATTCTATACAATTATTGTCATAACATTAACAATTTGAGGCTACAAGAAAACAGTTTTATTTTATTAGAATAATGTTATTTATTAGAATCTGTGGAGGAACGAGAGTTCATCATCATCATCATCAGCCTACAACAGTCCACTGCTGGACATAGACCTCAACCATTGAACGATTTTGTGCGATGTAGGTTTCATTAGTTATGCCGTGACTCTGTTGGGAAGTTCTGAATTGCGCCATGCAGGATTTGTAGCAACTACGTAGTTTACGACGTCCCCGTTAGATGGCGTTAATTTATGTTTTTGCTATAGAGACTGTACTATAGTAACCAGACTGCTGATTAGTATACTTATATATTTCTAACATACATATAATAGATAAATTACACCCAATCAATTAACAATTATTATCCTAGGTGGGAATCGAACCGACGCCTTCCGGCTAACAGTCAGGGTCACTAACCACTAGACCAACAGGTCAGTCAGTATAAATACATACTTATATTATAAATGTGAAAGTGAGTTGGTTTGTTTGTTACGTTTTCACGCTTAAACACTAAACCGATTACAAAAATTCTTTCACCAATGGAAAGCTACATTATCAGCGAGTAGCATCATCATTATCAACAGCCTTTACTAGTCCACTGCTGGACTCCTCAGAAAGCAGGTTTTAGCCTACTATACCAAGCCGGCCAGACGGGTTGGTATAGGTTTTGTTTCAAGTTTTCCTTCTCTTTGCAGTGTGGTTGTTCTGCGTAGTCGGCTCTTACGACACCCTTGGGATGAATAGGGGTGGTGACACTCTGCATTCTTAATCCGTCACCACATGGATAGCATAGCCTACTTTTTGCCGCGAAAACCGATTAACAAGGGGGCGGAACCGCGTGATAAACCTAGTCACTAATAACCGTGTACAGCAAAGATTTTTTACATTAACCGAGCCTGAGTGACCCAAGTATACATTGTGTTTTCTTTCTAGCAAGTATTTCCGCATATAATCACATAATAAGGTACTGTCAGCTGTGCGTACGAAGTAGCTGACTGCGCGGAAGTGGAGCCGGCTGATCGGCCCCTTGACACGTACGAAGTGACGACTTTTATGCTATACAATAATATTCTCAATTTATTACAAAATGACTCATTTACTGCTTAAAAAAAAATTTAGAAGTAAAGAAAAATTATTGCTGAATCAGAGTAAGGTCTTCATTTGGTTACGTTTTCTATAATTATATGATTTACCGTACGGATTAAGTATACGGAATGTCGCTACCCCAATTCATCCCGTGGGTGTCGTAAGAGCCGACTAAGGGCGCAAAACAACGCAGGACACCAGCACTGCAAAAAGAAAGAAAACTTGACACAAACCCTATACTAACCCGTCAGGCCAGCGTGGTATAGTAGGCCAAAACCTCCTTTCTGCGGATAGACCTATGTCCAGCAGTGGGCTATTAAAGGCTGTTGATGTGATGTGATATGATTTACAGCTTATTGTCATTGGATTCTTATATAAAGCTTATAACTAAAGCTAACTAGTATATGCCTATTCTAAATGGTGGAAGTATTAATAAAAAAAAATGTAAAATCAAAATATTAAAAATTCTTTTGCAATCGGCCTGAGCTAGGTGTGAGACCTGTGTTTCAGACAGTCGCTTGACTATGGTGTTGGTTACAGGACGTTCATATTTTAAAGTTCTAATACATTAATAATGTAAATTACTTGAGAGACACAAATATATATATATACTTATTGTTTAATTACCTAATTAAAGTTAAAATTATATCATTTTGAAATTACTAAGATGTTTTCTGTGTCCGCTTAATTAAGCTTGCCTAAATATTTTCCTACTAGAGTTAGATAACTAAAAAAAAGGAACTTTTAGTTTACTTAGTATTATTTATTTATTTAATACTTCCTGTAAATAATATACATTGCATAAGGCGGACTTATTAACCTCCTTTCCAAGGAGAGGCCTATGTCCAGCAGTGGACTGTTATAGGCTGTTGATGATGTGATGTGAAGGCGGACTTAATGGCATTGGGATTTTCTTCCAGTGAAGTCTTCTGTGTGTGGCAAGTGTTTGTATAGAGCAGATGAGTTAAATTATTATCACTTGCAAATGTACGTAAACACAGTAGTAGTACGCTACATAAACACAGTAGTAGAGTATATATAGAGTTATATATACGAGTATATATATAAATATACATTATACATCCATACATACGAGTACATACAATAATGGAGACACGAATAGTTTTTATGCAACAAAAAAATAATAGTATTTAGTAAAATAAATTTTAATAACTTTGAAAAAAACGTTGGGTGCCTGTTGTCAATAGTAAAAAGCACACGCCACAATTTATTTTCTATTTTTTAGTTTGGTTTACTATAAAAAGCGTGTTTTTTAGTTTTTAAAAACTATTTTTTTTAATATTTTTTTTAAATTAGTGTATTGTCATCGGTCCTCGATATATCTACAAAGTTTAAACGAATTCTGACCATTTAAAGTCAGTCAAAATCACGCCCAAAGGAGTAGGTTACAAACAAACATAAAGTGAAGTAGTATAATAGTTCGTCTCATCACTTCAACGGGTGGTCGCCGATACGTTTTTTAACGCTCTAACAAAAACCCTCTCCACCCCTGAGTTGAATAAGAGGGGTGACAAAACAAAAGCACCGCTAAGTCAGTAATTGATGTCTAGATATCGGATGTCCGCTATTTGAGACGCATTAATTGCCGATAAAAAATAAAACTGTGGGGTAGTTTTTAGTGGTTGATTGACTATTGGATGACAGCATCACAGTGTCTGACGGATGGCGTAATATTTTGTCACCTCGCCGCTTCTAAGTGTGTTGGGTACGATCCGCGTAAGGAACAACACTTTGTATGATGCATAAGTTGTTCCGAGTTTAGGCCTTCTCTGTGTCCGTTTCATACGTTTCTTTTTTTTTCTTTTTTAAGTTAGGTGGGGCAGACGAACAGACGGGTCACCTGATGGAAAGTGACTATCGCCGCCCATGAACGTCTGCAACTCAGGAGTCACAAACGCGTTTCCGGCCTTTTAGTACGCTCTTTTCTTGAAGGTTCGTATCGCTCCGGAAATACCACAGACAAATTCAGTTCCACAAATTCGTTGTGCGAGGCAAAAAGTGTCTCGAAAAGCGCAGTGGTGGAGTGCCGATTATCCAGGTGATGGGAAAGAAAGTTTTGCCGTGTGGAACGATGGCGGTAAGTTGTGGCCGGTATTAGTCCGAACAATTCCTAGGTGTGTTTCGTTGGTGTAGGATAGCCCATTTATCGAGGAAGGCTATATAATATCACGCTACGACTCATAGGAGCCGAGCATCTATGCAAAATGTTGCAAAAAAAGGGAAAATCATCAACATCATCAACAGCCTTTAACAGTCCACTGCTGGACATAGGCCTCTCCTTAGAAAGGAGG